AAATATATAACTAACAAGAGTGTCTTTATACGGGCACATATCTTTAAGATTATGCATAGTTAGTTTTCTAGATGGAGTGTATTTTGTATATGGTTTAATAATATTGATATCTATTCTATCGGGAGATACTATTAGATTGACTCCACTTATTATATTTCTGTATGTATACGTTATACCAACCTCTCCGACTAAATCGAATACTTTGTTTTTAACTCTCTCTTTGTATATATTAGAGAACTTGACAGATACTTCTTTGTTGTAGGACAAAAGCTTAAATAGATTTTCAGTGTATAATCGCACTTTTTCATAAAAAGTACTATTCAATGGTTCTTCGCTATTAACTTCTTTTTTAAGCTTTTTTATCTCTTTTCTAATTTCTTTTTTACACATGCTTATTTTGCTAACCGCATGCAGAACAGAAAGCACCCCAGATGACTTCCTTTTTCTATAATTTGTTGTGTTGTATATCAACGTATTTAAAACCCTGTCTACCCACATTCTATGCAGATTACTGGGATATTTGCTAAGGATAGTTGCTTCCAAATTAAAGAAGCTATGCAAACACCTATTATTTCTATGTGCTGTAAGAGAAGAAGTCTTATAACAATTACTTCTACAGTCATATGTAAAACAAGAAAAAAGAACAAGAAGTGCAGTTTCAAAATTTCTTTTTCTTATAACTGCAGTTCTCACATTTTGTGATGATTGTGGGTTTGTTATAAGCCTTTCTTTTTTAGTCATTGGTATCTGACTTATATCTGAGTAAGGAATTGTTGGTTTAATTTTGTTAACAGTATAAAGCATATTATAAAAATTCTTTAAATATATTTTCTCGCTCTCTGTATAATTCTCCACAAATAGTTTGTTATATATTGCTGTCTTTTTTATGTGTATGAGTATATTCGAATTATTTGAGTCTTCGCCATCCTCTAAACAATTAACCATTAATTCTTTAATACACTCAATAAGATTCATATAGCTGCTAGCACTTCTGCAGTAATCATATATATACATCTGAATCACAAACTCAGAAGTATACATATAATTATTCTGTAGCACCGGCCAATTAAAAGTATTGTCTACAGCAGCATTCATTACACCATCTGATGTATAATCATATTTTTTAAAGAAATCTATCACTTCAACCAGTTGCTTAATGTACACCTCTAAGCTTTGTACACCCAGTAAACTCTTATAAACTTTGCTGGGTTTGCCAAAATTAATTTTGAGGTATGCTCTCTTATTGCTTCCAATTAAAGTAAGTCTATTTTCATTTTCATCAAAATGTAAAGGAATGTTTATCCCATTCGATATAAGCAACAGAGCTGCAAGTAAGTATTCACTATTTTTCCTTCTAATCTTATCTATTGCATTTAAACACATAAAAAACGACCCAGAGCTGTCATTTTTTATAAGATGTGTTTTATCCTTGCATGGAAATAAGCTACAGTATATTTTATTATAACTCATTCTGTTTTTATTAGTGCATATAATAAAGTCAATAAAATCATTAGAAACATCTCCACTATCTTCATAAAAAGGATTTGGGTTCTCTATGGATTCTGTGGGGCTCTCTTCTTTTTGTTTTTTTTGGATGTAATTCAGCGCACGGCGGTACTCTTTAGCTGTTTTTGTACGGTGGTTTTGAATTATTCCCAGACTGAATACAGAGTATCCATATAGCTGGTTTAGTGGGCCTTCTGGGTTTATATAGCTATTGTTATAGCTGTACAATATAGAAGCATTGGTTTTATACGGATTTTCAAATGTCTCGTGAGATATGTGGGCTTTCAACTTATTTGCTCCAATTGCTGTTAGAATAATTTTTTTGGTTGCAATTCTCATTATATCTTTGTAGTACTTTTATTCTATTAGAAAATTATTTATATTTCTGATAAATTAAAATAAACTATAGATAATGATTTTATATAGAAGTATGATGCATTGTACATTAGATTTTGTAAGGCATAAATAATAATTTTAATTCATAGAAGTATTCTTGGCAAAGTGAAATTATTGCTATAAAAGTTTAATAAAGCTTATATTATTCTAAAATATGCTAGCATAATAGTGTATGTACATCTTAATAATCTATAATAATGAATCCAACATATAAAGCGTATATAAATAAACAATGCTTAAACATAAACATTTATATCAAATGAGTAAGAACTATATATACGTATAGAGATGTATAAATGTAAAATGCAAATAGCCCGAATTTTTCCTTTAATTAGATATATAACCCGAAATTAATCCAAAGCTTTGTGCTAAAATATGTACTTATGTTTTATTAAATGTATTATACATAATATTTGGCACAAAAAAATAGTAAACGGAGTGTATTTGGCATAAAAGTTAATTTAATGTTTGTTCCAAGCAAAGTCTACTATTTTTATTTTTCTATAATTTAAATTTGAAATATTCAATCCACATAAAACTAAAAAGGCAGAGAATAGAAAATAAAAGAATATTTAAAAACAATTTAAAGCAATACTTAAGATATATTTATACATAAGAACGCATACTTTATCTAAATGTGCAAACAATATAATATACAGCCCATTTGTGAAAAATTATAGTGCACAAGTAACATTAAATACACACTACAGCAATAAACTCTTAATACTGTGTTTTAAATATGTATACCAAATGCTTATTATTATTCTAAACAACTTTGTTTTTATATAGCTACACCATAAATAATAATAAATAATCAAGAATATTTTACTTTGAGTATATGTATATTAAAATATTAATAAACCACTAAAAACAATCCAACCAGAAAAATAGCTATAATTTTACTTACTTCAATATATCTATATCCAAAGCAGCGTATTAAACATAATTTGCTTCTATAAGTAAACCTGGTTTTCTTTTTATGTTTATTAGAGGAACAATTTATTCTCTAACGTATAAAAGATATTTAGATAGTTTATTTATTTTAAAAATTTGCAGGAGATGAAGGAAGAAGTAATTGAAAGGTACAAAGAGTTCATTGGTGACAATGTTCTCTTCCAAATTCTATTGGGAAACAAGAAACCCCCAAAGAGGGCTGTAAAAAAAGCAAAACTAGAGAGAAAGGCAACAAAAGAAGAGGATGAGTTTGGAATAGATGAGTCAGAAGCATTTATGTTTACGCACTCCCCGGGGTACATTACAGGAACACTTCGTCACTATCAGATAGAAGGACTAAACTGGCTTATAAATATGTATGAAAAGAAGATCAACTGTATTCTAGCAGATGAAATGGGTTTGGGAAAGACTCTTCAGACGATTTCTCTTCTTGGGTATTTATATACAACAAAGAAGAACAAACTGCCAAATCTCTTAATTGTGCCCAAGTCAACTCTACAGAACTGGAAGAACGAGTTCAAAAAGTTCATGCCAGGAATAAAGACAATTATTTTCCATTGCAGCCGGAAAGACATTAAATTAAAAGCAAAGGAGTTGCAGGAGTTGGACTATATTGCCTGCATAACAACGTATGAGATGTGTCTAGCAGGTAAGAGCCAGTTACAGACTGTGGATTGGCAGTACATTGTAATAGATGAGGCACATCGTATTAAGAATGAGCAGACTGTTCTTAGCAAGGTTGTGCGAATAATTCCGTGCACGCACCGACTTCTACTTACTGGAACACCATTACAGAACAATATTCATGAGTTGTGGGCACTTCTGAATTTTTTAGCTCCTGAAGTGTTCTCTGATGGAGAAGGGTTTGACGCGTGGGTGGAGTCTTCTTCAAATGATACAGGAAATGAAACCGTTGATAAGCTCCGAAATCTTTTGGGGCTTTTTATTCTGAGAAGAGAGAAAGCAGATGTAGAAAAGTCTTTACTGCCCAAAAAGATAATAAATCTATACTCACCTTTAACAGACATGCAGAGAAAGTGGTACAAGATGATTCTAGAAAAGGATGCAGAGAATGTAGTTAATGAAGGGTCAAAGGTGCAGTTGATGAATATTGTGTGCCAGTTGAGAAAGTGCTGCAATCATCCGTATCTATTTGATGGGGCCGAGCCAGGCCCCCCATACACAACAGGCGAGCACATTATAGAAAACAGCGGGAAGTTATTGATGCTGGATAAGCTGCTGGTGCATCTTAAGCAGAAGGGAAGTAGAGTGCTTATTTTTAGTCAAATGACAAGAATGCTTGATATTCTAGAAGACTACTGCAATTACAGGCAGCATGAGTACTGCCGAATAGATGGAAGCACAAGCACAGAGGATCGATGCGAGGCAATTGAAGAGTTCAACAAACCCAACAGTGAAATTTTTATATTTTTGTTGAGTACTAGAGCAGGTGGTCTGGGTATTAACCTTGCCACGGCGGATGTAGTTATTGTGTACGATAATGACTGGAACCCACAAATGGATCTGCAGGCTCAGGACAGAGCCCACAGAATTGGGCAGAAAAAACAGGTGTTTGTGTTTAACTTTTTATCAGAGAACACAATAGAAGAAAAAATACTGGAGCGTGCGATGAAAAAGCTGAAACTTGATGAGATAATTGTGCAGAACCAAAAGAAAAAGGACAATGCTATATCGCAGAACGAGCTTTTGGGGATACTTGCAAGCGGCGTGGATGATGTGTTCAACACAGAAAACAAGATAGATCAGTCGATTGAAGAGATTATCAGAATTGGCATGGAAAAAACAGACATACTGAACTCAAAGATTGATGAGCAGGCTGTGCTAAAAGACCTGGCAAACAATGAAATAAAAGCATACGAGTGGGAAGGAGAAGACTACAGCACAAAAAGCGCTAAGCTAAAGCTTGCAAAGTATATTGTAGAGCCAGAGGGAGGAAGAACCAGAGGAATTTCTCAGGGCATACTAACAAAGCGAAAGGCGGTTGGTATACGGCAATTTAGTCTTCCAGAGTACCAATTCCATCCAAAGCGGCTGCATCTGCTCCAGAAGAAAGAAATGGAAAAATTCCAGGAGACAGAATGCCCAGATAATCTTCTGAGCCAAGAAGAGGAGGCAGAAAAAAGACTACTTTTTGACCAAGGATTTAATAACTGGGCAAAGAGGGACTTTTGGATATACGTAAAGGCGTGTGAGCGATATGGAAGAGATAATATAAAAAAGATCTCTGCAAGTCTCTCTGATAAAGGCGTGGAAGAAGTAGAAAAGTATGGAAAAGTTTTCTGGGCCAGAATAGATGAACTTGCAGATGCAGACAAAATCCGTATGCAGATTCAAAAGGGAGAGCATAAACTGCAGCGCACCCAAAAGATAAAAGAGTATCTGAAGGAAAAGATAAAGAAGGAAGGAAACAACTTTAAAATCCCTTATCCAATGAGTAACAAATCACTAGGATACACTGAAAGTGCGGATAGATTCATTCTATTAGCATTAAATAAGAAGATAGGCACTCCGGAGTGCTATGATGAGCTCTGGCATAAAATACGAGAGACTGGCGAGTTTGACTTTGATTATTATCTAAAGGTACGCACACCACAAGACCTTCAAAAAAGAGCTCAATTTTTATTCACTGGTCTATTAAAGGATAAAAAGGGAAGCAGCCCGTCTGGTTAGTATAATCTTTCTAAATCAGATATATGGTTTTGGTCTATCGCAAAATTACAGCCTGTGAACATTTAACTATTTCAGACACCAATTCAAATAAATACAAAATCTGAAAGCCTGTTACGTGCATAATTATTATGTCAATTGTTCTAACATACAAGTTTTATAATAAAGTATTTATGGTCATCTGTGTATAAAGGATCTATTTTCTATATAAAAATCACTTTAAACATAATCTTACTGATATAAATCTTGTTTTTACATCTCTATCTTAAATGTATTTGGATTTCTAGTTTTTAATTTTTATGGTTTCTGCCTTTAAATTAATTATATGATCAGAAAAAGAATATTTTTATGATGGAAATAATGAGTAAAGATTTGTATGTACAGCTGGCAGATAAAATGAGAGAGGTCTACTCAATTGATGATTTAGATACCTTAACAGTAACGAAGGTTATATGTTTAATATTTGATCTATACAAAAGAGAAATTCTATTTCAGGATAAATTCAAATACTTGAATAATCTGGCATACAATACTTTCATGATTATGATCTCTCGTAATATTAAAGATGACCAGATCCTAACTGCTGAAGCAGTTAATGATGCAATTAGAAAATCAATTGAAGAAACCGAAATTATTATGAGTGCTATTGAAGAGGCAGGAAATGAAATGAAAGATGCTAAACAGAGGAAAGCATATTATAATTTGATGAACAACAACCATCTCTCTATAATGCTACAATATAGCCACATACACGATTATATACTAAAGGATTTGAAAGACGCAGTTAATGCCTATAACCCTACATTCTTGTCGCAGCTAACTCCACAAGAGGCAGAAGAGGCTCTTTTAAAATGTAGTATACTTTCTAAAACCACAAGACTGCAAAAAGTGCTAAATATTCTAATTAAGCATGGAGGGAATCTTTCTGGTAATAATGACAATGGAGAAGTCATCGCAAATTTCAGTTCTCTCCACTTAACATCTGATGAAATTTACTCATTACAGCTATTTCTGAGCACAGGATATGACAATCTGTTCTATCCTATTCAAACAATGGAAAAGTCTATTTTTGTATTAGAACATGCGTATGAAGAATTTTCTTTCTTTAAGCCAGTCTTTTCTGCGCTGTTCTTTTTCCTTTCTAAGGACTGCCAGATCATCACGCGGGAATACCCATATAAAGCTGGGCTTATTGCATCTCTACAGTTACTTCAAATGTGTGATAGAGATATTCCTATAGAGAAGATAAATACTTGGTATGCCAATTTCAATGGGATTAACGAAAATGCAAGAGGTATTTTTTTTGAAAATACAATTCCTAATTATGTTAGAACTGTTCAAAAACAGCTAAGTCTAGTTCATCGTCCTGTTATAAAGTTTTTTACTTATAAAAAGCTGCTTCCGCATGAGCTGTATGTTCTGTGTAAGCAGAAAAAGATCGCATTGTATAATACACCACCTTCTGAAGCATTAAATACAATAGATGATTATCTAGAAGCATGTTCTAATATTACAGAAAACGATGTGGTGTATCAGGAAATCACTCCAAACCAATCTACTAGTTGGTCTGGAATTATAGTATTAACTATTTTTTTTATTTTAGTAATAAGTTTTCTTGCTATATTCCTATTACACTGCGATAGTTTGAAAAAAGTTTATGTTAATTACATTATAGTCTGAAATATAGAAAATAAACTATTAACTACTATTAATAGACAAGGAAATCTTAAATAAAGCTACTATTCTATTAATAACAAGCATACATCATTTAGTAGTATATCATAAAAGTTGTTTTCTTAGGAAAAGGCATTCTTAAACTTTGACTTTTATTGAATTTGTATACGTATTTATAGACCGTAAAATCAATTTAATTCATGTTGACTTGTTGTGTCAACAATAATTTCTGATCTAGTCTGAGCTGTCATGTTTATGTAAAACATTACAATAACTCATGTCATGCTAACAAATGCTATTCTTAGCATTACAACAATAAATATGCAATGGCTCTATGTAATACATATTAACAGCTGCATGTTGGTTTTGGATAGTGGGATTCAGAATGCCAAACAAAATGTCGATGTTTGAAGTGGCAAAATATGTGAGTGCCGGCTTTTGTGATTGGAAGTTGTCTATATAAAGACAGCGTGGATTCAATAAATAACAAGTTTTTGTATGTCTAAGTCTTCAAGGAAAAGACAGCTAGTCATTAAGATATAAAATATTTCAAACTATATAAGAATTTACGATTTATTAAAATGTAAGAACAATATGAAGCAGTTAAGAAAGAAATGTATTATATTTGGACTGATGTTTATAATAAGTATAGAAATTGTAATTTGCGGGGGATTTGAACCAATGCATAAGAAAAATTCAAGTAAAACAGATAATCTAAGCATAAGTGGTACACCATTGCTGTCGGATATGTTTAACAATTATAGTTCTGTATCATCTGACAATACTAACCAACTTATGCAGACAGATGACCAGCCATTAGATCTATCTAATCCAAATAAAAGGCCCCATGATACAGACAACAATACTCAAAATTCTAACGCTATCAAAAGAGCTCATTATATGGGTATGAATAACTCGTCAATGCATATAATTCCAAAAACAATAATAGATCTAACATCAGAGTCAGCCTCAAAAATGCCATTAAAAGAAACTTCAGAACTAACCACATTCACTACTATTAATCCTCTTAAAGTTGATTCTAACAGCAACTTGGTTATAACTAGTACATTGTATTTTTGTGCCGCTGAAAATCAATTTATTATACGAAACTATACGAGTTATATAGAAAGTTTTGAAAATGTGTTGGTTTTAAATTACAGTGGGATGTCTAAATATGAAGCAGTAAATCAAAAAAAATATATAATAACTAAAAACTGGAAGAGTGACAATGAAACAGATATTTGGACTATGATTAAAAGTGTGGACATGCGATTTCTTCTACTAAAAAGTGTGTTTAAAAATATGCTAAATACAAGCTTCTTTAATGATTACAGCTTGACCAATCCATTATGGTATGATAGATTTCTAAATGATCTAGTTTATTATATTAAAAGCCATGGCCAACCGACCATACATTGGAATAACCTTGCTACTTCTTTACATAATAATAAGAGAACAGAAGCTCTTGGAGATATTTGGATAAACAAAGAAGTAAGTTTATACTGTTGCTGCAGTGGTATAAATAGTCAAATGGTTTTAGAAGGAGGAGAAAAGGATATACAGCTTAAAAAAAAGTTGAATGCTATTCTTTTAATACCAGAGGTATATGAAGACTTCTATAAGATGCCACAGAATATAGTTGATAATTTTGTTAAAGAAATTAAAGTAGAAATAATGAATAGGGATAAAAAAAATAAGCGTAATAATATAATAGGCTCTGCAAATGATTTAAAAATTGAACAACTACCAGATTTAAAGTGGATTATGAAGTATCTTATACATACTGTACAGAAAAATGAAGCATCGGCAGAAGAAGCATACAATGAAATTAAACAAATTAAATTGCATGGGGATAATGTGAATTTAATAGGCGATTCTAATGCAATAGAAGTATATAATTTTGTATGTAATAAAGTTGGTATTTTTTATAAATATCATGGAGTGGCATATAAACTATACCAGAAACAAAAAGGCGCTATTAGAAATAGAACACGACTAATTCATATAAATAATATGCATGAAATCCGAGCACACAATAAACTGTTAGGGGATGGTAGTTTGAATGCACAACAACTGTTTATATCTATTGCACAGATAAAAAACATAAATGAAATAGAAAATATTGGCTCTACTCATGTTATTGACATAGATGATATAAAACACACTGACATATTCACTGAAAATAACATATTACTAAGCATAAAAGACCATTATCATGTGCAATTTGTAGACAATGAGTGGCACACAGTTACAATGATTCATCTTCCCTACTACATACATAGGCAAAAAAATGGTACAATTATAAACTATCAGTTTCATACAATTAAAGACATAATAACTCATTTAAAAAGCGCTTTTAATATAAGAGAATGCGGTCGACCAAGAGTCATTAAAACAGCTGATAATGATATCTTTGACATAAAAAGAAAAAATAGCATTTGTAGAACAGGGAGAATATATCCATTTAAGTACAATAAAATGGATAAAACCTGGTCGTTAATAACCGATGATTCGGATTTAAACAAAACAGTACAGACAATAGAAAGTGAAAACTGCAACGTGGTATTCTATTACATAAAAGAAGACATCAAAAAAGCCGAGTTCTGTTTTGCACAATTTGTGTATTCATCCGAAGTAAAAAATAATGTTAAGGATGATAATATGGAAAAGACACGGATCCCACTTTTTCTTTCTAAGTTTATGGTCTCTGGTGCAGTGCTTGGGCCGTATGACAAGAATAGCATTAGCTATCATGTATTTAAATTGGGCGAATATAAAGACTTAGTGCCAATTGACTATACAGAGATTTATACTCCTCCATTTTTTAAGACTAATTCAAGTTCTTCCAGAATACAAATAAATGATTCAAGATCGTCAGTAATTGAAAGACATATGAAAGAAAATGATCTGAATTATGCTATTAAACACTATTATAGCGACTTCTTTATACGAAATTCAACAGACTTCTATGAGGACCCCCACTGCTACTACATGAATATTCAATCCGAAATTAATAATGCGACTGGTGATATAAATATAACTTGGAATACAAGATTCTATGAAAGTGTCTATGAGTATACAACATATAAATTTGACAGCAAAATACGAGACGAAAGAAGCCATGTGGGTGCTATTAATCAACCAGCGCATGCTTCTTTCATTGACATGCTACAGCGCAAAAATCCTTCTCTTAATACAGCACTATATGGGCACTGTTTCTACAAAACCCATGCAGAGGTTGACTATAAAACCAGTGCTGTTTTTTGTCTGACTATGAAGGATCTTTTAGAAAAAATGAATGCATATTTAATGGATATAAATACAAAGGATGAAATAATCGATCCTATCTCGGGCACGGTACTTAATAAAAAGGACTATGATCCAAGATTCATTCTAAAAGACATTTCAAGTGCTATTCAAGATAGCAAATTACAAGAAATTAGACAAAGTGATGAAGGAATTATATCCATAAGAGACAATAACCATAACAGCTGCAAATATGGAATTCACTATGATATTTTAAATAATTTAATTAAAACCTACCCCATTTCACGAGAATTACGTTTACAACAACTAGAAAACTATCAAAAAAAACTTAAATCCGTCTCTAAACCCAAAAATATTACACTAAAAAAACACTTTAGCTATAACCACTCGTTTATTACATATGCTACCTAATTAGTCTATTTATAATACTACAATATACCTATTAGTGTGTGTCTCTACATCACTACTATTCTATAGTAATAACCCAAAATATACTGTTTCTAGTTGATTTGTTAATGGTCTTTTATTTTGCTTCATAAATAGAAAGCCAATTTAATATATTTATACTAGAATTGTGGTGACACCACCACTCGGACGGGAACCCTGAGGGCGATCCGTCTGCGCGCCAGCTCGCGCGGTGATCCCGCCAAAGCAAAGGCCGGGATCTCTGAATCAGTATATCAACTTCCGACTATTTAACCGGAGCTCTTCCCCCAATTTAGGGGGAGACTCAGGGAAGCATCGACGGCTTAACTTCAGCGCCAGGCCTAACACAACTGCGCCCGAGACTCCGTGTCCGCGCAGGCTTGGGCCGCTTCCTAAAGACAATAAAGAGCTCTCCCCTTTCACTCTCTTCTCTCTCTTGGCTACGTAGCAGGGCGGCGGTGGCGTTACTACTCGTGAGTACGTCAAGAATATATTACAGATATATCTCTCTAATTTTAACTTAAATCGAACACACCATATTGCATCAATTCAATAAAAATGGTTCATTTAAGTTTTTTTTGAAATATAATTGGTTATTATACACTCGTTAATTAATATGGTATAGCATTATGGATATATTGTTTTAAGGCCTTTATTATAAATTGTTTTTATATAACAGTTAAATGGTTTTAATTGATTCCTATATTTTATTTTTCTTATAATAAATTATGCATAGTTCACAATATTTAATAATAGAATTTATATATAGCAGTAAACACCATAAGGATAAAACACAGAAATAAAAATGATAAACAAAAACATGATAGATTCAGACTATATTAAACAAGATGAGATTTAACACACCTGCATATTAAAGTAGATAATATAGCCAAACATTGACTAAGTTTAACTAGCAACAAGCCCAAATACTCTTAAAAACATAAGAAACACACTATATGTAAATTATTTAAAATAATAAAAATATCTGTTGTAAATTAGATTTAATATAGTAGGAAATTATAACATAGATAAATAATAAAAATTAAAATTAAATTTACTATGTGGTATAAAACCTGCATAAATGCACGCATTATACTTATAATAATAGGATTTCTTTGGTGGGATAGAGTGGTTGTTTCTTCTGTAAATACAATGGCCTCTTCTATTGCAAGTAATAGTGGTATAAAGGAAAGATTAACTCATGAAAGAATTTCAAAAGAACTTCAGATATTATTTCAGAAAAGAGAAGAACTATTCTGCAATATATCCGTATGGAACTATATGATAATTTTTCCTTTTCGCATTACAACCATGTGTTTATGTGAGCTAAAAACGAAGTTGAATATATGTCTGCATAAATATATGCTAGACCTTGCCTTTTATTCTCAGAATAATGAGTATGATGCAGAAATAAGGTTTTATATGATTGAGAGTCAGATGATTATATATATTAAATCAAACAAGCCAGAGGTATACGGCAAAAATCAATTGGTAGATTTATATGAAGAATGTGTTTTAAGTGATTATACAAACGGGCATAATCTGCAAAATAATAAACAAAAATTGAATTTAAAGGAAGACTCTAGAGGGATATATCGGGTATTAAACCTAGGAGACCAATGTGCTTTATTTAAAAAAATACAAGAACTATATAAAAACAATACTATACAGAGGCAAATAGAAAAATTAACTCTCCCAAGAATTTCATTTAAGGATACTGTAGTCAAAGCAGCACTAGAGCTAATTCTAAGCGATCCAGTTATTTATAATGATTTTTCGCATATGGAAAAGGAGTTTATCCCTATGTACACGGAAAACGCACAATTTTATAATCAGCTATTGAATACGTATAATTTAAGCATGCTTGTGTCTATTTACAACATAATCAGAGAAAACAATGAAATACAATATTATAAAACAAAGAACTTAAATAACATAACAAGTATTTGTACGGAAAAAATAATAAATAGCTACCATAACATATCAAATATACTCAATTGTGGGTTTAAAGTACACAAAAACATATCTGTCTCTCAGCAGAATAAACCTGACTCATCCTATAATGTTAATGATGCAATGCAGTATGTGCACTCTACAATATATGGAGCATTGGCCACTCTATATCAGAATGCTCCAAACTATAATAGCAACAACACAGAATTACTTGGAAAGGAGGTATTTAAATTATGGGAGTATATGCTTTTTGAAATTTATATACAAGAATCTAATTGGCCAAGCCATGACTCAGAGAAGGATGAATTAAAACTATATAGTTACACCAACAGTATAATATACGAACACAACTCTCTTCTAGAAGCAGAAACTATAGAACATTTTCATGTATATTATGTAGACAATTCTCGGCACAGATGCCATAGAGTGTGCATTCCATACTACTTCAACAGTAAAGGAGATAAAGTCTGCATGCACACTGTTCATGATATTAACTTCCATCTATTGAACCTTTTTAAGATAGATTTAATAGCTGGGAGTATATTTCCATATTATACCATAGGGAATAGCGGCATATGGAATTACATGAATGAAGTAATGCAGAAGTCCACTTATGTAAAATCAAATGCGGAAATGCATATTCTATTTTACTATATAGAGTTTGAATTCTTAACAGATGGCATTTCATTTGTTCACATTGACTATTTAAACGATGAGCCATTAAAGGAAGTAATTCCAATTCCTTTATTTTTAAATTCCCTAATAAGAGACAGTCTAAAAACAAGCCCCTTTTTATGGACAAGCCCTTTAAACATAGTGCAAACAATGTATTTTAGCAACAAAATCCCAGATAAGCACACGGTTATCCCGCCAATTAAGAGATCTGACTACATTATACACGACTGTTATAAAAATCTGTTTATGGTCTTAGATGATGGGCTGAGCGTTGGTGTTAACTGCTATACTATGTCTTCTAGTTACACAACAGTGTATAAAAAAGGAGTAAAATATAGTGTAATAAAATGGAAAAACCAGATTCCAACCGGAGATTACTTCCACCATCATTATATATACCGATCAGATGAACATGAAACAAATAGTCCTCAGGGCCTACTAAATACAATGGGATTTATAAGCAATAACTTCGATAAACCCAAAAATACAATTAGATTCTGTAAAGTTGGACAGGATGCATACAGCATTTGGTATACAAAGGAAAATAAGTTGAACAATAGAGAAAAAAATATTCCAAGCTATGCTATAGCGAAATTAAATGGATCAGTTTGGGAATATGCTAGGTCTTTTTCTTCATCTAAAATAGACAGCAGCGAAGATAAATTAGACTCTGAGCCAGGGTGTGTTTCCTATTTAGGTGTCCACTATGCGATTTTTAATTTTCTTAAATGAATAGTTGTTATAAATGCAGGCTCTATTATTTATAGCTTGCTGTGCGACAAAATGAAATATTTAAAATTATAGCAAAGGCCTCTGGCCTAAATAATAGAAACAGAATGGCCTCTATACTTTTTATGTGAAGGAGAGCCATAGACAGAAGAGGTATCAGAAAACAAACCATTAGGCTATATTCGCATATGTTGATGGCAGCTCCATAATAAAAGCAATTCTCCAGATATAAATGTTTTGATTATATTAGTAGTTTATCGCAAGTGTTCATTTTCAGCAGAAGCATAGCTTGGCTATTTCTATATTTTACCATGGCAAGAAACCCGGCGGGCATGGAATATACACGTGCGGCCATATGCCTGCGTACACACCAGAACCCGTTCGATCTCTGAAGTTAAGCGCGTGACAGCTTTGATAGTACTGCGATGGGAGACCGCGTGGGAACACAGAGTGCTACACTTTTTGCCCTTTTTAATTTTTGGGATATAAAATGCGTCATACGCATTCAATGTATGTTCTCCTAGTGTAGAGTTAATGTAATTATAAAAAAATGCCTTGGTAATGATATTTGTGCTATAATTAATTTTCGAATGTTGTTCAATACAATACGCTATATGAGAAAAGTATACTGGAATTAGTGCCTGAAAGATGGAAAGAAATCGTAACTCAGGAGGCCTGTTAAGAGCTATTTATTAACATATTATGCGACTTTGTGCAGATTGGCAGATAATTCTTGGCATTTTCTTTTAGAATGCACTAATTTATCTTGTATGCCATTCTTTTTAAGTATTTCTATTATCAGGATAAAAATGTCTTTGGCCCTATTAACATCTGCCTCCTCACCAATGCTATCCAATAGAACATTCTCTGAGATATATCTATCTATTAACGCAGCAATACTGCTTCGCATCCAATCGCTAAGCGTCTGTGTTTCTATAAGGGCCAGCTCGGATTCAATAACCTCTTCTAAGTTTGATAAAGCCTCTACTTCTTCATGCTTCTCCATAAATCTATAGTCGGTGAAGGGGCCCATTGCCCGTTCCACTTTCTCCTCTAGAACTCTCTCTAGAATATCTAACATGCTATTTTTGAACTCTCCCAAATATGGAGCATTCAATATAGTCACTTCTCCAACTAGAATGCCAAATTCAGTCTCTATATCAATTAACTCTTCTTCCAAATGAGATATTTCCTCTATGAAATGCACCAGAATCGCCTGTTCTTCTGTTTTTTGGTATAAAAATGAGTTCAAAAAAACCGTCAGTCCATCCAAGTATTTCTTTATCGCCGCCTCTAGAAGAACAGCATGGGCGTCAGGAATAATAGAGTAAAGGGCTGCTGCCTTCTTAAACGTTGTCTTAAGAAGGTACATAAACATATCGCTCCACTGTGTATAATCCTTCTTCATAATACCATGCAACTCATTCTCTATTCCGCAAATAAACAGATTTTCTATAAAGTCTGCTTCTTTTTTTGGAATCTTCTCTATTCTCTTGTACTTGTACAACGAAAATAACTCTCTTTCAAACAGTGAAAGTTCTTCTGCATGGTGCATAATAAGCTTCTTCTGCTGCTTTGAGCTGCTGTATATGCACTCGTTCAGCTTTTTATATATTATATCGCCATAAATCCAGTCAATTAAGCTATGAAAGTATTTTTCTTTTATAACACTCTCCTCGATTCCCCCTTCTTCTGTCTCTAATTCGTCAATTTGGGACAGAACAGAAAATATTGTTTCGTGTTCTGCTATAATACCCTTAAGATAGTCTAAGTACCACTCTGGCTTGTCTAGTCGATTTGTCTCAAATTGGCTGAAAAAGTGGTTAGTAAAGCCTTCCACGACATCTGCAAACAAACCATCCAAGTACATCTCTCTTCTTCTTTCTATTTTATCTGCTCCATCCTCGCAAAGCGCAATTGATCTGTTTAGTCCTTTGATTAAATCAATTAGCTTATCCACTCTAAGGTTGCTTGATACTTTTTTAGACTGAACAATAAACTTCCTTATTTCCTCTGACAGATGCTCTGTAATGGCCACTGAAAGAGTTTTAAACCCAGACTTCTTTGCCTCTTTTCCCATTAAAACTATCTTTTTTACTGTTGCAGGCATGTCCTTGGAAAGAACAAGCTCTAGCCGATTTACATTCTCAATTGCCTGAATGTACTCTTTTCGAATTTGCTCTTTTTTCTCCTTTATTTCTTCATTTTCCTTATTCAGTGCTATTATTTTTGCTTTTTTAAGTGCCTCCTTTTGTTTATTTAGATTATCTATTCTCTTCTGTTTCTCTTTCTCTAGCTCGCTGCATAGGGTTCTTCTTTTTTCAATGCTTACCTGGATTTGTTTTAGCATTTCTGTGCGCTCTCCTCTCTTTTTCTCTTCCTGGGATAAAAGATTTGAAATTCTTTCTTCTATTTCAAGCAAGTCGTTGGCTCTCATTATAGAAATTGTTTTGCAAACAATATTTTTTAACAAATGGAAATTAGCTCAAATGAACCCAAGATAGCTCTTACACTAAGCAGCATTTGCAAGAGAACCATTCATTTGAAAAAACAAAGTGATGATGAAAGCAATAATGCAACAAGTGAATACATACAAATACTTAAGAAGCTATCTGCTGGCGCCTCTATTAAAGAAGAAAGAGATGAATACATATATACACCGGGAACAATAAATGGAGGAGAGCTTTCCTTTCAATGTGTGCACAACACAATTCCCGATGTTATTATTGCTCTTCTTCCACTGGTTCCATTTTGCAGGATACCAATACGGCTTACACTCAAAGGAACAACAAACAAGAAAGAGTTTACTTCAATAGACATGGTCCGTGCGATGTACTGTAAAATATTAAGTCAGTTTGGAGTTGTTGCTGAAGTTAAAATAAACACAAGAGCACTTTACCCATCCCAAAACGGAGAGGTTCTTTTTATGGCAGAAACCGCTACATCACTATCCCCTGTTATATTAAGCCACAGGGAAGAATTAAGAAGAATAATAGGAATAAATTATTCGGCTAAAATAAACAGCGACACAGTGCACACGGTAAGTAATGTAGCAAGAGAGCACCTAAGTCAAATATCATCATCTGTTAAGATATACAATGACATAGGGAATAGCAAAACAACCAGCGGCACGCCTGGGCAAGGATCAGTTCTTTTGGCATTTGGTCATAATTCTATTTATGCTGTAGAGTACACAGTTGATGGAACAGATTCATTAGTAGAATTAACCGCAGAGGAAAGAATAAACAAACTAGTCCAAGTGTTTTATAAGAACATAAGAAGTAGTGGATCATACAGCCATACAGTACAATACTTTATTTTTATACTATTATCACTAACAACAGTTGATGCGAGTTCTGTTATCATCAGAAGAATCTCACAGAAAGACAAAGAAGTTCTTTTATTACTAGAAAAAATAATGAAATACACATATACAGTAGAACCTTATATAAAAACAGAAAAAGACATTAATTCAGGTATTCCAGACAATTTGCTTGTAATCAAGTCGTGCGGGGTTGGATACACCAATATTTTCAAGCCTATCCAATAATTTAGACCTGTTTATTATTTAGTAAGACTCTTAATTTATTGTTTATTATATAATAAATATTTATAAAAATAACCCAGCTACATTGAAGAATGACCACAAGACCATTGCGCAATATTACTTCATTATTCAGAACGGTGTACTTCACATTTTCTTGTTTGTTTTATCTTATAGCCTGCATAGTTATAATACCAATAGTTTATGGAATATACCAAGGTCTTTCATTTCTTGGTATAAATATGGAGGGATTTAAGGCGGCTGTGGGCAAACTATGGCTACTGGTCACACAGTCTCTGTTATGCATACTGATAGGAGATAACACGTATTTTTTGCATGAGCCAGTAACACCGGATCAGCTTATGAACAACACGCTAATTATATCAAATCACACATCATACGTTGATTGGATATACATATGGTCATTACTTCTAAAAACCGGAAGAGAAGGAATTTCATTTATTGCAAAGGAGGCAGTTGGCGCATTTTATCCTTTAAAGCTGGGAATGGACATGCTCAACTTTGTTCTTCTCAGCAGAAAGATGGATGAAGACAAAAAGCGGCTTAAGAAGGCCTGCAGTCTGCTCCATGAAAACAATTGCTACAATTTGGTAATGTTTACAGAAGGCACATTTATTGATGAGGCGACGAAAAAAAGAGACATTGAATTTATGAATAAGGAACTCCGTAATAGACAATTATTAAAGGAGCTTTCTCCAAAGGAAATACAGGAAAGAAACATACACACGACTATTCCCCACGATATAGACAATGTATTTCAAGAAGTATTATTTCCTAGAGTGAAAGGAATTAAGTTCCTTTTGGATGAATTAAAGCCGACCCTTAAAAATATTCTGGATTGTACGATTTATTTGAATATGAAGGGTGCGAATACAATCTATCCGTCCGATCACTTCACAATAAAAAATATTATTCTTGGCCGCTGTTCACGCATGCAAGCACTGATTATTTGTGAAAATATTAAATTTACAAATAAAATAGCAGAGGATTCAAGCAACTGGATATATAATAGATTTAAGAAGAAGGATGAGCTGCTTAAGCTGCTTAAGCTACAAAGGAATGACAAAGATAATATTGATGAAATATGCCATGAATATAAGCAGAAGGGATATTCGCTAACAAGAATATATCCTTCTGTTAAAGTGACTGTTTTCTTATCAGCAGGTGCACTTCAGGTTATTTTTTCGCTCATATATATATTATATTTTCTTAGTGGGTTTATTTATAGGGGCATAGCAGATTGCCACAAAATAATAGAAGCATTTTATGGATAATGTAAGAGTCCTAATAAGTATTAGTATACTTTAGTAACTAATGTAATCTATTTAATTACTGATTATTCTATGGATATCTACTGGGTTAAACCAGTTAATATAAGTATTTATAGTGTGATTTGAATTTATAGAAGGCAGATCATAATAAAACTTACTGTTTATTTGTTTTTATGCAATTCAAGCCATGGATGAGCTCATAAGGTGTACATTGTAAGATATGGTGGTGTGTATATTTCAAGCGTCTATGAATAAGGGTGGTTAGTTCAGTAATCGTAGTGTTCTTGAAGTGCGCCAGTATGAAGCGGATATCTTGATTGATACGTTCGGATATACTGTTTCCTGTTGGCTTATACTGTGTACTGTTGATCTGTCTTACTCCCTTGTGTTTAAAGTAGTCCACTGTTGTTTGTGCAATGTATTGCTTCCCTTGGTCACGTAATATTGTTTCGAGACATCCATGTTGTTCGGTCCAATTCTCCATACATTTGATAACCTTGGCTGCAGTGATAGTTGTGGTCGCTTAAACCTGTGTCCATCGTGTGCATCGGTCGGTAACGGTAATGAGGAATCGTTTCTTGTTGTCATGGGAAATTGTGAACGGTCTGAAAATATCTGAGCATAGATCGGCCAGAGGTGTAGAAGTGCTAAGTTGTCCTAACGCTGTTGTACCAGCTATTGTTGGTGATATGGCGTTGTGTTGACAATCATCTTAAGGTCTACGGATAGCCCTGCATATACTGCTATTTTCTTGAGGTTCTCTTGCCAGACCTTGAATTCTAGACGGTTCTCTGGATGTTTCAGTTTAGTGAGTGCCATGGTTTGAAAGAGGTTGGTTTGTTCTTGGACCTCTAGATTGCAGTGTGGATACACGATGATGTTTATGATTGACAGTTATATTTGGTCTTCTCTTCTACCTCAATGCTCTACTCTTCGTGCTACCTTGCCTTCACTTTCTGCAGTTAATCCCATTGCTGGAACTATTAATGAATTCATTATGACGCGCTCCCGTTACGGAAGCCGGTTGTGAGTGAGGTAATAGTCAACTCGAGAAAGGATATCAGAATAACTGAGTGTTCCTTTATTGAATGCACGGCTGGATGCGGTATAATCGCGTGGCGGTGTCTTGAGTTCTGTCGTTGTCATTTATATCAGTGCTCTGCTTAATTGAAAATCGTTTTAATTTACACTTTTAAAGTTTCTGGAATTATATTAAGTTGTTAATTGAGGAGTGGTTTATCACAGTAAGATATTTGTTTTGATATATTAGATACATTACATTTTATCAAAAAAGCAAGATATCTTGTTTACATAATATTGGTTAATTGGCATGGCCCTATGATTAGTCAAATTATCTCCTTAAAGGCAACCAATAAAGTTAAAAAATTATAAATAAATGATTAAAAGTTTTTTAATATTAATAAGAAAAATGAAGAGCGTACAAACAGCTATTATAATAATGATAGTGTCTTTATTGATAATCAGAGGAGAAAACAATTTTGATAAAGCTAATAATCCAGCAAATAATGTGCATGGATTAAGTGAATCAGAATTTAAATCTGAAATTGAGAAAATAGAACAGAATGAATATAAAAATTTAGCGTATACAAAAGATTATTTCACATCAAATGATCTTATGTGGAAATATGCATTTTTTTATCCAAACAAAGCAACTCGGTGGTTTTTAAGTGAAAAAATATACGTTTATACTGAGTCAGACTCTGTTCTTGCCAAAGGAGTTATACTTTGTGATAAAATTAATGTTAAAAAAGACTTAAGTAATATTAAAGAAAAAATAGAAGAAAAAAAGAAAGCAATTTCTGATTTTGAGAAGGCGTTTGAAAAGCCTGTTGTTGGTAAATTTATATACGGCAATCCTAAGAGCTTTGACACATGGGCACCAAAATTTATCAATCCTATAGAGCTTATTAAGTGGCAGTGGTTTAAATTTAACAAAAAGGTAGTCTTTCCAACAAAGGAGGAGCTTAAAACAGAGGTGCCTGTAAAGACACCAGTCTTTATATCAGACTTAGAGAAATACACTAAACAAGTAGAAAAAACTGCAGAGGTGACATGGCTGGGGCATGCTTGTGCATTAGTAAGCGTTTATGGAGTAAACATTATTACAGACCCTGTTTTTTCTCCTACTGCATCGCCTATGCCGGTAAAAATGAAAGCTTTTTTGAGATATGTTGATCCTCCATGCAAAGTAGAAGACCTTCCTGAAATGCATGCTGTTGTTATTTCTCACACCCACTACGACCACTTCGATTCTAAGGCAATTGAAGGTATTAACAAAAAATCACCAAATGCAGTATGGTATGTTCCTAAAGGAATTAACAGACTGCTTAAAGGCTACAAAATTAAGAATATAGTTGATATGAACTGGGGAGAAAGTGTAACAAGAAATTATACACAGAAGGATGGAAATATAAGCACACTTAAGGTCACATGCGTACCATCACAGCACTGGAGTGGTCGCACAGCACTCGATCCATTTAAAGATCTATGGTGTGGATGGGTTACAAGCGTATCATCAACTGAAAAGAAATTCCAAAGTAAGTCTGTATTTTTCGCTGGTGATACAGGAATGTGCAGAAAAGAGTTCATTAAAATAGGAATGTGGTTTAACATTGATATGGGTCTAATCCCCATAGGTTGCTACATACCAAGCAATTTCATGCACCCTCAGCATATTTCTCCCAAGGAAGCACTTGTTATACACGATTCAATACGTGCGAAAAAGTCCATGGCCATCCATTGGGGAACATATGATATGGGAGCATCTGAAGACTTCTTACAGCCAAGAGAAGATCTTATAAAAGAAAGATCTAACCTTGGAATAGGAGAAAACAAATTTGTGGTAGTAAACCCAGGAGAAAGTATTTCCTTTTAATTATTGAATGATAAATTGATTTTATCGTTTATTAATAAGGAATAAGTCTAAATGCTCGGTTTTATTTAAGTTTTTTATAGCCTATTTAATAAAAACCATATAGATTTATTGTGGTTTATAATTATTTGTAAGGCATAAATAATATTTTATTTATAATAAATTATGCATAGTTCACATAATTTATTCTTTACAATAAATTTAAAATATTTAAAAATTCTTGTATGCTAGAATATTTTATTTATAATAAGAATATAAGCATAAAAACAAAATATTATTATAGCAAGAAATATTCTAAAATTTAAATAAATATTAAGACTATAGACATATATACTGTAAGGCATAAATAATATTTTATTTAAAATAAATCATGCCTATATTACATATACCAAACCACTACAATTACATACTAATAATATACTGCTTATTTCGGGTTGGTACATGAAGTTATAAGAAGAGTGTTTTATAAGACAAATCATATTTAACCTAGAAATACAACTTATGTAATTTTCTGTTGTTATTTATTATAGTAATATTTCTAGTCATGGTATATTGTAACCCGAATTATAATTTGTGCTTTGTGTGATAATTAATCAATAAACGCATGCTCTGGCTAGAATGCATAATGCTATAAATATCTTCATACGTTTTATGTGGTTTGTGTATTTACTGTTTTTATCTGGGTTTTCTACTAATTTAAACTCAAACGTGTCCATATTAAAAATATTTAAATATCCTTATGTATACGTGTTTGGTTTAAAAGTAATAGAAATAACCAGATAAAATGCCAAGCATTAAACATGCCAAACAGAAATAGCCCGAATAGTAAATTCGAGTTTAATGAACTATTCTGTTTTATTACTAATTTAACCGTGTATTGTATAAACAATGTCAATTCACATATTTACTAAGCAATCCATTATATTTTGTAGTATACCCGAACAACTAAAAATTATATTTTCAATTATATTTTGTGGTATACAGCCCAATATCTAACAAACAGTACTTGCGCCATATAAAACAAATTAACAAGAGCTAGTGCATAAATAAATACATATAGCCGCAGTTATTCAATTATTTATAATACTATTCAAAATACAATTAAACCACACTTTTATTTAATACATAGTACAGAATAAATATAAAACTATTTAAGAATATTTTTATGTATCCACTCACAGTCATAAGAATAGCAAGAGGGCATGAAGTAAAAATAGAAATGAAAAGCGGCAGTGTCTATACAGGAACACTTCATAAATGCGACCTATGGATGAATATCCACATGAAAAATGCAGTAAAAAATGCATCAGAAGAAATAGAAGAGTGCTATATTAAAGGTTCAGCAATAAAGACAGTTCACTGCAAAAAGAAGCATCTTTCCATGCAAGAAATCCTCCAAAAACGAAAAACAAAATAAACACGTATATAAATTAGACTAACTTATAAATAGACCTAGAATTAAACTCGCATAAAACAAGAATTAAAATAAAATTTGTTTTATCATTAATCAAATGACTGAAAGGCATTGGAGGCAATTATGTATTTATATTTTATTTTTAAATTTTTAAATAGTAAGAAGAATGAAGATAGAAGAGATACACAACAAGGATTTATTGCTATCAGATAGAATTGATATATTATACAACTGGAGAGCGACCGAGTACTTCTTTCAGTACGTACAGGACACCAATGTAGTGACCAATAAGATAATTCCATTACTTATAGAGGGTCTAGCAGGGACAAAGGAAGATAAGAAGAAGACCATGTCTGTTCTTATAAGAATCCGAATAAACAGCAGTATTCCGTCTGAACTGATAGATAGGCTAATAGATATAGTAGAAAAGGAGGCACTGACCAATATATCACTTGCTGTCAGGTGTTTGATTGAGATCACTAAGAAGACAAAGCCAACGGCACAGCAGCATATAAAGATTCTATCAGCAATTACAGGGTTTTTTATGAATCTGACGAATGACCTGCACTCGTCAGAGAATGAGAATGAAACGAGAAGGGCACTTTTATTGAGCAGCGAGCCGATTATTCTGCTTTTATTTTTAACACAGATATCACGAGAGGAGTTTATAAAGAACTTTCTGCCGTTAGCAAAGGCTCTTTCGTCTTTTGTTTTGTTTTTCATTCAACGGACAGATTCTATCAATTTATATCTTATTAACGAAAACATAAAGTTACAGTGCATTACGACTCTTACGCAAATAATTTCGCTTTTTATGAGTGTTCTTAAGGACAATCCGCCGGAAATAGTAGCACTATCTTCTTTTATTCCGGAACTAAGCATATTCTTATTGGGGTACTGTCCAGATGATGCGGTGACTATTAAGAAAGACATATACCACCACTTAAGTATTCTGAAGACAGAGAAGAAACGTATTTTTGCCTCATATTCAGAAATAATTCTTAAGGATGGGATACTGCTACGGCCAAAGAACCCAGTGCTTAAGTTATTGGGCCTTACATTGTCTACAGAGTTTTTGATTATGTTCAGGGATATTACACACAGGCATCTTTCATTAAAAGTGTGCAGAGAGGCCGCGAAGATTATGTGTGAGTCAACAGACCACACGCTGAACAAGCTGTGTGCGAATGTATTAGTGCAGATAAACGATACAACTATTAGTGATAACATAAGCATAGCAGAGAAGGGGTTCTTTATACGGATGAATTACAGCGCGTTTGTTACGGCATTTAGGCATTACAGCAAGTTGAAGGTGACTGAGGAAACAAAGAATGTGCTGCGCTCAATAATACGAGGAATGAAAAACACAATGCACTACTTTTCTCTGTTCCAGAACATTCCTTCAAACTCAATTGTGTTTTCCTTAAAATGCTTCAGCCCGTATGAAGTACAGGAGCTGTCAAATAATCTAGGGATTGCATTTACGCCGTTCAACCATTTTGACCTAGAGAAAAAATCAGATATTATCATTGTATGCGAATTTCTGCTAATTTTCTTTTATCTGGATGCAGCGCTGTTTGAGAAGGTGCTTCTAGATAATGTGGAAATACTTTTCAACAGCACAAAGAAGAACAAGGACATGTTTATTATTTGGAGGCAGTTTTTGGCATATGCGGGTGTTGCGAGGAAGTTTTCTGAGATAATCATGCGAGAGCTGCTAAAAATAGCGCACAACGAGAAAGACAAGGAATTTATTATTCTTGGGTTCAGAGAAATATTTACATCATTTGCAGTGCACACTGTGGAGATAGAGAGTGTAGTAGCCGGCAACTTGTTAGAGATCTTTAGGAAGTGTTTAGTTTCAGAAGAGCGACTGCTGTACACACTAGAAATAGTGAAGGATTTATTTAAGGCGGCAGGAAAGGAAAAGCTAGATAATCTGCATAAAGAGATGGCACTGGCTCTTCCTGGATTTTTTGTAAAGATAGAGGAAATAATCAGGCACCATCCAAATCGAGTTGAGCCAGTAGAGCTAATTTTGACCATTCCAGTAAAGATATCAGGCCTTCTTCCATTTTTGGGGCAGATGTCAAAGGTTCTTGTTCGGGCGCTGTGTCTAAAAAACCAGCTGTCTGTGCTTGCCATGGAGATTCTTGAAATGTGTGTGGACAACTTGAACTCGGAGTTTTTGATATCCTATTTAGGTGATGAGATTGACAATATATTTACTACTTTAGTAAATCTTGTGCAGGAGGAGGAGAGTTCGGTGATGGCAATTAAGCTGCTTGGAAAGCTGTCTGGAAAGGCAAGCACGTCTTTTAATGTGACAGCATCGGGCAAAGATGAGAAAAAGTCATCACTGACTGTTATAATTCCGGGGAAAACAGACAGGATACAAATAGGAATTTCAGAAATACTTATGAAAGCCGCAAAGATTCTTTCTGGCGAGGCACCGGGCAGCCAGGAGCAGGCACTTGCGCTTGTGGGGCACTACTTTTATATGTTTCTTAAGTGGGATGAGCTTTCTGACACTATTCTAAGAGTGTGGAGCAGGGAGATGGAGGTAATTAAAAATGCCGACTTTAAGGAGCTACACAGCAAGGTAAGGTCGGGCGCCTTTAATCCAGCAGATGAGGAGTGGGTTGCAGAGCAGGAGGGTATTACTATACCGTGCGAGCTAATCAGCGCGCTGTTCAAGTGCGCAGCAGATCCCAGAGAAAAACAAAGCGCCCCGATACAAAACACAATAGCAACAGTTACTGATATATACAATGTTGGAACGCTGCCGGGCGGAGAACAGGCATGCGCAGCAACTGAAGACGTGGACGGCGACATAGCTGGGCAGGCATCAGCGAACGCGGTGGAGGCAAAGAAAATGCTGATAGCTCTTTATTCGTTTGTGTCGATTTTCAAGTCACTTGAGCTTATATACTTTGAAGAGTTCCAGAGGCGGGTGCGGGTAGATGTGTTTCATCTAATATCTGCATTAACGCGTGCATTTGGCCATCCCAGCACCGAGGGAGTGGCTCAAACAGTGCTAGCAACGATGTATAACATTTCTCTTAAAATATGTGGTACACGAGAAAAGACCTCACAAATGACTCTTTTCTATAATATACTGCACTCATTCTGCTCGGCCTGCTATGCACATAGCGATGAAGAGAAAATATGCGGTATTCAGGGGATTTTATTTATGACACAGTCATTGGAAATAGGCGTCAACTGGCTGTTGTATCAAGAAATCCGGATAGTAAAGGCTCTGTTCTTCTCTCTTTCATCAATCAGATATAATACTGTGGAAAGTGTGAGGGAGGGGATATTCCATATATGCAGAACCACGCATGATCCGGCTGTTGAGGCAGAACCAACGAAGTCAGAGTACTTTATGCAGCTAATATTTACATTTGCGCAGGAGCTGAGCCATCCGTTGGAAAGGGTTCGCAGCGTTGCTAGAGAGTGTTTGAACTACAGTGCAGAGCTATTTGGATCCGATGCTTCTGCATTCTTGCATCCAATAAAAGAAAAGATTCTTGCACAAGTTCTTAGCAAGCCACTCAGAGCCTTGCCAGATGGGGTGCAGATAGGAAACATGGAAATAATGAGATATTTGTTTGGCCTGAGGCCCCCTCTTATGACTATAGACGACCGGATGGAAAGGTTTATTGGAGAGGCGTTCAGAATCATTGCATCACCAAATGGGACAATTGAGTTGAAAAAAGCAGCTGTACAGTTGTTTGTGGCAGCAGCAAATTCGCCTGACTTTAATTCGATACATCTGTTAATGAAAATATCGCAAATGCTAATTAAGGGATTATTTTCGAAAGAGGAAGAAATATGCGACGTGTGCCGGGATGGACTAAGACAGATGTATATTCTAGGAAGGGAGCCAGAAAGAGAACTGCTACAGACGTGGTTAGTGCCAATTGTTAATACAATAGGGCAGAAAAAGAATGTTGAGTCAGTTATTCCAGGGCTTCTGCATTTGCAGAGTCTAGACCGGGAGCTGTTTAAAACAGGCCTTGCAAGCAGTCTGCTTGAAATACTAACTCAGCAGGGGCCTGGGCTAAGTCTATCCGAGGAGATCGTGGACATGATTTATGAAATATTTGCAAAGACGCCGCATCTGCCAGAAGGCGAGTTTCTCACGCGGTCTATTTTGACGTATGTGCATCACTTTAAGACCACACCACCAAAAATGAAAAGAAAGGGAATATCCGAGTATCTATCAAATAGGCCAATGGCAGCAAGCTTTTTGTTTAGGCTAGCAAATGATGACGACACAGCATACTATATATTGCACAGGCATTTGTTGGAGATTTCGGCAGGTAGCGTTCTTAGAATGAATAATCTAAGCGTGGGCAGTCAGCACAGCGGAACTCTGTCTGGAGGGCACTATCGAAGCAACCATTCAATGATAGTGTCGGCACAATCCACGTGGAGGCAGTATGTGCTGTCAGATGCAGCGGGAGAGGCGTTTACGCTAGATAGTATAGACCGAATGGTTGATATATGGAGAGAAACAACAGGAGATGCAGAGTTTGAGAGAATTGTGAGGAAATGGAGCTTTAAATCTGTGGAAGGATTCATTCGGTATTACACAGTGGAGGAGCTGCGCACATTGCCAATTAAAAGACCACAGGAGGATAGTGAATTAGTGCTTGCGCTTTTCATGGACTCGCTTAATAAGGAGATAATACTGAAGATAGACCCGAAAGTGCAGAAGAGAATTCTTTTGACAGTTGAGCCATTGATTACGGACAAGTCTATTCTTTGTGTGGATGGAATGCCTCCCTGGAGAATTGAAGTGGCTATGATACTTATTAAAGATGGGCCAACCTCTTTGTTACAGCAGAATAAACCTGCATACAGCAATGTGAAGCCGCAGGGTAGAGCATCTGCGCGGTCTGCTATGAGAAGTGCAAAGAACTCAAGAGGAAACAGCCCAAGTCTTGGAGAGGGGGTGGGAAGCCCTAGAGAGTCCGCAGATCGATATAGAATAGCAGAGTATCTGACACAGGTTCTGGAGCTTGAGGCACTAGAGCCAGTAGATGCAATTCGAATTACAGCATTCTTAGTTGAATTTGATCCTCGGCCAAATACAGATGCCTTTTTACCTCTTATTACAGCACACCCAGAGTATGCGGAGCATGCAATTAAAGGAATAGTGTCGCTTCTAAAGCGATATGGCGTAGAGCCGTTTATTGAAAGCATATCCTCTGCGCTGGAAGACGACACGCTTTACCGCACGCATTTGTATATTTTCTTGCCTGCTATTGTGAAGGTGCCGGAGCTTTTTACGGGATCGGGAATTGAGGCGGTTGTCTGCACAATGATACAGCGCCTGTTTACATCAGGAAGCGCGCGGATTGCACTTCTTCTTCTGCAGGCATCAATTGTTTGGTATAAAGAGGGTGCAATATGCGATGGTGTGGCGTTAATTTTAACAAGCTCGTATGTGCTGTACTATATCCATAACAAGACAGGAGAAATAGTAGAGGGAATATCCGCGCTTCCGTTTTATGACCGGCCTATTTTAATAGCAGCAGATAGAATACATCCACAGTCAGTAGCCACACTATATACTGAGATAGGAAAGAGTAGTAAAGCGCTTGCAGTTAGTTTACGAGGGGCAGTGAATGCCTGTCTGGTGGAAGAGGGCATGGGTGCATTGGAGCAGATTATTCCAGTGGCAGCCAAGGTAGATAAAGAGTGTGTGAGTGAAATATTCCAGGGCCTGATTGCAAAGGGAATATTCCCCAAGCTGGCTATTATGTGTGCAGAGCTGCTTAATGGAGAAGAGCCTGCAGAGAAAGCAATGCACATGCTGGAAGAGAGTTTGAAAGATGGAACAAGCACATTATCTGATACTTTGCCAGCAGGGCTAAAGCTTGCTCTGAAATATCCAACAACAGAGATTCTTACAGTACTAGCACAGATTTTATCAAAGTATCCAGAGGTGTTCAGATACTCAGAAACTGCTGAGGGTGTTGTGAATATAGTGCAGAGCCCGAATGTGCCATCGGCATTAAAGCAGAGTGTTCTGCTAGCCATGGAGTCAGAAGAGTATCAGGAGATAAGGCTGGGTTTAGTGCATACGGCATATATTGATCCACAGATGCACAGAGAAGACATAGTTTCCGGGTTACAGCCGCTGTTTGTTAAAGGTCTTTCCTGTTCTTCAGATAGAATTAGATCAGATTTTTTCAAGGTCTTTGACCAAGGCGTATCATCAATACCCGAGGAGCGGCTTCTTTATCTGAGCACATTTGAGTGGGACTTGTTTGAAAAAGGCACATGGCTTCCTGCCTTCTGCCGAATGGTTTTAGGAATGTTTGATGTAGTCTCGCTGCAGACTGTTGCATTCTGGGACTTGAGTGGCCTTGAGTTTGCGGAGCCCTATAGCATGTTGTCGAAAGAGGAAGATATTAGGAATGCGCCAGAAGAGATTACAGGCCATGCCGCATTTGGATCTCTTCCAGCACTTTTCCAAGAGTTTAAGAAGTATAAGGCGTCAAAGAAGTCTGTCATGGGCTGTGTTTTGTCTCTGCTGCATGATAATGAATTGGCTGCATCGCAGATTATTAAGTCTCTTCTTCCAGGAATTATAGAGTATTTGCCAGAAAGAATAAAGTCATCGCTGCACGCAAGAATAGAAGATATGCTTGTGCGCCTAGGTAAATTGGGAGTGCCCAGAATATCCGAAACTGCAGAGTGCATGATCATTGGGATTTCAACTCTTTGCCAGAGTGCATCAAACTATGCTCCAATACGCGCGGTAGAGAGCAAGTCAGAAAGCGAATGTCTGCATGGATTTACTGAAGAGCAAAATGAAAATGAAAAGAAGAAATCGTGTGAAGCATGTAGAATTCTTGAAGTGTCGCAGTACACTGGTGCGTGGTCTGCAGCTGCGCATGTTCTGCAGGACAAGCTAGAAACAGCAGCTATTTATAATGCTATAGAAGAGAAAGACTACTTCCTAGCGCAGCTAAGAATTTCTGCGTTTTATCCAGAAACTGTGCAGGCTCTTCTTTTACAGCAGATTGGAGATATTAAGTCTGCACAAGCAGCATACGAAGACATCCAGACAAAGGCACAGAGCGGGGTTCTTCTCTACAATGAGTCTGAGTATAAGATTTGGGAAGAGCAGTGGATTGACTGCGCAGAGCATATGCAGCAGTGGGACCTTCTATCTGAGATAGGCGTAGCAACAAAGAATCCCAGCCTAACAGCCAAGGCAAAGTGGCACTCGTTAGACTTCTCCATCGAGTCAGACAGAACGGCCTTTAAGGGCCTGCTAGACGGGATACCTTTAATTGACAAGACATTCTACTATTTATTCATTATTGGGGAGAAAACACAGGAGACCGAGCAGTCTCTTTACAGAATTGTTACATCTACAATAGAAGAGATAGGGAAGTATCCCAGGCTGTCGCCAAGGCAGCTGCGCGCGGTGGAGCGGTTCCAAATAGTGGTGGAGATGAATGAGTCATGGCAGATAAATGGATCAGATGATTTAAGAAGAGATCTTACGGGAATACTGCAGGCGTGGAAAGAAAGAGTTCCATTTGAGTGGGCCTCTGTGTCATTTTGGTCTATGCTGGTCCGATGGAGAACGCATGTATTTTCATCCATATGGAATGGGCGAACAAAGGAGAAGACCCTACAGTACAGAGGATATCATGAAACAGCGCATATTCTAAATCTTTTCTCAAAAACGCTGCGAAAGCACCAAATATTACCAGCCGCGCTGTCTAATCTTGATAGCATATATACTCTGCCAAATATTGAGATATCAGATGCATACATGAAACTAGAGGAGCATGCAAAGTGCTACTTGCAGATGAAAGAGTATGCAGCGGGGCTAGATCTTCTGGGAATGACAAACTTAAACTACTTTACACCAGCCCAGAAGAGCGGAGTCTTTTTGCTACGAGGGACCTTGCTAGAAGAGAAAGGCGCGCTGGAAGATGCAGCAAAAGTGTATGCACAGGCAGTGCAGGTTCATCCAACCAATGCCAAAGTATGGTATCGTTGGGGGCTTCTATCCAGCAAAACAAACAGAGCCAATGCGGTCAATGCATTTATGCAGGCTATAGCAATATCTCCTGGCGCATTGGCAAGAAAGGCGGTTGTGGAAATAGTTTCACTGATGGATCTTGAGCCGGCAAACAAAGAGATTGAGAAGATTTTCGACACAGCAGCTGCAGAAATAGATGTTTGGTGCTTTGTTCCGTTTGTTATACAGATTGTCTCAATTCTAGCAGGAAGCGGATCTTTAATGGCAGCATCTGTTCTCTCAAGGGTGGCGCACATATATCCACAGGCAGTTTATTTCCCTATAAGAAATGCACTGGAGGAGGAGAGAAGAAGTGGTGTAAAAGAAGGGCCAATTTCAGACCTATGGACATTCCTAAAGACCGGATTTACACTGATGTGCATTAACATTGAGGGAATTGTTGAGAGCTTTACGATGCGGCTAAGAGCCTCTGCAGAAGAAGAGTTCTACAGGTTAATCACAGCTCTTTTGTCAGAGTCGCTGCAGCAGTTGTTTGGAAAAGAGCCAAAGGAAAATGGATCCTTGCTAATAGCAATACAGAAGATATCTGAAATGATTGGAATGTCTTCCCTGGCGCAGAAATACAAGAGCTCGTTTGATGAAGACTTTTCTTGTTTTTTAAAGGAAAGCGTATCGCCGCAGAGTATTTTTGAGCTGTCGCAAAAACTTTTAGTATGGAAAAAGAGCATGGAAAGATTGCTGCTGTCGCACCCTAAGTCTATTAGTATTGAAAATATATCAAGAAGACTTGTGGACTTTGACCAGCGAAATGATGATATAGAGGTATTTGGGCAGTATGTGGACATATCAGACAGAGCGCCACAGATGGTTAAGATATCCCGGTTTGAGCCAGACATATACATAAAAAGAAGAGGCGGAATGAGTTTAAGAGAGCTTACAATCAGAGGAAACAACGGGAGAGTGTATCCAATATCTCTGCAAATGCCATCTGGCAAGACTGCGAGAAGAGAAGAGCGGTTTATTCAAGCACTTTCTTTATTTAATGCATCAATCACAAAAACTGTTGAGATAAAGAAGCGAAGAGGATGCATACCGATTAAGAAGATTGTTTCTCTAAACAACCAGACAAAGATATTCATAGAAGCCGAGCCAATGCAGTCACTTAATGATATACTATATAAGCACATGGGAGCAGAAAACGTATTCCAAATGATATTCCAGTGCAGGCAGGATCTACATAGTATGGATAATCCCGGCCCTCTGGTTGAAACAGACGCACTTGACCCTGAAAAGCGGGTTAAAATGTTTTTAAAGGCGTGTGGTACCATGGGAGACGACCTTATCTACAACCACTTTATGAACAGTTTTAATTTGCAGAGTGACTTCTTTTATTTCAGAAAGTCTGTTTCTATTTCCTACAGCATACACTGCTTTTTGTCCTATGTGTTTTCAATAGGGTCAAGAATGCCTTCTAGGGTGTTTATTGGAGAAAGCACAGGAAAGGTATACTCTACAGACTTCTATCCGTCATTTTGTGACAAGGCGTCATTTGAAGAGGTTCCTTTCCGGCTAACTCCAAACATACAAAGAATAATAGGGCGCGCAGGCCTTGAAGGACCATTCTTCACTACAATGTACCACATGGCAAGGGTGTTTTCTAAAAAGACATATTTGCTCCGCTATATGGATGTACTAGCAAGAGAAGAGGAAAGCCCAGAGCACGCAGAGAACAGCATGCGTATTGTTAGACATAAAGTCCATGAGCTTCTTCGAATGGATGAAGGGCCATCAATGAGCATTATTAAGCTAATAGGAAACGCAACTAGCCCTGAAAGGCTTTCTATGATGGACCCACAGTGGCATCCATGGATGTAATAATCATGTATTTCTAGAAAATAGACTAAAAGATGATAATTCGCTGACCCTAAACAGTGTTTTAAATAAAACCAACTAATTATTTGTTCCTTTTCTTTCTCTGTATATAATGTGCAGTATGGTGCTACAGCATGCAACTTTCAATTACGCAGTTGGTCATAGGCACGCCTCCATCCATAAAACACCCGAACATTCATATTGTAGTGGATGGTGTAGAGCGAACATATAATGAGAAAAGCATACTAGCTGAAGGAAGAAAGGCATTTATAGAAGTAGATGAGTTTTGGCTAATTTACACCGATAGTTTCGCAATAAAGAGCGGATGTAATGCATCTATCAGCATAACAAGTAATAACATAACAGTTGGATCAATTGTAGTTAATAAACTTCCACTAGGAATAGGAAGGTATTATAAAAAAGAGTTTAAAATTCAAAGACACTTGCCAGATAATATGTTTATGGACATAATTGTAGAAAGGCTTGCACGGCGTGATGAAAGTACAGCTGAAATTGTGGCAGATTTAACAGATTCATTCAATCACCTCTCTATTCCACCAAATACTCATCAGACGCCTGCATATATTGAAACCACAAGAACAGGAAATGATAAAGCCATTTACAATATTGGTTCTTTGCTTACTGAAGAGCAGCCTGGCATGCCTACCTCTAATAAACCCAATGCTTCTTGTTTAAAGCAAAGCATGGCTAAGGAAGCAGCTATTCCTGCTGTTAATAAAGAAAAGAATTCAGCAAAGCCTTCTGCCCCTTCCCCACCAAGCAATGCAAAGATAGCTATTTTTCCTATAAAAGAAGGGGCTGTGAACAACGCTGCCAAAATATTTTCTAAAATGCCCTCTCCGCCAGGAATGCGTGTGTTACCTGCAGTTAATATCCTAGAGAAGACGGATTCCGCAATTAAAACACTTTTCCCAAAGGTTGGCTGGAAACCAGTTTTATCTATCAAGGGGTCGTTGTACGAAAGCCCCGTGCTTAATGAAAGCGAGCTATCTGCCCGGTGGGTGGAGATCGAAAATGACTTTAAAAAGAAGTTCTGTATAAAACGAGAAGTGCAAAAAACAGACTTTCTAAAAAAAGACAATGCAGTAAAAAAAGAAAGAATTCTATGCGAGCGGCAAGAATTTCTTCTGTCAATTGTTTTTGAATCGCTTAAAAAATCTAAACTTTCCTTGGACCACATTTGCAATCAGTTAGTTAAATGGACTGAGACTAAAGAAGCTATAACTGATATTGACAGCATAGTTAATTTATCTGCTGTTTTCCCCCATAAGGATAACTGTAATAAAATTATAATAGCAAAACATGCTCTGACAGAAGTAGAAAGCAAAGTAAAGTTTTGTCTAGAGAATTCATGCACAAAAGATAAATTTTTACTCATTAAGTATGTGCAATGGGCAGATTCCTCGCTTGCATCTCTTATACACACGCTTCAGGAAACAAGAAAGTCTCTTATTTTTGTTGAAAATGACAAACAGCTGCCGCGGTTTTTGATGCTTTTACTGCGAATGGGAAACCTAGTCAATTATAAATATGCTGAGACAGCAAACAAATTCCCTGCTAAAGGCTTTTATCTTTCATCTGTGAGTGCCTTTTCGAAATGCTCTGCTGAGATTATTAATGAAGATGGACGAAAAAATTCTTTATTAGAGTTTCTAATCATAACAGTGAGTGATAAAATTGACTTTAAAAAGATAGTCTCGTCCTATTCCTTCTTTAAAACCATTCAATTAAAATCACTAAAGGACCACTATGCCATGGTACGCACCGGATATGATGAAGTGAATCTATTAGATGAATTTGTTGGAAAGAAGGAGAAATTACACAGAATATTTCTTCTAATCAGAGAATGTGAATATCTAATATCAGAAATAGACACAAAAATATTTGTTCTTTCTAAGCTATACGCAGATACTCCGGAATATATTTCTGAAAACATGATAGATGTAATCACTTCAATAGAGAAGTGCAGCCATTTATTCAAATAGTCCTATATTAATAAAGTATTCATAAATAACTGACAAAGCATTTCTTCAAGCGTGTCTGCTGAAATTGATTTTTTTTCAACCGGAAGATCATTAAATATTTCTACTGCATGGTCAAGCCCCTCTATCCCAGTCATTACTTTAATGTCTCCTGACTCTATGTGAAGCAGCTTCATTTCAACCTGGCCATTAAATATAACGGACTCTTTTACTTTGTATTCCTTTGGCTTGTGTGCTTCTTTTATAATTGGATTAAGTATCTGCTTGCACAACTGCAAAGATATATATGTAGGCTCGGCTGCTCTTGCCGATTTGTTCTTCTCCTTTTCTTTTTCTTTAGACTCACCTGCTGCAGAAGATGAATTGTAGACATATACATAATTATTTTCTGAGACATGCGAGGTATACGTTATAACTGCTTTGCCATTAATTGTGTACAGCTGTATTTCTCCAATATAACTGGATGCTCCTTTAGACAGGCCCCATTCCAAAAGAGTTGTTTCAAAATCCTCATGTTTCTCTGTGGTAATTAGCATGAAAGGCAGAATGAAAAATTATTGGATACTTGTGTTTTACACTTTCTAGTATATGAAAATAAAAGCAAGTATTCCTAAAATGGGAAGTATGGAAAAGGAATCTACTACCGAACACTCTGCGCCTGAACATAAAGAAACCATGTTTGGAATTGTTATTCTGCTGCTTTTTAGCGCTATTACAATAATAGACATTATAATTCTGTTTATGCCAGGACAGAAGACTAAATAAATGCAAAAAGAACATTAGAAGTATTATTCTGCCTTTGTGCACTAGGGCTGTCTGGGCTTTCTTTTATTTATCTATTAATTTCGGGTTATATCTAGTTTACTTATATTGTTGCATCTTGCTGCATTTATACTGGTCTGCTGTACGCGTATACTATAAAATTCTTCTTGGTCTTATGGAAAAGTGGCAATTTATATTTTTCGGGTCATCCTTATATAATTTATATAACAGTCTTTTGTATAAACAGTCTTAAATCATCTCAAAACATATTATCTGTCTTTATTTTACTTTATATATTTCACCTAAATACTCTGTTCTTTCTATTTTGTAACAATATGATAGTTGGTCTGCCATGCGGACAATTCCATGGCCTGGTTGTTTTTGACAGGCTGCTAACTATTTTACTCATCTGTTGCATATTCAGAACATCACCTATCATAATACTAGAGCGGCAGGCTTTGCTGGCAAGAAGTCTCCTGAGCTCTGTAAATATTATGTGCTTTCCCTCTTCTATATTGTCTTCCTTTATAGATTCAATCACTTCAAGCAACTCGCTTTCTCCATATATTCTATCCTCATATGATGGGACTTCTATTAGTTCTGTTAACTCAGCGTTTAACCCGAATCCGTTTCTTTTTACATATTCCATGTTTTCTCTTATCACATGCATGTCATATTCAGTCAGTTTGACTTTCATAGGTTGTATTAATTTTTGTTTCTTATATACAACTGTACTCCGAAGCTGCTCATAATTAACTGCCTCATCCGCTGCGTGCTGGTCTATTATGTACATATGTATATTGCCCTCTTTGGCAAGTGTGCATATTATAAATCCATTATTGAACTGGCCAACTATTACCAACTTAGATAACTCTTCTATGGTTAAACCTATTCCACTTTCATATGTGTGAGTAGTTAGACATTCATTTTTGTCTATAACTATTGCCTGTATTCTTTCGTCTTTTACTTTGCTATGCGGCTTGTCATGTATTTCTGAAACATTGCATTCAGACTCATTAATTTGTGAACTAGAGTCCTTTTCCAGTGTAATTATATCCTCTCTAGTTTTACTACTTTTTTTACTAGCAATTTCTTCTTTTTCCAAATCAGCTGCTGGTATTTTATTTTCTACCTCTTCTTGCTTAGCTTTCTTAATGATTCTTGCGCTATTTCCAATTTCTGTGCTCTGTTGACTAGCACTTTCATTGTTTTCATCTGTAAGATTAAATATAACAGGAGGTTGGTTTTTTTCATTCTGTGCAAGAGCTTCCTCTATGTTATACTTGCTGATTCTGCTTATCTCAGATAGTATTGTTATTTCTTTATCCTCTAAAATCTCTAAGTTATAAAACACCCGATTGGAAATAGTCAGCCCGCTCTGCACAGCTTTTTCTACAGAACTTTTCTCAAGTATTCTTGATTTGTTATGAATTACTCCTTGTATTCTTTTTTCTTTTTTATTACTTCTTGCGCTTTTTCCGCCTTCTTTCTCTATAATACATTCTAGAATGAAATACTTTCCTTTAAATACTATTCTTACTGAATTCGGTATATTATATATCTGTATTATCCTTTCAGTGATACTTAATGGCTTGTTAGCTATGCTATATAGTGTGTTGTATAGTATGCTTTGATTCTTGTACAGCTTAAATTGTATATTATGCACCGTATTATACTTTCTTATATCTTCTACAATGTATTGAATATTCTTGTTTAAGTTGGTCAATAAGTAATTGTATCTAATGGGGTTTAATGCATAATAACTAGATATACTTATTGTCGTACCTTTGCTGTCTTTATACCCCTGCATAACTGATACTTCTCTGCTTTTTGCATTGATTAGTTTCTTTATTCCATTATAGTTAGTATTTATACTAAAATCGCTAACCAATTTTAAAGAATATAGTGTCATCCCTTTATATCCGTACATGTTATTCTGCCCATATTTTGAGGTCCCTCCCTTCATTAAAAAATACTCGTTCACTTCTATTCCTGTTCCATTGTCTTCTATTAGGTATACTATGCTTTTGTCAACCGTGCATATTGTAATTGTTATTGACGTGGCCTGTGCATCTATACTATTGTGTATCATTTCTTTAATTAGCCTATGAATATCTGGAAGTATCTGCTCTGTCTGGATTATTGCACTGTCTTCATTAGAAAGTATTTTTATCATAAAAAATGAAATGGAAGGAAGACTGCTCTTATATTTGTAGGCTTTACAAAGAATTGCTTAATAACAAGGAGAGTTCAGTTGAAGTAATGCACAAAAAGATAAACCGGCTAGAAAGCCAGATGCGAAGAAGAGCAGATTTATTAATTAGACAGCTAAGCATACTCCAGCGAGAAGAGAAAGAGTTAGAAGATATTTTAGAAAAAAGCATTCATTAGAAATATTTTGCGGCACAGTCCAATCTCCTAGTCTTATTTTATGTGGGAAAAACGTATGATACTTAAATATTTAAGTATATGGTGTGTGGTATTTAGTGTATTATAACAGATGTGCCTGTAAAATGAATTGTTGTAATAAATATTCGGGTTAGAAATTATTAAGAACATCCAACAGGTATAATAAATACTTGGTACAATTTATATTCCTGTAATTTATCTTTATTTTTTAGTTTTTATTAGAAAGTCTTCAATTTAAAAAATGATTCATGTACAGTTTTAATTCAAATAAATCTTAAAGGAATTAATAATATGGAAATAGTTTAGATTTTCTTGCCACTTGGTAGCTGTAATAAAATATGAATATAAAAGAAAGCCACACACAATTAAACAATATTTTTACACATTTAAACTTTTGAAGTATACGAATTCAACAAGATTATTTGGTTAAATAATAGAAAAACTAGGTATATTTAGAAGAGAAACAAAATTGATATAGGGCTGGATTAGTATAAATAAAAACAGCCAATATAAAAAAGCAATTTTTAGATATAAAAACAACCCATGAATAACACAAATCATACTGTTGTGCTGATTTGTATGAGATTGTAGATAAATACCGTTCTGTTATTTATTTAAGTCTCTATATCTAATGAGTATATTCTTGATAAAGCAATATACTTTGCTGTGCTTGGTAAAAAGCGAATATTATAAAAGACAGCCATGGGCCTATTTACTAAGTTCTAATAGAAAGAAGGTTCTTGAATAGAGGGAGTTTAAATACTGCTCTGCTTGTGCTATTTGTGTGAACCCTTCTATTTTCTTTAATTTTGGAATGTATCCTGATGTATGTGGCATAAATACTCCTATTTTACCCTTTGGCTTTAAGATGCTCCTTCCTATTTCAATTACTTGGCCAAAAAAGGGCACTGTAGAAATTAAATAACTATCGCTTCCTTCAACATACTTATTTACCTCAGACGTTTTTTTCTTGACAGTTTCTCTTTCTCCGTATGGAGGATCGCATAAAATTACATCTACTGTATTATTCCGTAATATACTTCTATTAAATATATCATGCGCTCCTATCATTAAAACCCGGCTACGTATATTGTACATATCGAAGTTGCTGTATATGCTTGTGTTAGGCAGCTGTGTCTTTATTCGGGCGTTAGTGTGCGCAACTTCTCTACCCTTAAATTGCTTTTCATTTATGTCTGTGCCTATTACACTTGCGCCAGCTAGAGCACCAGATAATAAAATACTTCCACTTCCTGCGTAACAGTCTAAAAGTATTGTCTTGTGTGATACACCCGCCATATTGCATATAATAAATGATATTTCATTATCCATTGACGTATTACCTATAAACTGCCTATCCCTAACAGAAAATCTTAAAAACTTTTTCCTGTTACTTTCATTGTATAACACACCAACCATACAAAAGCTTTTTTCTTCTATAATACACACAGTGCTTACAGGATTAGTTAAATCTACCTCATATGAAATGGCTAAATTATCAAGCAAGTACTTGATAGCAAGTGGTTTATTGCTACACACACAGTCTATTTTATACCTACCAACTATTTTATTGCTAATATCCACAAGAATCTCTTTGGTCAAAGATCTATTTAGCTTTTCTTCTATACTCATCTCATTGCATTCTTGACTAGCTATGTCTATCATACTATAATTTAGTAATGCTATGGCTCTGCTAACTAGAATACTTTTTTTCAATACATAGTCTATAGTAGACAAACTAGCGGTGACTATACTATACTTAATCTTTTCGTCAATAACTGTTCTATGCACAGTGTACTTATTATGTGTTGCATTTAAAAGACTGAATAGCTCAGGAATAATGAATGCATTATATCTATCCACGTGTAAAAGAATGAAAATTTGTTCACCCTCTTTTTCTACCATAAAACTGTAAAAATAATTTATTGTATAGCTTTACGCACAGAAATCTGTATTTTCCTATAAAACAGAAAGAATCAATTTAAAGAATTCTATTTAAATAAATACCCGTTTCTACAACAAAAGAATTTTATAAGAGAAAAGTGTAGTATAGATATTTTATATATCCCGAAATAACCCGAGCATAAGAAAATTTACTTTTTAGGAGAAGTAACATAATCAAAAGAAAGCTAAAACAATGCACTAACAAATAAGATAACAATAGAAAAGAGTTTTTAAGCCAGTAAAATCACTGAATTTCGGGTTAATTGTGTTGTAAAGACAATTTATTAATAAAGATGCATTGCATGTATTATATAATGGTAATTGTACTGTGATATGAATATTCCAAAGCTTCCTAAAAAGCAATTCAACTATAATAACCAGTTGGAACAAACAACTAAAAACAAATATGAAACATAAAGAATAAAATAGTAGAAGTGTTTACTATTCTATGCAGGCAGAAATTAAAAAAAGCACAGAAATACTTTCTAAAGAAGCGCATAAGGTATACTATGCAATAGAACAGCACAACCTACACTTAGACACACTTGAGCAGCAAACAGAGAAAGTAGAAAATAAGAGCAAAGTGCTTTCTAACAAGTTGCTGAAAACAATGAAAGAAATAAGGAAAGACGGAAGAAATACCATTATTATAGCGCTTACTATAACTCTTCTAGTTCTTATTATATATTTACTCTAAGACACAGTAATATGTTTTTATATATAACAGCGTATGTTTAAGAACAGTTGGCTATATACATAGAAAAATATACCTTTTATGTATATATAGGAGATAGAAGTTCACATTTAAAGAATATTGTAAAAAACATAAACTACTGTGTAGAATAAGTAATTAAAATACAAAGAAAGCTTGTTTATATCTAATAGAATGATTTTAAATTTTGGGCCTTTATATTTGTGATTTCGTTGAACGTGTGTAAAAGTTTTAAAAAAATGAAAAAGTAAAATATTGCAATGGCCAGACGAGACAATAAACTAGTAATAAAATTTGGGCAAGTGACACCATCATATGCAAAGTTAGTACAAGAATGCCGATCATATTTTGAGCCTGGTGTGGGGAAGAACTTAAAAGAAGAGAAGAAATGGAAGATAAAGGACTATATACAGTTAGCAAAGCATTTTTCAGCCTCGCACTTATGGGTTTTTTCGCAGTCGGAGGAGCACAACAACTTAAAAATTGTTTCATTACTGGAAGAGGCTGGGAAGACATTCTACTTTAAAGTAAACAAATATAAATTTGGGCTTGAGATGTTCCAGAAATCACACGGCATTGGAACGCGAATGAATGGGTACTTTGTTATTCCTATTAATATTGACAAGTCAGATCCAATTATCGATCTAGTAGATGAGATCAAGAACAACAGCAAAGTCTCTCACTTAACAAGCAGAGCAATTGTTATTAAAAAGTTGTACGATGACAATTACTTATTCACAAATTATATGATAAAGAAAGAAGAAAAGCCGGGTGCAGCAAATCAAGTCAAAGTGACTCTTGTTGAGATAGGCCCAGCAATGAGTTTAGAGCTGCAGAAAATAGAGAAGGGTATTTGCAGCGGAGACGTGGTATATCACAGGTATATTCACAAAACCCCAGAAGAGCTAAGAGAAAGAGCAAAAATCCTTAAAAAGCGAGCAGAGGAAAAATTACAAAGAAAAGCACAGCAAGAAGAAAATGTAAGAAGAAAGAAAGAGAAGAATGCGCGCCGGCCACTTGTATCTGAGAACAAAGAGAACAGCGAGACCGAAGAAACTGCAACAGAGGATGAAACAGAATAGGCATTCTCCAATATCTCACGTATTAACAGAATAATTAATTCCGACTATGAATCAGTTATTCTGGCTATATACTAGGTACATTCAAAATTGCAAAGAATAAAATAGACAAATGCAGTATTTACTATTAAACAATTTCTTACAAACAAAGCATGCGGTGTGTGAAATCACATAGATTTCGGGTTATATATATTGTTTAGAGACCATTCTTTATACCATAAATATACTTAAATATTAATTTGATTATTGATAGTACTAAGTATCAAGAACAAGAACTGCGAATAATATAAAGCATACTTTTTATAAGGAAGAAATGGTGGATAGTGTATCTACTCGTATACTCACACTAATAGGACTTGTTAATTTGTTTAAACATAGTATTTATTAAATATAAATGATTTTTTGGGACTATACTTTATATAGTGTGAACTATGCATAATTTATTAAAAATAAAATATTATTTATGGCTTACATATAGTATGCCATATGAGAGGAGTATAAATATACTAGAGAGAGGCAGACTGAAGAGAGAGAAATTATTAAATAAATCAATAAGAAATAGAATATTTAAGAACAACTTTATAAATAGAGGGGATCGCGATATTTTATATAAAATAAATCAGATAGTTCAGAACAATCAAGAGTAAGATAAAGTATAAAAAATTTTAGAGGGCTTTTTATATATGAAGGGCGCTGCGCAGAAGACAAAGGCAAGTTACAGTTTACAAATAAAAAGAATCCTATTGTTTATAGAGCTGCTGTGGCTGGTGTTATTTAAACAGCAATGTCTATATTTAAATAAAGAAACCAATGTAGACTGTTATGGGAGACAATGGTTATTTCCTGGGATAATGGCATATTGTAGTGGAGATGTTGCTAGTAGTGCCAATCCTAGTAAAGAAGAAAAGTCTAAAATAAAAAGTAAATATAGGACTTTAAAATCCATAGTGCGGGATTATACAATTACACTAATAGATAACACAAAGCAGCAGGCGCCGATGCATACATCGGCTGCAGATTTTATGGAGAACAAAACATGGATAGATAATGTGCCTTACATAGAACAGAATAGGAATTCAATATATACATTATGCATTAATGGAAACCATACTGAGATAGAATATTATGCAAAAAATCTTATGTTATGGATCGACTCAATAGGTGTCCGGTTTGATAAGCTGCAATTCAATTCATCAAAAATGCCTAAAGTTCCGAGTGTTATGCTGAAGCATTTTTCACTCAAGTGGATTGAATTTAAAGATTGCGAGATAGGTACTGCTACATTAGAAGCATTTAACTATGCTCCAAATGTAAGAGATGTACTTGTCATAGGAACATCAAAAATAGTCAAGTCTAATGACGGAATAGATAGCACTAAAAAAAAGATACTGTACTTGCAGTCCCTAAAATTTAAGCATTTACTACGAGACAATACCCTAATAACCGATGTTTTTGGTCTGTTTACATTCGAGAATTTGAAATCTGTTTCATTTGATGGGACTTATCTGAGCAGCTTTGACTTTTTGCACGGTATAAACAAAAGCTCGCTGACTGAGCTGAATATAAATGATGAAATCATAGAAAAAATCAACATTAATCTAATATACAAATTCAAGAACCTAGCTAAAATGGTAATACAGACTGATAAACAAGAGCACTATAATATAGATAGAATAAATAGTAACAATACGCTGGACAAATTGTGTAATATTGAATTGCACTACAGCATATACAGGCACCTGAAAAAAGAAACTATTGGTTTGTCTGCACCTAAAATAAAAAGCTGTGTGCGGATAGGATTTCCAACTTATCATGGAACATCTAACTATGCTATAGTTAAGTCAGAATATGATCCAGAACAATCAACAATAAATACGTGGGTGCCATGTGAAATATACCGTACATCAAGCTTTTCAGACTTCAAGTATCCATACACAGATGTAAAGGCCAACATGTTCAATATATTTCTAGTATCGTGTGAAAATGAAGGAACCAAGTATTACATAAAAGCAATGTATGATTTGATATTTCAGTATAGAAAAGCAATGTGTGAATATGTTATGATCCATATATACAACAGAGGAAAATCCCAGTTTAATGAAAGAAGCTTCTTTTCTTTTTTGGGATCAATTGAAACAGAATCAAAAAGATTTTTTATAGTTCAAGAGGGTGAAAAAAGAAGTTTAGAGAATCTTAATAATATATCTGTATATAAGTGTGCTCTAGATGAGAAGAAAAAAGGAAATTCTGCCATTATTATAATGAGAAATCCAATAACTTATAAAGATCCTGAAAGAATTTGTGATCAGCTAGGTATAATAGAGCAAATAGTATCTAATCCAAGCTATAAACAGAAATATATTTATAGCTTAATTGGTAAAAACCAACCTCCAGACATACAAATAGATATAACAAAATATTATAATGATAACAAAGTATACTATAAAAAATTATTCTCCAAACTAAAAAGTAAATTATAAAATAATTATAATTTCAGACTCAAGGACTATAAAAATAAGTGTAAAATGAAAAATTCCAATTTTTAATATATTCCAGCTATGCCATAAAAATACAGAATATTACTTACATACAACCAAACTGTATTTATTAGCAGATGCCTGCCAATAATATATAATAAAAATATAGGTTTACTGAATTATCGGAATTATCGGGTATTTTCCGGAAAAGTGGAATTACTGCTGTTTATTATATGTTAGTCATTATATAAGTAAAGTTTAGCAAGAGTCGACCATAGATAATATAGTGCAGCAAACAGTGTTAATTGTCTTAATAGTCATAGACAACAGTAGATAATATTGTTTATACATCTTATTAGCTTTTTGAGTTTGAACTATTTCATAATTAGATGGGTGTTTTCTGTTGAGACCATCTAGATAACTTATCTAGCAATATATCCGTTGTATCAGTGCTTTTTATCTCCGTAATGTATGGCTGGGCCCATTGTGAGAGTTTGTGCCTGTATCTTATGAATCTTTTATCAAGCAAAAGCACACAGCTGTAGTCATCCTTAGTTCGAATTGATCTACCAATTGTTTGGTTTACTGCCTGCATGCCTTTATCAATGAAGTATTCTTCGCCTCTTTTCTTCTGAATTAAAAGAGTTTCTTCTGTAGGTTTTGGCAGGGGTATCCCGCATATGATTAAAACTCGGCACATTTCATGCTTAAAGTTAATTCCCTCACTAAAATTTCCCCCCATCACACAAACCATAATTACTTTCTTCTCTTTGGACAGAATCCTTTTGTACTCTTGAATGCTGGTGGAGCTTTCAAATAGAAGACATGCAGGATTCGCTGATTTTTTCTCCAATTCTGTTTTTAGCTTTAGCATAATGCTTTTAGACTGCACAAACAGAAGAACCCCGCCACTTTCTATTTTTTTATAGTATTGCAGTGCCAGATTAAATGCTCGAATGATTTCCTTGTCTCTTTCGCTGTATACAAAAGAATAGTCGCTGCAAAGTGCAACATATACATTTTTGCATATAGATGGATAGGATTTGCGAATTACTTCTCTATTAAACAATAGCGACAGGTCGGAGGAGTGTGTTAGCGTGCCGCCAATTGCCAAAATACTTTTAATATCCTCAAAATATGAAAGATAGTCTGATGGATATATGTTTCTAAATGATAGTTTACTACTTTGTTTAACAATATAGCTATGTTTATCACACTCGCCTAGAAGCCTGGCCAATTTGCAAATTCTTCTAAAAATGGCTTCATTCTGGTTCTCTACATCCTCCCGGCGAATAGGGAATATTTTGCTTGGCAGAAATCTATCCATTCTCTCGGTTATTTCCAAAAGGTTTATATGGTCTAGCTCAGAATCTATCAAAAACCTATTTATATTAAATAAATCTATTTTGTTTTCTTCTTCTGCCTGATTTGCACAGGATTTCTTAAAATACTCGCATATCCCAGATATAAAGATAAACAGCTCTAGAAGGTCTACTTTATACTTCCCCTTCTGCCTATTCATATACTCAACATAATGGGGCAATATCTGTGTTACTTCACTCTCACTTACACACACAGAATACTCCTCTAATACAGCATTGAATAAATTATGGGCTTCATCAATTATTAATACAGATTCATTCATCTGAATTCCAAGCTCGTTAAAAAAGTCTTTCTGGAGAAAAAGAGAGTATGGAAGAACAATAATTCCTGCGCTCTTTGCCTCCTGTTTCAAGTAAAAGTACGGGCATACTTCACACGAACTTCCCATTGATAGTGCATCCTCAATAGATATTCCCTGCTTACGAACAGCATGGTGCTTTCCCTCCTGTAAATTATTGTAAAATGAACACTTTTTATCCTTTACAGAAATACGGCACATATTATTTATGTCTTTAGACGAGCGCACTATTGAATTAATACACGTATGCCTGCGAGATCCTAAAATCACACCCTTTACACTTATTGTTCCGTGAGTATTTAGCTCTTCTAACTCTTTAATAACTTGCTCTAATTGGCTATGCGTTCTGCATGCATATATAACCCGCTTGTTTGTTCGGTTATACAAACTTTTCAGCAACTCCATATTGTCCTTTGATATACCAGCAGAATCAAATACACTGTTTCCTACGTACTTAATTGCTGTGATTAGACTAGAAAGAGTCTTTCCAGTCCCAGTTGGGCTCTCTAAAATACCAAGTGCACTTTTACTAATTATTTCCGTTGCATCTGTAATAAAGTCTTTCTGTCCTTTGTATAAAACATAAGGAAGATTACACTTCTTTATAAACTCCCTGCACTCATTTTCCAGCTTCTCACTAAAAGCGTCGCCACCCTGCGCCTTGCATCTCTTTACGCCCTCCCGTATCTCCCCCATCCTAATAAAAATATAAAATTGAATCATACATTTATCCTTACGAAATTCGAAGTATTTCAGAGTTTATAAACCCAAAGGAATTATAATGCAATGAAGCAGCATATAACCCGAATACTCCAATTAACATCCCATAATGTATAACCCGAATTATACAGTGCATAAAATATTTTATATTTATAAACAGTCTCTCCATATATTTTTAAGAATCAGTTAAACCCAGTAAAAGAATAGTATTAAGCCGTATTGTTGTATCTATAAGAGATATTATTTATTTAATGCAGGATGCCATAGAAGAAATCTTTGGCCATAACTCTGCACACTCTTTGGCTACTGGCCCAGAAATAGCAGTTCCTTTAATTTCACCCTTTGCAGTGATAACTACTGCTGCATTGTCTTCGAATGAAATGAACACTCCATCCTTTCTTCTCCATGACTTTCTTTGTCTAATAAGAACAGCTGGCACTACTTTCTTTCTCATGTCTGGCTTACCCTTCTTAACTGATGCTACAATAATGTCACCCGGTGCTGCAAATGGAAGTCTGTTTAGTCTTGACTTGCATCCTTTAACTGCAATAATCTTTACTACCTTGGCTCCTCCATTGTCTGCACAGTTGATGACTGATCCAACTTGCACTCCTGCCGTTATTTTATAACGGGATGCAATTCTTTTTAATCCAGACTTTTCGTTCTTTCCTACCATTATTTATTACTGGGGGAGTGAAAAAAGAAAAGTTAAATGAACAACAATAATTTTCAACAGAACTTTAGAATAGTCCATAAAATAGGAGAGGGGGCATTTAGTACAGTGTACTTGGCAGAAAGGGAAGAGGGTAGAGGAAAGGTTGCAATTAAGAAAATTACACGTACCACGGCCTCTGGCAGGATAGCTAATGAACTTAAAATTCTAATGAGTCTGCAGGGAATGAAGAATGTTATTGAAATCATTGACATTTACCGGGAAGAAAAGGAAATATGCATTGCATTCCCATATATAGAAATGACTGACTTTAAAGAGATGATTATAAAATCAACCATATCAGATATAAAGTACTATATGTTTGAGCTGCTAACGGCCATACAGGGCGTTCATTCACAGAATATCATCCACCGTGATATAAAGCCAAGCAACTTTCTGTATAACTTACAGACAAAGACTGGGTGCTTAATTGACTTTGGGCTTTCTCAGAGAATAGAAAAAAAGGAAGGGGGCGAGGATGCAAAGGAAGAAAGTGCTAAAAGAAGAATGTTCTTTTTTAGCTCGCACATATGCGGGCAGAATAAGCCTGTAATGCCCAAAGCGCCTGGATATATTGTTAGAGACACCCGGCCAACAATGACAGCATCTCGATCAGGTACTCGTGGATTTAAAGCCCCAGAGGTGTTATTTCGGGTCGAAGCACAAAGCACTGCAATTGACATATGGAGTGCCGGGGTGATTCTTCTGTCTCTTTTATGCAGAAAGTATCCGTTCTTTACCTCTAAGGATGATATAAATACGTTGGTGGAGATAGGAAGTATATTCGGAGATGAAGAGATGAGAAAAGCTGCAAAGTTTTACAAAAGAATATGGAAAAGCAATATAGAAGCGTGCATGCATCCGGCAGTTTCCTTTCAGAAAATAGTAGAGATAGCAAATAAGAAGGATGCGCAGTTTCCAAGTTCTGTCTTTGACCTGCTAGAAAAGATGCTTAGGCTAAATTCATCTGAGAGAATAACAGCAGATGAAGCACTTCGGCACAAATTTTTTAGCGATTAACATACTCCAATAAGTATCTGTGCATATTCGGGCTATTACTTTATTATCAGTGCAATAAGTAAATAAATAATATCTGTTTATTTGGTATTTTATCCAACAAATATATAGGATTGTTTTATATTTCAAGCAGTGCAACCTTTTAACTTTGACTTACACATCTTGGAAGTAGTAATATATCTTAAAGAAGGCTTGCAATAATTCCTGGTATGCATAAAAAGTGCCCGTATGCAAATGAAATTCTCCAGATGTTTAGGGTCTCTAGCGGGCCATGAACCAGAGGAACCATAAAGTATGTAAAAATCAAAATGTATCCAGACCACCCAAACATCTCACATATTGTTCTATAAATTATAAAGTTGCTTCTAGGCGTGGGAATGTCCTTAATTAAACCAATCAAAAGAACAGTTGGTATAGAGATAAGCATAGATTCTAAATTCATTGGGAATAGCAGCAAGTGCCCATACGATATAATCGATACTTTTATGTGCTCTTTCAAGCGTATGTCTGTAATGTTTGTATCCACGGGCGAGTCAGTTGTTTTCTCGTCTTCCTTTAATTTTTCTTTTGGCTCTTCTTTCTTTTCTTCTTCTGTGAGAAGTCTGTTTATGCTGTGCATAAACTTAGACCCTTGTATGTTCCATAGAGAAAAGAATTCATGCGCTCTCCAGAAAGTTACAAATGGAAGCAATCTGACATTCTGCATGTTATTGATGAATGCTATTTGGCAAACTGCTTCTTCAGACAGCCATAAGAATGCAATGTAAAATAGCTTGTATGCGTATAACACTGAATATCCAAAGCCTATTTTACAGTAGCTTAGCATGTTATTCTGCGCAGTCTCTATATAACTGCATACAGCTCTATAAGAAATTATAAACGCAAAGGAGCATATTGCCAGTCCAGTAGAGGATGTTATAAGCTTGCTGTACTTGTGCATTACATAGTCCTCTTTTATGCTTATAATTTCTCCCTCATTTTCTGTTTCTCCAACAATTCTTTTTATGATGGCTTTGTCTTCTGTCTCTACCAAGTATAAATATCCTGTGCTAAGCCACTTTTGGTAGGCACCAAAGCTCATGACTGGGCCATACCGGATACCTGGCAAAAAGAGTACATATCCAAAGTATGCCATAAATCCGTGTGTCCGGGGAAGATACTCCATGCCAATGTATAAATACTTCATAAAGAATGCTGTTAGTGTAAGCATAAAGAATGAATTCTTCTCGGAAGAGTCTCTAAATGCGTATGCAACCACTAAATGCACCAGGTTCACTAGAATAAACACTTTAGTTCTCTTCTTTTTCTCTTTAATTGGAATATATGATAAGATTAAATTAAGAGGAATTCCTGACAGTACAAGCAGGAAATTCTTAAGTTGGTATATGCAAGAGAGAACCAAGGCACCAGTTAGCATATTAAACACCTCCCTAACAAAGAATCGATTTGTAACGTGTGGTGTTATTAGTCCGAATAAAAATGATAGAATTATGCCAGTAACCGCATTTATATCTTCTGTTTCCATCAGTTTAAAGCAATGCTCTGTTCCTGTGTTAAATGCTGTGCTGCCAATCCGAAATCCTTTCTTAACTAAATCTGATAATGACATGGGCATATTAAAAATAAAACATTTTATCCTTTATGCTTGCATTATAAATAAAACTTTTTATACAATCGACAGAAAATTATCTAATAAAAATGTCTAAGCCCCAGAATGTTTTAATCCGGCTAGGGCGTTCGGCTGTAGTGATTTATTGGCATGCGCTGCTGATTTGGGCCAAGCTCATCTGTGTGTAAATATTTTAGTGCTTTATAAACTTGCAAATATGCACAAAAATTTTAATTCGCAATGTCATTGGAAATAACGTGCAGGAAGAATTCCTCTGGCGGGCTGCATGCTGCGTGCGCCGAGATAGTTTCAATTATAAAGAATGACACGGAAAACAAAGTTAAAATAAAAGATGTTATACAAAAGATGGCAAAGAAGCATGGGCTGAAAGACACCCCAAAGCTTTCTCAGATACTGTCTACTGTCTCAGAGGAGGACACGTCAGTCATTTCCCGGCTGAAAGTAAAGCCTATTCGGACGGCATCTGGAGTTGCGGTGGTTGCCGTGATGGCCAAGCCGCACAGGTGTCCGCATATTGCCATTACTGGGAACATATGCGTGTACTGCCCAGGAGGGCCTGACTCTGACTTTGAGTATAGCACGCAGTCGTACACTGGATATGAGCCAACTAGTATGCGAGCTATTAGAGGAAGGTACGATCCATACAGACAAAGTACCGATCGGCTCAAACAGCTTTCTCTACTTGGCCACAGCGTAGACAAGGTGGAGTATATTATAATGGGGGGAACATTCATGTCGCTTGATAAAGAATATCGCAGCTGGTTTATAATGAAGCTGCACGATGCCCTTACTCGAAGAGAGTCGCACACTCTGGAAGAAGCAATATTCTTTAGTGAAAGAAGCACAAGCAAGTGTGTAGGCATAACAATAGAAACCCGGCCGGACTTCTGTATGTCCCGACACTTAAATGATCTGCTGTCGTACGGGTGCACCAGACTGGAAATAGGTGTGCAAAGTGTTTTTGAAGACATTGCCGTAGACACAAATAGAGGGCACTCTGTGAGAGATGTGTGCGAGTCTTTTAAGCTTACAAAGGACACGGGATATAAAATAGTCACACACATGATGCCGAATCTCCCAAATGTTGATATGGAGCGAGACATCCTTCAGTTCTACGAGTTCTTTTCAAATCCTCGGTTTAGAACAGATGGGCTCAAAATATATCCTACACTTGTGATAAGAGGGACTGGGCTATACGAGCTGTGGAAGAACGGGAAGTACACAAACTATTCACCAAATGAGCTAATTGACCTGCTTGGGCAGATATTTACAATGGTTCCGCCATGGATACGGATATACAGAGTACAGAGGGATATTCCAATGACTTTGGTCAGCTCTGGGGTAGAGCACGGAAATATTAGAGAAATTGTTCTGTCAAGGCTCAAGGAGCAGGGTCTTTCTTGCAGGGACATCAGAACCCGTGAGGTGGGAATTAATAACATACACACGAATGAGCTTCCAGAGAAGGTTGAGCTGGTTCGCAGGGACTATGTTGCAAGTGATGGATGGGAGACATTCCTTTCGTATGAGGATACCTCCAAAGACATTCTAGTCGGCCTCCTCAGACTGCGAAAATGCGGGCCTTCTACTTTCCGTGAGGAATTATTGGGAAGAGTTTCTATAGTAAGAGAATTGCATGTTTACGGAAGTGTTGTACCAGTTAAAGGAAAGGACTTTTCAAAATTCCAGCACCAAGGATATGGGAAAATGCTAGTAGAAGAGGCTGAGAGAATTGCAAGAGAAGAGCACGGGTCTTCAAAGCTGGCAATCATCTCAGGGATTGGAACCCGTAATTACTACAGAAAGCTTGGATATGAAATAGACGGAGTGTACATGTCTAAAGAACTGTAATGAGTGCACAGCCAGAATGTGTATAAAGTACGCTAAAGGCTACAACAAAGTAAATTTAAATCAATAAACATATATAGCATGTCATAATCATATTATACACTTAAATAATATTCCAGTGTAATGTAAATGCTCTCCTGGCCTAACAAACCTACTAAATGTTCTTTTTCATCTATGCAAATTCAAAGTATTTAAAGTATTTATGTTTCTATATAACCCAAAAACTGATGCGTATATAGTATGCGTATAGTTAGAACATATGCCCCGCATGCACTTAGTATATCTGGGTTATATTGAGCTGTTTTAAATAGAAATTGCCTGAGCTGATAGTTTCATATGCTTTATTGGAAGAGTTGAAATATTTGAAGAAAATTTGATGAAAGTTTTTTTGAGCTAACAGCTTATGCAGTATATTTAAATAAAACTTCTGGCGGGATTGTAAGAAAAATAAGCAAATTTTATTTTTTCAAACTATTTAAGAAAAAATTTTTTATCCTTGTACAATGGCATATAACAGTTACGGAGGAAGCAGCAATTTTGGAGGAGACTTTAAACGAAGAGGAGACTTCTCATCAGGTGATAGAAAGGAGAATGGAAGATTCGGCGGACAAAGAAGAGGCGGGTTTGGAGAAACCATGCAGGACAACGGCGCAGTTGAGTTTGACAAAGAGTTCTATACTGAGCACACTGCACAAGTAAATTTAACAGAGCAGGAAGTTAATGACTTAAGAAAGCAGTTTGACATGACTATTACAGGAGAAAACATTCCAAAGCCATGCTTAAACTTTGAGTACTTTGGATTCCCATCAAGCGTCATGGCAGCATTCAAGAGTGCAGGATACAGCGCACCTACTCCCATTCAAGCACAGGGATGGCCAATGGCCCTTTCTGGAAGAGACATGGTCGGTGTAGCCAACACTGGGTCCGGTAAGACTCTTTCATTCATTCTCCCTGCCTTAATACACGCCAAGGCACAGAAGCCACTAAGATCTGGAGACGGGCCAATTGTTTTAGTTCTTGCCCCAACCAGAGAGTTAGTTTCTCAGATTGAGGAAGAGGCATCCAAGTACGCCAAGTACTTTGGCCTGAGAACAGTTGCTGTATATGGAGGTGCCCCAGCAGGCCCACAGAAGGGAGCAATTAGAAGAGGTGCTGAAATTCTTATCGCCACCCCAGGAAGACTTATTGATCTTTTCGACCAGAAAGCTGTGTTCATGAGCAGAGTTTCTTTCTTAGTTCTTGACGAGGCTGACAGAATGTTGGATATGGGATTCGAGCCCCAGCTCAAGAAAATCATCCCAGAAACCAACCCAAAGAGACAGACTCTTATGTGGTCCGCAACATGGCCAAAGGAAGTAAGATCTCTTGCCAGAAACTACATGACAGACTACATACAGGTCAAGATTGGATCCGCTGATCTGGTGGCCAATGTGAAGATCACACAGAAGACTTTCATGGTAGACCACTGGGAGAAGGACAAGATGCTTTCTGACGTGCTTACCGACGTAGCAGGCGATGAGAAGGCTAATCCCAAGATTATCATTTTCTGTAACCAGAAGAGGCGATGTGATGATTTAGTTGACAAGATGCAGGAGTATGGATGGCCAGCAGAGGCACTCCACGGAGACAAGCCACAGAACCAGAGAGACAGAATTATCCAGGACTTCAAATCCGGAAAAAGAAGCATTCTTGTGGCAACAGACGTCGCTGCAAGAGGTCTTGATGTTAAAGACGTCAAGGCAGTTATCAACTACGACTTCCCAACAAACTGTGAAGACTACATCCACAGAATAGGAAGAACTGCTAGAGGAAATTCAGTGGAAGGTCTCTCAATTACTTTCTTCTCACCTAAAGACGACAGATCAAATGCTAGAAAATACACAGAAATCCTAAAGGACTCTAATCAAGAAATACCTCAGGATCTTGCAGCACTTGCTTCAAGAGGAGGAGACAACTATGGCGGAGGAAATAGAAGATTCGGAGGAAATAGCAGATTTGGAGGCAACAACAGGCCAAGAGGAGGAGTAAGACGAGGATAAATAGGCTTATTAATATTAGATAGTCGTACCACTCTCAGATTTCACATCTAGCGTTATATTTTAACGCAATAAACAAACTTACTTTATTTACAACTGCCATAGAATCTGTGCCTGCTCTATGGAAAATTATTACAGGCAGCCACGCCGTGTACTATACACGTGAATGTGGCTCTACGCGCTAGGCTATCCCGCTGCACACCATCACAGATGGCATGCACCAGGCAGTATTGAGATGTCTATATTCACTGAAACAAACTACACTGCACTGAGGTATTATATTAATATACATCTGAATCGTTCGGCTATTACAGAAGGACAAACGTATGGGGGTTTTGGCGTATTTATCCTGCAGTATATAGAAACCTGTACACGCTTAGCAGTGTATAGTGTATGTCTTTACAGTGAGTCGTGTGTTTATAATATTATTACACACGGTAGACACGGGCAAAGAGATTTGTTGTTGATTAATATCTTTGCTTTCTGAGAATATCTCAGCACACTGCCTGCAATGCAACTGCAAAGGGCTGTTTGGCATTTTGGGATATTATTCTTTTATAAATATTTGCTTTTACACACTGCACTGATCAACAGAGTTATTAAGTAAACAATAATGCATTCTGAAGTTTTAATGGAGGCATCTGTATTATTTACTTCTTTTATTGTGTTTGTTTGCTAATAATCCTTTTGTATATATTTCTAACTAATATATTTTTATTATTTATTTGCCTTTATTCAAATTTCGCAGTTTCTCTATTTTTATCCCTAGAATTACTTATTAACGCTTTTAATGTATTTCATATTTGGATTTACTGAATGTTCCACTGTTATATTCATACTAGGAGATGCTGTACAGCTTGCTTCTATCTTAGGTGTATGTGCTGTGTGACTATATCTTATAATGTCTTTGGTTATATTTATAATATTTGAAACCGGAATTACTTTTAATCCCATTGTTAATATCTTACGAAACATAGAATAGAAAAACAAAATATATCAAAATATATACACACTAAATAAACGTGGTTACTTAACAAACTTGTTGGTTTCTATCATATAAGAAACCATGTCTAGTGTGGGAGCCCCACGCTCACGCCTGCAAAGTCTTATAGAACTGTATATGGAAATTGAAGATATATAAGATGAGGATAATAAAAAATTGTGAATGAGTCTTAATTATGTACAAGGGAGTAACCAACTTATATATTATATTTTCAGCTTGTTTACATATTTAATCCTGGATTTTAATAATGGTTTGTTCTGAATTTATTTTAATTTATTCCTATTGTTTAGCAACAAACTAAACTAATTTGTTTAAATCCAGACATAATTTTAATTCTACTATCTTATCTGTTTGTTTAATTTTAATTTATTTTCAAGTCTTTTATATAAAAAGAAATAAATTAAAAGCATAAATCAGAATTATTTAATTTCGGGTTATGCAATGTATGAATCTTAAATACTAAAAACAAAATATTATAATAGATATAATCTAAATGCAGATTTATAAGCTAAAAATAGTTGAAATATTTTGGTGCAATATCACTATTTATTTATTTGGGAATTGCATGACTATATGCAATGTATACAGGATTAAATAGAGCAACAGTTAATCCATAAACAAACAAAGCCATCATAAAATACACAAAATAATAGAAAGAATAAAAATGTACAATATTTGTTTTTATAAGGGAAGTGAATGATAGAAAGTGGAACAGACAGAAATGCAAAAAAACACAGTAAGAAAACCCTAGAGAATACAAAAAGAAAGGGCCGAGAATCTAATAATTCGGGTTCTGAATCTAGAAATACGTTATTTAAATTCAATAACTACACTCGAAAAACTGCCAGGAACATTCCTCTTTTACATAATGTTACATTTGAAATTCCAAAAAATAATCTTGTTGCATTAATAGGTCTCAGTGGAGAAGGAAAATCCACACTGTTTGAAAGCATAGCCGGCAGGTGCAATAGATCGCATATAACATACGGAGAAGTTCTAACATCAAGAAGAAATGGTGGGTATGTTCAAAGGGATATAGAAAAGTGGATAAAAAATGTAAACTACCATAGACAGGAAGTAACTCAGTATAAAAAAATACCTGTTTATAATTTGCTTTGTTCAATTGCAAAGTGCTATGGAAAGAATACGGATGTAATTGACAAGCTACTAACGCACTTTCGGGTGGCTAAGACCAGACACAATTTATTTTCAAAGCTTTCTGGAGGAGAGCAGAAGAGAGTTATGACTATAATTGGTATAATTAGTGAGAAGGAGCTAAACCTATGGGATGAGCCGCTTACTGGCCTTGACTCAGAAATAGCTAAAAAGACTCTTAAATTTATGAAGGAGAACAATTCCACTAATATTGTAAGTATCCATCAGCCTTCTGAAGAGCTAATGAATTTATTTGACTGGGTTATTTTTATGCACTCTTCTACCGTCGTATACTCTGGCCCATATAGTAGAATGCAGGCGTATTTTGAAGAGAATGGGGTGGTTAAAGAGGAAAATATTATGTTTGTGAACTATTTAATGAGGCTAAGTGCAGACAGCCCAGAAAACCAAATAGACAGAAATAATATAAAAGTACTGAATAACCTAACAAACACAATTCTGTCCAGGCCAATGGGCGAAAAATCATTAGGGAATCTTTTTATTGCCAAATCCTTTAATGTTAGCCCTACGCGTGTATATGAAATACTCTCTAGATCCTTGTACTTTGACAAGGGGTTCAGAGGATCTTCTATCGCATACGAGGTCATGTATTATATATTTTGCCTGATAGTTTTAATGCTAGGTTTTACCATAGTCGAAAGGAGCATTTTATCCACAAATGATAGTATTTTTAGGTATAGCATTTTTGACCCAATATACACACTACTGGACATTTTCAATAGCAACACTATTGGCACAAGTACTATGCCTGAAGAGCACCACAATACATTTTTAGAGTGCATAAAGACAAATGCTGCTGCAAAGTGGCTATTTGGTGCCGTTACATTCTTTCAAAGCGAAAGATCAATTACGTTTATAAGCATGGCCAGTTTGTTCTGCAATCTAACCAACATAGACTACTTTAGACTCTGCAAAATAAATATTGCAGAGGGGCAGTTTACTGTTGCAGATTTTATATGCGCACATATTGTGGAGATTGTTTGCAGGAAAATATGTATTGCATTTATATTTGGCATGTTCTCGTATATGATTGCTTATGGATCTTTTGTAGAGGAAGCCATTCAAGCAATCATGCCGCCAAATTACTCCGATGTTCTTTTAGTGTGCATTGTAACATCGATACTTATGGGTGTGTATATTTTCTCAATACAGTGTTTACCAACCTCTTCCAAGGTATACATGTACATTGCACTTATTATTCTCTTATTTACACAGACAATAATTAAGCAAATAGAGGTACTTGAAGTATTCATAGACAGTAAAACCGCGAATTTAATCAATGGGCTGCTTAAAGGTGAGCTGAGTGCAGAAGACATGGCGCTGACACAAAACCAAGACTACCACCCTTTTTATGACTTGAAGATGTACATGATGCAGTCAACTCTGTTCATTGACAAGTTAATTGATACAATTCAGTCCAACGGAGAAAATGGATTTAGATGCACTATGCTAATGTGGAGTACAAGTCTTCTAAAATTCCTTTATAAAATGGGGCCATTTGGAATTACAGAAGAACTACTTACTAAGCTACGGTTATATAGAAATAGCTTGTACCAGGTACCAGATGCCGATGCACTGGCCACGTACATGATGCTAAGGATTAAAGATTCTGAAAGCAATCTCAACAAAAAAGAGTTTATAGAGTACGCAAGCAAAGTAAATTATATAGAAAGAATGTGCTATCCATTCAGTGCACACGAACTGTTCCAGCCTACGGAAAAGATTCAAGATGTAACCAAATTCGATCTTATAAAATGCATAATGCGTGTGTTAATTATACCAATTATATTTTTAATTATTGCTATATTCCTACGATATAGACAACTACAACCCAAAATTAGAAGTTAAATAAAGAATATTCTGTATAATAAATCCGGAAGTAAAACTGACTTATAAGGCTTATATTCTTTATTTATACGACAGAGATTAAAATATTTCCTTAAAATATAGAAATTCTAAAATTAAATATAATTTTATATATTGCATGCGCTGGATGCATTTGCTTATACGTTATAAATAGCCCCAAACCACTCTATAATAAATATATTCTACTGCATTGGCAGTAATGTTCTAGTGTCTTAAACCATTTTAAAATCCAGAATTTGTTAGATATTAGTATGTTTAAGTATACACAAAGTGTTTTAATGCATGTGGTTATTGTAAGGGAGAAAATAAAAATACTTGGGATTATATATTTATCGATCTAAACTATATATGTCTTTAAAGTTCTTGTTAAAGCCTTTTTAGTTATTTTAATTGTTTCTATTGATATGTTCATAGTATAATTTACTACAGAATAGGTAATTTATGTTTAATTCTAAACTCTTCATAGAAAATTTAAATTATATTATAAAACAAAATGTGTTCACTTTATATTCAATGTAATACAGGTTTATTAAAAACAATTAGAAGACGTAAAGCTTAAAACAAAAACAGGAAAATTATAATAGAGGTGATATATAAGAATTAGAAAGATGTTCTATCCATAAGCCTACTTAATCTATATTACAGCCATATAAATACAGCTATATATGGAATATTAACAGCATAGAATATAATTCAAATTTCTTATAACTTTATCCTATACTGCATATATATTAGCAATTGTATATAAAAGTAAAGCATTTATAATTCTTAAAGCAGTGTATGAATAAAACATGATAGTACAGTGGTATATAATTGCTCTTTATGTATTGTAAAGACTACTTATTTGGGTAATTTAACGAATCTTGGGTTTATTTCTTATATGAACAATAAGATAAATATGAGCACTTAACTGTGAACATTAAAAGAAAAAGACGGTACTTCTCCTAAAACCTCCTTCTCAGTCTCTTCATTTATAGCGAATTTGTACAATGACTTTGTTTCTTCATTAAATTCTTCCATAAAGTTTTCTTCCCCTGAAATCACATTATTATTTTGGACTTCTGTTTCAGGAGAACTGCTAGCATTTTCAGAATTATTTGGATTTATAAAATTATTTGCTGTGTTCCTATTACTAGCCACGCCACTAAAACTGTTTAAAGTGGGTGGGTGCATAGAATTGGTGCTGCCAGGGCCTGTTGTATTGATCTGCTCCATATGATTACTTGTGCTTTCTTCATTACCATGCATGGCAGTGTTTCTGTCAGTGAAAGGGTCTTGTACGCCATTCCGTGGACTGTTCACAGAATTACTTATATTGTGGAATATTGGATCGCCCATAACGTTCGACACATTTCCAACTGCATTGTCTGGCCTGTACTCTGGCCTGCCTGCTGATGGGTTTGGGTTAAAGGCAGGAACCCCAGTAAAGTGCTGATTTACTGCAGTGTGTGAAACGCGTGAATTATGCATAGAATTAAATGCATTGTCCTGAAATATCTGACCTCCATCCATAGAAACATGGTCTAAATCAGCCGAAGAAGGACTTGGCTCGTTACTTTCACCACTGCTTACGCCATCTGCATATGCTTTGTCCATAGGAGAGTAGTATATGTTGCTCTGCACACTTGGTGCTTCATGTATTTCTAGGCCGGTTTGCTCTTTTTCTACGGGGTTTCTACTGGGCTCTTTGGCAATTGCGCCTTCTTTTAGTTTATTGCTTCTTGCTTTCTCCTTTGCTTTAGTCACAAGTGTATTGTATATACAGCGCATTACATGCTTTAATTCATTTGCTTCCATCATACCGTCTTTGTTCTTAAAGAACTTAAGTAATCTTTTCTCTTCTATTCGCATTTATTTTCTTCTTCTCCCATAAATTTAAATTATTTATATCCCCTGCAGTAAAATAGAATGGGTCGCATGCACAATCAAGGAAAAGGTATCTCTGGATCAACAACACCATACGTTAGAGAGAGTCCAGAGTGGTTAGACGCAAACATTGATGAGATAGAAGGAAAGATAATAGCATATGCCAAGAAAGGCCTTACTCTGTCCCAGATTGGAACAATCCTCAGAGATGAGTACCACATTGGTAACATGAAATTCTTCAGTGGAAGAAAGCTTCTTATGATCCTCATGAAGAACAACTTAGCCCCACAAGTACCAGAAGACTTAGCAGCACTTGTTAAGAAGGCTATTAGCATTAGAAAGCACTTAGAGTCAAACACAAGAGACACTGACTCCAAGTACAGACTAATCTTAGTTGAGTCAAGAATAAGCAGATTAGCTAGATACTACAAAACAAGAAAGGTTATTCCAGCAAACTGGACACCTCCTTACAGATCAGCCGTGAAGAGAAACAGTGGTCTATAAATAAATACCATCTATTTAGTCAGTACACACTTTAACTTCTAGTTATTACTATTTCATAATAATTTTTTGGCATAACGTACTTTATAAGAATTTTCTATACACAACATAAATAAAACTAACTAAAGTTATTTCTTCTCTGTTTTACTTGGTAATTAATACTTTAATTTCCATAGGCTGTATATTGCCTTGTACTGCTGTGTAATGTGTTTTTATGTATGAATATCCAATAATTTTTGCACAGAACCCTATCCAAGCACTTTATATACTGATGTGGCGTACTTCTGTTTCTATTCATATTTTCATTATTTTGCTCCCCTGTATGAACAGAGAGGGAGGGAAGAAGAAACCATTAAAAGCAGCGAAAAAATCAACCAAGGAATTAGACGAGCATGACTTGGAATTCCAGGAAAGGGAAAGAGAGAAAAAGAGACTAGAAAAAGAAATGAAAGATGCCATTCTGAAAGGTAAAAAGAAGAAATAAATGATTATTTTATTATTTATGCAGAGATAGCCTCTTCCTTAATCTCTTTGACTTCCTTGGCCTCTTTCTTGCCGTATATTCTACCGAATGATGACTTAGCAATAATTTCTATTTCACCACTTTCAACAATTTGGTCCAGAATGTTCTTTGCAAGTGCTACTTCAAAGTTGTTTCTTGCTGCAATTGTAGCTGGTGTAATTAATGACATGTTAAGCACTTCCTTCTTTATTTTGTTGAAGATGTCCTGAGTAATTACGGATGTCTTTAACTGCTTAGCCTTGCTTTCAGTCTTTGTCCATTTTTTAGCTTCTACTTTCTTTGGTGCTTTGTCCTTTTTCTGCTGTGCCTTTGGATCGACTTTCTTTCCTGCCATGGGTCAAAATTAAAAAGAAAATTTATTCGTATGTTTCTGTAAAAAGCAAGAAATAACAGAAAAACCACGAAATATAAAAATAACTAATTTGACGCAGTGCTATGTTAAAAGGGGAATAGTGCCATTTAAGTGCGATATATCTTCTATTTAATAAAATAGAGCTACAATCATATTAACACAAAAGAAGCACTGAATGTATAAAATAGAGAAGAAGTTAGAGAAAATAAGAGCAATTTCTAAATATTATAAAAGAAAAGTGCATAAATTAAAAGAATAAAAAAGTAATTGGTATAAAAGTAATCGGGATATGTAATTAGTAAGAATAAACTGCATCGGCAATGCCATATTCTATGAATATTAGTTGTAGTATGGTGTGTATATTATAACTAAAATATAGTGGCAGGATTGGTTGTATGCAAAGATATGTTTTCTGATTATATTTCCATATGGTTAGTATTTTCGGACTAGTATATAAAAATGGACATATTTTGGGCAGTATATAATTTTATAGTTATTTCCTATTATTGTTTATACTTAAATAGAATCATTAATTAGAAATTAAAATTCTCTTAAATGAAATTCAGCTCTATTATAACAATTTCCTGTATAAATAACATACGTATTAGTTTAGGATATATAAATAGGTTAGAAAATTAACCCGAAATACTAGAAAATCTCTTTATGTATTATTAGGAATAATCACATAGCTTGATGTGGCAATAAAAATATCCCAGACATAACTTGGAAATACTAAAAGAAATCTATACAGAACGCTTTCTAAGAATAAAATTAAATAAAAATTTAAGTTTATTGATAAAAGAACAATATATATTTGGATTTATAGAGGTAGGCCCAACTTTCTCTCATAGGTTAACCTGTGAAACCAACTATAAGTATATCCTTCTATCTATAGGCAGAATATATATGGTGAGAATGCCTAAGATAAGCTTAAGCTATTGAAATTAACATAAACAAATGATGTATAGAATTTAGTGCTAGGTACAAGAAGTATAATATGTAGCACCTGAGATAATAAAACTAGGCAAGGTAGAAATCAGCTACCTACTTTCTTATGCCTGGCTGCAGTTTCCTATACATTAGTTGAAGAGTTAGTAAAAGAAGTATAGTGGGTAGAATAGTGTATTTGGCGCTAGTTAATAGAATATCTGCCATGGTTATATTACCTATCGGTGTATTTTCGTTCATTATTTCATGCGGTGGCAAATACGTTAGTATCATATATATCCTCTGCAAGGCACTCTTTGCTATTTCTGGGTTGTCTGTTGTTTGAATTGCATCATATAGTGCAGAATAATCTGGTATGGGGCCAGGTGAGTTAAAATATCCTCGATACACAGAGCATTTGTAAAAAATCTCGTCAAACACTGCTGGAACCCCACATTTGTATATATACTTATATATATTACTCACTATAAATTTGTATAGAGGATAATCGCAAGAAGCAGTTCCACTATCTATATGCCAAAATGATCTACTCAATACAGGACATCTAGATACAACAGGCGGCATATTTGTTTGCCGCTTGATTTCACTGTATGTTCTATCAAAAAGAGGAATAGTAAATGTTCTTGTTGAACTTTGGAACATTTGGTATGAATTTCGATTATTATTTCTTGCCACCATGATTTTTTCTATTCCTATTGACAAGTAAGAGACAGTTGTACCAAAAAACACATGTCTATTTAAAACAGCATTACTATGTGAAAGCAGACCGAATATTTGGATGTACAGTCCAAACACAAAATTACTGCAAAAAGCAGCAATCAAATAATCCGTTGTTGAATAATTAATCAAATTTTTAGGAGCTAGATTCTGCAAAATACTTCTATTTACAATAAAATAGGTGATTATTTGAAATATAAAATGAATAACCGTATTTCTAATAAAAAACTCTATCATAATAGTAATAATAAGATTCCATGGACTGTATAAGCCCATTTTAATATCAAATAAACATGCCTCTACATATGAGCTTTTTAAAGAGTACTTTACAAGAAACGCCGCTGCAAGTGTATATAAGAACCTATACATAGTGATAGACTGCGCAAAAAGATTTAACCCATGGATAGTGTATGGAAATCTTATTATCTGATTTACATACTGCTTTATCCCAAAAAAGTTACTTATTTGATTTACTGTTTGCAGTAGATCAATAATTGTCTCAAAGGAGCCATTATCAACAACATTTGCAATGCCTAAAGCCCTTCCATCATACGCACCAAAAAAGTACATAATTCCTACAATACAAGTAAGGGCTATTACACACATCATTATCTCAATGTAAATCCAAAATCCAAATATTGGTCCATACGTGCGCATGGCCCTTGCCATAAGCTGTTTAACAATCCAAAGATTTGGTTTCCCCATCTTGACAAACCAAACATTTGACATTTTTTTCTTGGATTCCACTGGAAAGGCCTTAATACGCGCGTTGGCTAATTTATAAAGATTTTTTATACTCATAGTAGCGCTATTTGTTTTATACCTCTCTGTTGGTTCAGTGGAAAAAAATGTGTGTAGAGAACAGTCTTTAGTACGAAGCACCCCAGACATTCTAAAATATGAAAGAAGGTGATCTCTCGTTCCTGAATATACTACAGTTGAGCCATGCATGAATACTATCCAGTCTACCTTGTCTATAAGAAGATTCGGCACTGGATATTCAGTAGTTATTATATTTGTTTCATTGTTCTTTTGTATTAAATCAATTACCTGATCTAAATTTTCCATGTCAAACACTTCCCATATGTTGATCTCATTCTGCAGAAGAAGTCCTATAGCAAGCATTACTTTTTTAAGCATTTTTTCTTGATATTGATTAAAGCTGTGCATACACTGGTTCTTGCATTTTTCCAGGTCAAGAAGACTTAATATATTGGCTACCTCCTTTTTCTTGCCCTTTAGTTCAGCTATGTGTGTAATTATTTCTTTCACAGTAAATGTATTATACAACTTAGGATCTTCAATCAATGTGCAATTGACCTTTTTTAACCACTTCTCTGGGTTTCTAGTGGTGTAATTCCCCTTCTCATCTTTTATTAGAATATCTCCCTGTGTTACTACCTTTTCCCTGTAATACCCTCCTATTGCTAGTAATAATTTAATTATTGAATCATATTGAGTTTTTGTTCCTATTACTAGAGTCATCTTATTCTTTGGTATTTTACATGAGGCATATACCGTATTGTATAAATCTTCTTCAATTATATAGTTTTTTATCCATATTGAATCATCCGTAGCCTCTGAAACATCGACGATTTTAGTTGGTATTATATTTTCATCTGAACCCATATGCATGTCATGCTTCTCTTTCATTTCTGTGCTTAGATTCTCTCCCATGCGATATATAAATTAAATTTTTGAGTTAAATAGTTTAACTGGCCAATTATCGTACTTTATTATACGGAGTAATCTTATATTAAAAACAATACACCTTATTGGATGGAACAAAATCTACGTCTAGCACAGATGCTAAATAACTTAGAATTATAACACAATGCAATTTTTGAGATGTTTAGTTTTAGTATAATCAAAATATATTAACTAAGAATCGCCTATACTTTATTCTAGCATGAACACATATTTCTGAATAAAATAATATACAGCTAATGAGTATTATAAGTAGTAGAATAATAGATGCATAGCTGTAAGAGCTACTAGAACCAATTTAGCATATTATGCAGTACAGCCTATCTATTATACAAAGAAATTAAAAACAGACTGCAATAATACTAAATAAAGTATATTCAACTATATTACAGAATAGTATAGAAATGTATAAACAGAAAGAAAATTGTGGTGACACCACCACTTAGATGTGAATCCCTAGGGGCGATCTATCTGTGTGCCAGCTTGCACGAGGATTCTGACAAAACAAAAGGCCCAGAATCGAAAATAAATAGATCAACTTTCGATTATTTAACCCGAGCCTTTCCCCAATTTAGGGGAGACTCGGGAAAGCATTGACAGCTAATTTCGGCGATGTATAACACAGCTGCTCCTTAAGACTCTGAGTCCATGCAGAAGAAGCTGTTTCCTAAATAAAATAAAGAACTGTTCCCTTTCTCTGTCTTCTTTATCTTGACTATATAGCGGGGTAGCGATGACGTTATTCCTCATAAGTACATCATAGATAAATAAAAAGTGGCTTGACTAAACATAAAATATAAAAAGACAAAGGTTGTTGGTTTTACTGAATTAACACAAGTTTTTATTGTATTTATTATTTATGTCGGAATATTTCAGACTATTGGTATATGGGGATTTAATATATTCGGGTAAATATTTAATTAGTGGAGTGAATTCGTAAATATGTATACAGTATAAAGCACCAGCACAGAAACAGTAGTTTAATACGGCACTACTATCTAGAAAAATCAGCAGATTTTTACTATCTTTATTGCTATCGAAAAAGCCATGTTGGATAAGCAGGAAGCACAGATGCAGTATATTCACAGAAGTATCTGGCAAGTTGCTCTGAATTTGGCAATTTTTCGGGGAGTGCCCGGCAATACTCTAAAGACAGACGCTTACTGTGCTCAAGAACTCGTGTGGTTATGTACCAGTAGGCCTGCTCATCCTGCAGAAATTCTAATTCTTGTAAAATCTTATACTGCTCTGTTGTTTCATCAACTACTACAAACCTTCTGGAGTAGGTCTTTAATTCTTTACTTCTGCTGGTTGACTCATGCAGGCACATATAATACAGCTTGTATAGAATATATATAACAGGTGTAATACAGTCTGTTATAGACGCATGCGGTGTATGCTTCTTTTGTGAGGATGAATATATCTGTATAACCTGATTAAAAGATGTTGTGCGAATAGCCTGGCAGAATTCCGCAATTGGATTAATGTAAAATACCTTACCAACATATATCATTTCATTTAAAAGTAGGCATATCTCGTTTGTTATTGTATGTGTGGCAGTTCCATATAAGTACATTCCAATGTGTGATAAAATATTTGTCTCTTGCATAAATTTTAACGTATGTGATGACTTAAAGCGAATGGTCCGCATAACGGTGTTTATAAGATATATAACCTTAACACACGCAGGTGCGCTGTGATTTCCATCTGATAAATACTGCAATACCTCTGATCCCTTTAAATAATTATATAATGACGGAAGAACATTTGAGTCCTCTGGCATGTACTCAATAACTTGAATCATCTCCCGAACGACTTCTAAGCAGGATAGCCTATTTACTGCATCATTTTCCACAAATATTGTATCGAGTAAAACATCGACTCTTTTTTCTATTTCATTATAAAAATGGGCATAGTGCTTCCCCGTGTCTTTCATATACACTGAGTCCCTAAACACATTTCCAGTAAACGAAACAAACAGATAAAGAAACTTAGAAAGATTCTGAAGATCCTTTTGACCTCTTTTAAGCCGCACAAAAAACCTGAATATCATGCAGACACTGTTTTGGTTTGCCAGGAACTTTATCCAAGTAACAAAGTTTTGCTCGCTTAAGGAGAAAAAGCACGGGAACAGCTCTACAATTCCATTGCAGTCAGAACTTTTTAAAAGCTCCTCAAAGTAACACAGAGTGGAGTGCCTGTAAATAACACTAAGAAGCCTCTCTGGCTTATTTTCCAGAAGAGTCTTTATACCATCTGAATATATCTCATAGCACAGAGACATTATGCCATCTGATACCTTTTTGGCATACCCGTTTTTTCTGATATTTCGTAGGCCAAATATGTATTTTTCTGTACAAAGCCTTGGTATAACATGCTTCTGAAAGAGTGCTGTCTTGATAAAATCAAGTACTCCGAGCTTGCACGTTTTCTGGCTTTCTGTATATGATTCCAGGAATAAATAGTCCAGAACTGAATCAAGCTGAGTTTCAATGAAATTGTGGGTGTCTGCTGCAGAATCAGTCTCTTGGAGAGTTTCAATGGTCCTTTCTATGTCGGCCATTTAAATAAAAATCTGAATGGGGTTTTATTTAAATAGAATGACAAGTAGATATTTTTTTAAAGAAAACATCTAATCCAAGCTTCTTCTCCTCCTCAGAGCACTCTTTACTGGAATATCTATCTAAAATGCGTAGAATCACATCTTTGCGCAGTTTATAAGAAACAATCTGCAAACAGCTAGCAATTATCCGCTTAAAATGAAGGGAATACATCTTTCTATCATAAAATATAGAAAATGCAGAATACGCTATATCGTCCACTAAAAGAACTGCACATATTCCATCAATTGCTTCTTTTGTTTGTATCCCTGCGTGTATTCTTATTATGTCTAAACAGTACTTCTTGATTATTGCAAGCTTTTCTGTTAGGAGCAGTCTAGGTAACTGCAGCAGAATCTCTTCTACTCTTTCAGATGGTTCACTTTCAAATTTACTATTCTTAATTAGGAAGTAATACTCTGTAAGTGTTGTTATGAACATGACCTGGTCATTTTCCTCTTCTGGGCTGTCATCTCTCTCTTCTATAATTGGCGTAGAGGGAATGTCATTATAAAAATAGGAAGACTCTGGGGTTTCATGCGATAAATTGCCGTCTGTTAAATAATCACTTAAAATAATGGCTCTGTCTCTAAATGCATTTGCTGCGGTGGTGATTCTTTCAACTATCCCAGGAAAGTACTCTAGGCAGTATTCTTCTGTCTTTTTGACTTTCATTACCTTTATTACTGCAAGAATAAGCCATCTATCGTACTCTTCGGCATAGTTGTACTTATAAGAAGAAATTATTCCATTTGCCAATAGTTTATGTATAAATATAAGATCGCTATCTGATATTTCCTTATATATGGCTGCCACAATTAGATCTAGCGTGTCTCTTGTTGGCTGGTCGCTATAAAGAAGGCACTGTTCTATAATAACTATACACAGCGGATATTTTTTTCCCTCCTGAATATTCTTTTTGTCGGTATTGTATATTTGGGATTCTTCTGCATCTGCATGCTCTTTGCGCAATTCGGTAGAAAAGCTAGTGGTGGTGTAAGTGTACATCGCGTATTTATCCAAAAGTACGCTTGGACATAGGGTTTTTAACCATTGCACCATTTCTTTGGGCGAATCAATAAGTTCCTTTACAGACCTTATTTGATCTATAACCCAATTGGTGTGCGCTCCCTCTCCCTTTCTATATGATTCTGTGGTATCTGCTAATTTCATTGCAGTAGCATATAATTAAAATTTATTTGTATTTGTATGTGGGACCAGTCGCGGTTAATAGAAGATGCATACACGCCAGATGCAGCAGAAACCATTCAAATATCATCGCTTGCCCTGATTAAGATGCTTAAGCATGGAAGAGCAGGAGTGCCTATGGAGGTTATGGGGCTTATGCTGGGGGAGTTTGTGGATGAGTATACAATCCGTGTAACAGATGTGTTTGCCATGCCGCAGAGTGGAACTGGAGTGAGTGTAGAGGCAGTTGACCCGGTTTTTCAGACAAAAATGATGGATATGCTGAAAATAACAGGAAGAGGAGAGAGTGTTGTAGGGTGGTACCACTCGCATCCTGGATTTGGATGCTGGTTATCGAGTGTGGATATAAACACGCAGTCTGCATTTGAGCAGCTGTCAAAGAGAGCAGTTGCTGTAGTTATAGATCCCATACAGAGTGTGCGAGGAAAGGTTGTTATAGATGCATTCCGCCTTATTCCTATGCAGAAGTCAATTTCTGGCGTGGAGCCACGGCAAGTAACATCTAATATAGGATATCTAACCAAGCCAACTCTTGTGAGCATGATGCACGGATTAAACAGACACTACTACTCAATCAACATACAATACAAGAAGAACGAGCTTGAAGAAGGAATGCTGCTCAGCCTGCATAAGAAGACATGGGCAGACTGTCTGAAGATGGAGAGTGTGTCGGAGTTTGAGAAGAAAGCAGAAGGAAGGAAAAAGGAAATAAAGGAGCTGGGTCGAGCATTGAAGAAGCGAGTAGAAGAAGAAAATCTAGCTAAAGAACAAAATGTTGAGTTGGAGACAGTGGGTAGACTAGATATTAGAAAACGAATTCTTCATGAATCAGAAGCACTCATGAGTGAAAACACTGTGCAGCAACTTATTGTGCACATTCACAACAGAATCTTCTCGTAAATAAATCTTTTCATTTCTAAACGATTTGTGTATATGCTTTAACATACAACTCTATAGATCTTAATAGTGATTGCTGTCTGAATATTTCTATTTATAGGGGGTTTCAGGTTCTTTAGTGCTTTTATATTCTAATTCGTTTTAGAGTAAATGTGTATTTTTCTAAACTTTATTCTTATTTAAACTGAAGGGTATTTATATTTTTACGTGTAATATAAAGAATAACTATATCCTGGCTTTTATTATATGCAAGCTAATGGAATAAACCAGATTAAACAATTGTGCAACAAAACCAGTATAAATATTCTTGAGAAATTGAGTTACATCTAGATATTTGATAACAAAATTTATTATAGGATATGATGGACTACCGCTGGGGTGGTTTAAGAGTAACTACGTTGCATATGTCTTCAGGTGGGTTGCTCACACCAAGCGGTGTGATAATGATAATTTGCGTATTAATCCGCCTAGCCGCCTCAAATATTAAGTTAAGAGCTGCTTTTCTATTAAGCCCGTCCATGAACACATCAAACTCATCAAGAATTCGGAGGGGAGAGGAAATAAGAGGCCATAGCGAAAGAAGAAAGCAAATGCCAGAGAACGATCTTTCTCCTCCGCTGAGAGAGCTTTTGTTTCCCTTTGACTTATTGCTTATTTTTACCTTTATGTCAAGCTCTTCCTTTTTGTGATTATATTCCAATGTTCCAGTGTATTCCCGCATACGCATTAGGTCAGAGAAGCTCTGCATGCTTGAGTCAGACAGCTGATATGTGAAGCTTTCTCTTTTTTTCACTCTCTCCAGAGTCCCCTTCTCTATTTCTTTAATTTCATCTCTGTTTTCCTGCAGTATTTCTGTAATTCTAGATATTTCGCATTCTAGCTCTTTCTTTTTTTCTTTAAGAATTCGCTGCTCTTCATCGTCTTGGAGCTCTTCACTTATGTCGCCAATTTCAAATAGTGATGGCTGGGTAGAATAGGCGTATGTCTTGGCAGTTAGATCGATAATTTCTTTTTCTATCTCACCAGGCTCCTTTTCAACAATAAGGACCTGCTGGTCAGATAAATCCATAGCACTTTCTCTAAGAACCTGGCACTCTTTGTGCATTTCTTCTAGATCTATGTTCATGCGGTCTATTCTTTTTTGGAGACTGCCTAGCTCTGCTTCATTTTCTTGCACTGCAAGTTTGAGCTGCTCATTCTCCTGGGCACGGCCCTTTAATTCTTTTCTATACAAATGATCTTCTTCTTCTCTGGCATACTCTGTTTCTTCCTGTATTTTTATTATCTCTCTCTGATTCTTGCCTATTTCAGAAAGAACCTCTTTATACGTCTCATTCACTGAGCTCTTCTGCTTTTGAATATTGTTCATTTCTTCTAAATACTGCTTGTATTCTATCTGCAGCTGGTCTCCCTGCGCTTTCTTGTTTCGAGTTATTCTTTCATCCAGATTCGCTATTTTATTCCGCAGAACTATTTGTATATCTAAATGCGTCTGTAGTGTTTTTTGTATATCCCTTGATTCCTTTGATAAATCAGATAATCTGCCTGCTATTTCGTTTTTCTTTGTATTAGTGTTTTCGATTTCCTGCATTAGCTCCTTTTCCCCCTCCTTTGAAACAAGCAGCTGCTTCTCTCGAACAGTGCACCGCATGTCACTCAAACTAGTCCCAACATACTGAATTCTGTCTGGCGCAGGAGTTAAGAAAAAATCAAATCCAGCCTTTTTCTGCAGAAGTAAGTATCCATCCCTTCGATTCTCTAGAAGCCCAATCTTTTCTATTCCCAAAAGAATAATTAGCTGCTCTACCACTATAGCACTGCTGTTCTGTATCTGAGACAGCACTGTTGTCACAGGAGAAGAAACATGCATGCTCGCCTGCATAAGACTACTCTGAGCCACTTTCATGGCTTTTTCAAATATTCTATCTTCTGCTCTCTCTTTTTGTGGTTTTGTTAGATAGATCTGATATTTTTGTACGCGGTACTTAATAAAAATATTTGTCACTTCAGTCTTTACTTCTTGTGAATGAAGAATAAATCCAAATACACAGCTGCCCAGTGCAGACTCGATTGCCTTAGACCACTTCTTATCCTTTACAGATATCTCCAGCCCAATTGGCCCTATTACATCCAGCTTTCTTTGCTTTATTTCAGAAATTGCAGCTTCCATTGCACTTCCATAAAACTTTATTGGGTCATGCTGCCGGTATGACTGAAGAATCCCTTCTCTTTTAACGTTCTGTTGTACTAAGCCATCTACCTCCCTCTGAATTTTCCCAATTGTTAGCTCAATCTGTGCTTTTTTTACTTCTAGGCTCATCTGCTCCTTTTCATTCTTTGCTCTTTCACTCTCTAGCAGCTTTAAACTTTCCATTAGAACTTCTTCTGTCTCTTCGCTCTTCTCAGACTCGCTTGATCTGCCAAGGATCTGTTCTATAGTCGCTATCTTCTTAGACAGCTGGTCTATTTCATATGTGTACTGGTCAAGTTCTTTGGAGATTTCAGTCTTTCTTCTCTCGTTTTTTGCCATGCCCTCTTTTATTATATCAAACCTAGCCTCTCGCCTAACCTGGAGAGAGTTTCTTTTCTGTGTAAGTTCAGAGAGTTTTCCGGTAGTCTCCTCTATCTTGCTAAGCAGCTCTTTTTTTGTCTGCGACATTGTAGAGTACTTATTCAATAGAGCCTCCCTCTCTCTTTCTGCCTCGATTCTTTTTTTCTCTTCTCTGTGGACTTTACCCCAAGCATGCTCTACTTTAAGCCTTCTAATTGCTTCCTCTGCACTATGCATTTCTTCCTTTAACTTTAGCCTATTTTCTACCGCCTCAAGAGTTTTTTCTTTATTTGCCTGCCGCTCACTTACTGAATCCAGTGACTGCTTTATCGCAAGAACTAAGTTCTGATCGTGCACCTGATTGTCCTCAATGTTTTCAATATCAGTTGCCGATTTAAAGAAGGCGTAGATGCTCTTTAAATTGTGCACCTTTAATATCTTTTTAGACTGGTCCTGTGTTAAGAAACACACAGGATTTTTCAGATTTATTCTAAGTTGCTCAGTTAACGTATTCAGATCATCTTGTGTTTTCCCAGCAACCTCGCCGTTAATTAATATTCTGATTCGAGAGCTTTCTGGAGAAAGTCTTTTTTCAATAATAATACTTTTCGATTCTTCAGAGGCACCAGGCACTTTTATCTCTGCTTTTATTAGAGAATAATCCTCTCCGGTTTTTATATACTGCTTGTACGAATTTCCCCGCATAGCAGTAGCTCTTACTCCAAACAAAACACCGACTGCAATCATAATGGCAGACTTGCCGCTTCCATTATTACCAACAATGCATGTCACTTTTTTAGTAAACTCCACATACAAATTATCGTGGCACATAAAATTTACTAGCTGAATGTTCTGCAGAAAGCACCCAGTTTCATTTCGCATAAAAAAATATTCTACACCCTCTATTTACAGATACAAAACAAATAATTCATGTGCACCAAGACGAAAAACATGCGAAAAGCACCAGTTAAAGGCAATGCACACGCCGTCCTAATATACCATTTGTTAAGTACAAGTATTCACACAATTACCAGAGTATTATACACTATAGATCGAGATGAGCTGTTTAAAGTGGCTCAGTGCGCAAATGCACTAGAACATATTGATATACAAGCTTATAATAAAGGACTAATTCATTTTTAATTTTAGTAAAAGGCTTTTATAACAGAATAAGCAGAAGTAATACATGACTCTTTAGGATATTCAACCCGAAAATTATGAAATAACCGCACATTAGCCAAAATATCCTTGAAATACCCCAAGAGTTGCAGTTTACTAGGCACTGCATATTAAATTAAAGCCAATTGCACTGAATTTTCAGGAGATACAAATATCATGAGGCATAAACAGTTCACGCTAACGGCCTTTAACCCGAATTGTTTTGTGCTCAGATGATTTTCTGGCCGTTATTTTAAGGAATATTCTAGAAAACAGAAATAACCAAAAATGAAAAACTATTTTTGCATGGAAATATTTGAGGAAAATGAAGTACTTGAGCTTTCTGAGTACCATCATAACGACAAAGTTATTTCTGTAGTAGTGCACGGCCGTATTCTATTTACTGCCACAAATTGTTATATATACGCATGGCTTGATAAAGAATCGACTCTTCTTGCTATGTTCAGAATACCAGCAGGAGAGCTAAGTACACCCATTTCTGTAGAGTCTCTTCTAGTGGATAGTTCTATACACAAATCCAACTGGCAAGTATTTTCAGAATATTTTACTGAAGTAAACCAGCCCGCGTATTTATTTATATCCAAGGGTTATTACAAAATAGAAAACTTATCACTTACAAAATACGTCCAGAACAGATTTCTCCCGCACTGCCATACAGCAGAGGGTCCCTTTGCAGTAGAAGAAGACTCAGTATTGTATAATTATAAAACAGAAAAAATGCCAATAGTAAAGATTTCAGAGAGGGATGTATGCACAAAAATAAAGTGCATAGCGAATGAACTGTATTTAGGAATGGATTCTGGTCATATTCTGAAAATACTTGCAGTGAAAATAAACTCGCCAAAAAATATTCAAGACTCACTGCAAAGCAAGTGCAATAGTTATACATATGACTCAAAAAACCCGACAGAAGATAAATTCACTTCAGACCATACTCACCCAGCATTTTCCAACCACTCCACCCCCAGCACAGTAGATATAATTTGCAAGAAAGAGTACTCCGTAAAATATTCATCTATTTTTACGGGGCCCGCACTCCCCGTTTTAGACTTTTATGTAAATCCACTAATTATCTCGTATTTCGGTAGAAAATTGTACAGCGTATCTATTGCATGCACGGAAAAAGAGCAAGTATTGAATTTATATTGCATGCATTCTCTATTTATTGTTTTCACACCCAGAAGTATTTTACTACTCAACCAATCCCTGCATCGACTTAATAGAAGCAGAGTCTGGGGAGAAGCCATTTCATATATAGATAGGGTATTTATATCCCAAGACACTGGGATACTTAATGAAATACTTGTTTCTTTTCTATGATTTGTCCATATCTATAAGCATAACCAGCCCCGAGAGTGCTTCTATTTCTTCCTCTGAATAATTTATTACAAGACAGTCCTCGAACATATCCTTTCTTTCTTCTCCATTCGTATTAATTTCATTGTATGCTACTTCATACCCTTCTGTTCCTCCATCTGATAGCAACCTAGGCACAGTCTGCCTCTGCCTGTGCTTTATTTCTTTGCTCATGAACTTAACTGGTCTGTGTTTCTTGTGTATTTTTAAGTACAGCCCACATGCATTGCACAGGTAGTTACCCGTCTCACTCCTTCTCCATAATGGAGTTATATTTGTCTTGCAATTCTCACAAGTTATATCATCACCTTTCTTATACTTTATCATCTTCTGCTGATTGTAATGTGATCAATTGTTTCGATTTAATCAAGAAATTTAAATTTTATATTTTCACTGGTTGATCGATTATGTGAAAGATAGTTCGTAATTGCACACAGGACATCTGCAGCTTCGACTTAATAGCCACGGGTCTATGCAATTGCAGTGATAATAGTGATGGCACTGCAATGTACGAATAAATTCCGGCTCTGTGAATTTTTCAAAGCATATTGGACACTCTTCATACTTTCGGTCGCTCTTTGGAATGTCTTCGTACTTCTGCAAAGCAATGGTTGATAGGTCCTTTGGCTTGACCAATCGAATCCGCGGCTCATCTAAGCGCTCAAATAGACTGGGGAATACGAAAATCATCAGAACCAAAAATAAAATATAAAGTATCTGGACAATTGGCAGAGAAGTTCTTATACCATTGGTTATTTTCACAGAGGGGTACTTTTCTTCTTTCTTATATATTTCTGTTAGTCTTTCGTACATAACAGGATCTATAGGAATCACATGAAACTGCTCGGTAGAAGCATAATCGGTATTCGGTCTTCCCAGAATAAGCATACCAGAGGCACCCATTTCTTTAAGATTGCTGTACTTTGTGATTGGTGTACACCCTCCTTTTTTTACCATTCCCAGCCACTTTCTGTCGGTCTTTATGGGAACTACTTTACACCCATTCTCACTCTCTTCCATATACGATATGGGCACCACGGCATACTCCTCAGTGCTGGGCGTAATTGTAACAGAGGATAGAGCACACTTTGTAATTACCCCTATAATAAATAGATACTTCCATAGCATGGGCATGTTCGCAGTGTACGCGCGTATTATATAGGCTTATTTGTTGTTCTCTCTGTCCATGGATACATTATGTTTCACATGCGCTGAGAATGTTTCGAGTTGTGCACATTTTCTATGTATTCATCTGTAAATAAGTATACAGTTACATATCTAGGCTTATTATACACTTATCTATTACTTGGCTATTATTAACTATGCTTTAATTTATAATATTCTATTTATTATTTATTTCCATGTATACTATAAATAACTCTGTAATAATTCGCTGTATATATTCAGACTAATTACACACAGGATATTTTACAAATACTTACATCCCAGAGTATATTGCTAATTAAGTAAGGTTCTTCTGTAAAGTGGTTTAAATTCGGGCTATTTCAAATTAAATCTAATTATACTTTATTTATGATGCATTGCTTACACTTTACTGTGTGTTATTTAATATTTTCATTTGTAAGTTATCACACGCTTTAACTAACTTTTCATTCTCCTCAGATAGGTCAATTACAGCCTCTTTCAACTCCTTTACTTCTATGTTCTCTTTCCCTTGAAGAATCTCCATGCACAGGGTTAAGTCATACTTTAGGTTGTAATTAAGTGTCTGCTTTTTCATCATTAATAAATAGTCTAAGACAGTCTCTCTCTCGTCCCTTGTCTGCTTTTTACCCATGGGCACTTCCACTCTTTCTTCATTTGTCTTCTCTTCAAAGGGAACTCTTGCCATCCTGTGCAAAAATACTTTAGTACTTATAGGGCGAAAAGGCGGGCATATTCCCGGCTGTTTTATTAAAGAAGGGCATCCAGAGAGCGTGCGTGTGTGATTAAGTAGTGCGCGCTAATGGTATAATGGTAGAACGCAACCCTTCCAAGGTTAAGACCCGGGTTCGATTCCCGGTTAGCGCACTTTTTTGCTGTCTAGGCTATATTTAAAATATAGAAATCCTAAATTTTATTTCTACTCGTAAGATTTATTTATATTTAGAATATATTTATTATTTTAGTATAAGTCCACTTTTAGATATATTCCTATTTGAATATTTCTATTTCTGGGTGTAGTGCTGTGTTAGTAAACACTGCATAAATTCAGCTGTAATATAAAGAGTACTGGGTACTATTTGTTCTTCTGCTGTTTCTGAGGCTTTTCGGGTTAGCATCAGCCACTTTTTATTTTGGGCTGGTAGATAATGTATGCGCCGAGATTGATTGAATCCCTTGCTGTCAGATTAAACGGGTATAAGATCACATCTAGTCTTTCTTCTGGGTATAGTCTATCCTTGGCACTGCGCGTGCCTCTGTATAAAGAATTCCTTTTCTCCCAGATATATTCTACATATGAGTGGTGGTGCCAAAAGAGAGGATCATTTGTGCTTTGCATGTATGACATGTCTCCATACTTCCCTCCTATGTTTAAGTGAACCAGTGCGTGTGGAATAAGTTCTAGCTCAATTGTGAATTCATAAAAGCTGTTCTTCTTGTTAATGACAGACTGCAGCTCAGTCCAGTTATAAAATGGATCTATCTTCTTGTTCTGCGTACGCAGCAGGCAGTGGGCTGTTGGTTCATATACTAAAAAACATCTGGAAATGCCCCAGTAGAATTCTTTAAGCATTGGCGAGTTACTTGGGTCTTCTGCATCAATTGTCCAATCCCAGTACGGCACGGTCATGTTCGGGTTGTTACTCAGTGATTGTAAAAGATATTCAAAGTAAAGAAGAAAAAGTCTGTGCCAGGGAAGGAATTCAAGAGAGTTGTGCGCATATTCTTTTACTGTGTAATGAACACGTGCGAGTGGCTCTAAATACCCGTGCTGTCTTAGTAGTTCAACTGTTTGCTTATACTCTGCCCACTCCTCTGGGCTTAAATCCCTGAACTCTTTTCTTACTCTGGGTTTAGTGATTCTTGGGATGTAAAGGTACTCCTCATCTATTGTCAGAAGAGGATTTCTAATTTCATATTTAATTATTTCTTCTATTTCATCAGAAAACGGGTTTGGGAATGGATTGGGGTTGAATGGAATTGATGTGTGGATTAGCCCATGAACTGTTGCTAGAATGTACAGGATGATCATTTTCATTTAAATAAAAATTTATTATTTATTGCAAAGGATAAATTATTTTTGGTTATTATTGCCCTGTGCAGATATTATAATGGAATAATATTTCTTAGCATATACCCTGAAATTGCCACAGAAAATATTTTATAATACATTTGTGATATAACCCAAATATTATGTATTCTATAATATTTGCACTCTTAATTAAGATGTGCCGTGTTTAAGTGCATTACAATAAGTAGTAAAGTATATTTAATTTATAACCCGAATAATATAAAAATTGAATATTTTTAGACATGTAATAACTGAAATATTTAACTGTATAGAAGAGAACAGTTTACTTTTTTATGCTCTTTAATGGCTTAGTAGCCCTGTACACCAGTTTTTTAAAGGACGATTCATTCTCTTCCATGGGTATGATTGCTCCTTTGTACGCATACTTCTTCATGGCTGCTGTAATTAGCATATTTTCTACATTTGTGCTTAAAAACTTAACTGCTACTCGCTTTTTTATCTTAAATAGTAAAAATATTTCTAGAATTTCCTCTTCTGTATACTTTTCTTCATTAAACACAACAACAATACTTTTCTTAGAACAAAGCCTTAGGAGATTCCTTACGTTGTAAATCCACATTCTTCTGGTTGATGCGCAGGAGTATCCTGCCATGTCTATTGTAAAGTAAATTCCTGCATGCATTACGCTTGAAATAGATCCTTTTTTATACCCACGATCTGCTGTCATGTCCAGTTGAACAGAATGTATCTGCCACTGCGCACATCGTGACAGATTCTCATTTGAATCTATTAATAACTCGCAAAGATCAAACTTGGCTGCAGCTGCATATATACTTGATGGCTTTGTCTGTGGGCTTACACCATCTATTATTATTTTTGAGACCCCCTTAGTGCTCTTCTGTATCTCTACTCTGTCAAGTAGGTGCCTTCTGTACGCATTCAGTTCTACGCCAATTCTCTTAAAATAACAGTTTTCTGCGGGTCTGTTTGTATTTGTCATTTAATTATTTCGGGATACAAAATATTTATAATTCTTCTGTTTTTACAAATTATGTCAGCAACCTGCGCTCGGACACTTTATGTTTCGAGAGATTTACACAAAATAAAGAGCAAAGACAACTTAAAGGCAATTCTGACCAGAGGCACAGATGAGAGTAAAATTGAAGCGCTATGGCATATAGTAAAGGAGACTGCAATGGGAATAAACCATGAAAACCTTCTATTAACACTAACAATGGCTATCCCGAGTACAAAGAGTAAAAGACTAATTATGCTGTTCTATTTGTATATGGAGAGTATAAATATAGAAGACTCTGAGGGGAACATTCGGGATGAGATACTTATGATATGCAATATGATACGGGGGCATCTAGCACACCCCAATGAGCACATTAGAGCCCGCGCAATCAGAACCGTTAGCAAGTTTAGAAGTGCTGCGATATTTGATATCTTAAAGCTTCCATTTATAGAGAATCTAAGTTATTCAAATCCAATAGTAAGAGCATCAATGTACATAGCGCTGCGGGATCTTCTTAGCAGTAAAGAGCTATCTGGGATATTTTCAGATACCATTCCCATGCTGGTTGACCAGATTCTTAAAGAGAGAGACTCAATCTGCCTGGCAGAGGGGTATAAAACCATCGAGCAGGTAAACAAAGAAGATACAAAGCATATTTATGAGAAGTTGAAAGAAAGCGCGCATGAGGGCTTACAGGAGTGCTTTTTAGAAAGTGCAGAGAGAGAGGGCGACTTAGACCAGATTGTTGAAATATTCAAAAGAGCGTCTTCTCGTGGGATAGAGGTACATGCTGCTGTTGCTCTGGTGAAGAATGGAAATAGTGAGATGGTAAAGATGGGAGTGGATAAGTTATTGGATATGTCAAATGAGTACTTGGATGTGGAATCAAAGAGTAAAATCATTCGTGCGTGCAGAGGTGCGCTAAAAAGAGGGCAGTATACATTTGAGAATATGAGTATGAAAATAGTGCAGATGATTACTCCAGCCGTAGCTAAGATTAAGATGGAACTAGCCAAGGAGATATTCCAATTTACACTGGATGTTCTGGCAATTGCAGAGGCAAAGGACTTGTTCGCTTTTCTGTGCCAGGGCCTTACAGACACACCGGAGAAAGATTTGAGAGACTCGTCCTCAGCACAGGATAAGATATTTTTTATGCAGGCACTAAAAGAGCTGATGATGAAGTATAAAATATGCACACCTGAGCTAATAGAGAGGATTTCTGGACTGGTTTCTGTTGGAATTCCTGAACTGGCATTGGAGGCAGTGAACTTTATTGACTCGTTCATTACTCTTTTGCCAAAGAACATGGAGGAGACTTTGACACTCGTGATAGATAAACTGCCGGGCATTAAGTATGGAAAGATACTTAGAAGGGTGTTTACTCTTATTTCCGCCCATGCAGATGGTGAGAAAGCGCACGAGGCAGTACTTAAGCTGCTCTATGCTTTAGCATCAGATGACAAAGGGCTTCTTCCAGGGCTTAAAGACACAAAGAAACTAGACATTTCAAAAATATTCCCTGGTGTGCCCATTGCTATTTTCCTCCTGGACATGGCACAGCGTGCGCCAGACATGAAAGAGGAAAAAAGGAAGGAGTTCACTGCGGATATTATGACAGCTGCGCTTAAAACATATGCAGCGGGGCATAAAACCCAGAATATAGATGAGGCATCTCGTGTAGCACTCCTTCGCCTAGTAAGTCTGCTGGAGAATAATGAAAACACTCATATTCTTGATAAGTCTCGCCAAGTAACAGGGAGTAATGATGCAAAGGGCTTAGAGCAGAAAAATAATAGGCGGCTTGCTGGTGGGGTGCCGTGTAAGCAAAATTTATTTATTCGGCCTGTCTTTCCACTAATTGTTGAGCAAACATCGCCATGCGAACTAAGCACAGTGCAGAAATTTATTGAAAAAAGCACTCCGCTGTCACTCAGTAAGCTAAAAAACATTTTCCAACTCACATCAGCAATTGATCCATTGTACTGTGAGTGCAAGATAAATACCTCTCGCACGGAAATAACATTGGATATTCTTCTTGTAAACCAGACTGATATGCTCTTGGAGAGCGTTGAGTTTGACATTGTCTCTAGTCCAAATATTAAAATGGCAAGCATTATCCGGCTGGACAAGCTAAGGCCGCACATGGTGTGCACACTAGAAGCCACTTTAATTATGGAAGAGTCAGACACTGGGTATATTGGTGGAGTAATTACGGCCGGGAAAGTAGGAAGGGACAATTACTTTATACAAAATTTGCAGGAGATTAAGTTTAACTTGGCTGATATGCTGGAAAAAAAGAAAATAGATGGAGAGGAGTTCCGTGATAGATGGCCATCTCTTGTTTGGGAGAATCTGTATACAATTACGCTGAATACTTCAAAAATTACTCCGGGCCATGTGATCAAGACCGTTAGCAAAGCTATCAACGGCACAGTAGTTGAGACAAGGGCAAAGATAGGCGATACCATATCAGATAAAGATGAGATTGAGCGGCCAGATATACTTGTGAAGAACATGTACACAAGAACTGCACAGGGAACAGGCATTTACGTAAATGCTGCCATTACCACAGAAGGACAAGAATTGGCAGCCACATTCAGAATACGCGGCAGCAATGCACGGGTGGTCAAGTCACTTTGCCAGCTAATTTCAAGACATGTGAAGACCTTGGCAGAGTAAGCAGAGGGCGCAGAGACAGCTTGTTTGTGTTATATTAGGCAACTTCTATCCCGATGGAGGATCAGAGGGATTTGAATAAATTAACGTAAATATAATTTTTAAATTTTTTACGCCCTTGTAATGACAAGTACAGTCGCATCTTCAAAGCTGAAGCTGAAATTTAATGGACACACAGAAAGAGTGACAGATTTAAAAATACAAGAAGAGAACGGGAAGAAGATACTATACACCGCCTCTCGGGACAAGACCATAAAGGGATGGGAGTTTGTTGCAGATGCCACAGGCGAGCTTATGGCTAAGCTTTCCAAAGTGTTTACTGGGCACGGTGGATTTGTAAACTCAATCTCTCTGGCCAAGTCTGGAAAGTACTTGATCTCAGTGGGAGCAGACAGCACAATTAGATCATGGCCCATCACTATAGAAGAGACAAAGAAGCACGCAGAGCATGCAGAGAAGGCATACTGCGGACTTGCACACTCCACTGGAACCGAGGAATCCTCCCAGGAGTACATTTTCACTGGAGGAGTAAAGCCAGTTCTTAATGTATGGAATGCAAATCTTGAGCTTAAGAAGCAGCTTAAGAGAGAGGACAACGAGGTGGCATACATTACTGTTATAAAGGCCATACCAAAGAAGCCAGAAACAATCATCTGCGCATACTCTGATGGTGCTATTGTTATGTGGAACATAGAAACAGGAAAGATTGAAAGCTCTATGAAGGGACACTCCTGCATCATTGACTCACTCGTGGTCAGCCCAGATGGCTCTCTTTGCGCAACTGCTGGAAGAGACAAGACTGTCCTCCTCTGGGATCTGAAGGAGAATGGATCTAACAGATGCGAAATATCTACAGGAGATACTGTTAACTGCTTAGAGTTCGCACTTTCTGCATACTGGCTTGCAGCAGGCACTGAAACCTCCATTATGATATGGGACATTCTTGAGAGAGATGTGGTTGTTGAAATACCACATCCTGAAGACTGTAAAGGATCATGCACTGCCATTGGATGGATTGATGGATTCACTCTGGTTGCTGGATACTCTGATGGAACTGTTAGACAATACACTGTTGATGTTGAGCAGTAATTAAGTTAAAGGGCGCATGAATAAATGACATGCACAGGTTTATGTTTTTAGTTTATTTTTGCTGCATTCACATATCACTTTACTGACTTTTCGGCATATGCACAAGTTTAGAAGCAATACATCCTAGCACACAGCGATGTTCGGGTGCTTTTTGTACAGAAATTGGTTTGATTCTTTGCTGTTCTTCATAAGTTTTATAACGGCCAGAGTTAACCCGAAATTAGCTTATAAACTAATATATGCACTAATCAAGTGATGTGGTGCTTATATGGGTGAATTAAAAGTTGTAAATTATTTAAATTATTCTGTGCTTTGCAATAACAAAAGCATTTATAAGTACTAATTCATCATTCTCTGATAAATACACTTATTTATACACTCGTTTCTTTATACATGTATAGTTGGCTAAAAATATGCTTATAACTTGAATTGTTGCATTGTTCAGTTATTGAAATGATTTAATCTTCTCTGTGCTGATTATAGAATAGTTCTTGTATGTTTCTAGCTATACCCCACCAGATGTAATATACCCCAAATGGTTTATTTTACTTCTTAGTACAACTTGAAATATACTGGCTTATTTAAATTAATATTATGTAAGGCATAAATAATATTTTAATTTTAATAAATCACGCATAGTTCACACATATTAATAATATATTGTAGCCTATATAAATAAAATAATTTTAAGATAAGATATTAATTATGTTACAAATAGGAAAGAAGAGAGTAAATCAAGTCTTGGTACTGGCACTTGCTCAAATTATGTTTCTGTGCTGGGTTAAAAGTACGATTAACATGTCTTTATTAAAAGTTGAAGAAATAGAAAGTTCTATACAAGATTTAAATTATAAGATAAATCCCAGTGGACCTCTGAATATAATAATAGGTAAATTATATCGTGAAATTGGGTATATGCAAAATCTGTATAACTTTTCGCCATGGATATACAAAAACCATAAGTTAGAATATAAAAAGGATGGAATATTTACAGTTAAGCAATCTTTTAATATAAATTCTGTATTTTTAAGTAACGAGGGAGATCTAACAATATCAAAGAAATCAAATGAGTACAAAAGGAATGCTTATATGCTAGAACATGCCAAGCAGGTTGTGGGGATGTTTTTATACGCATATGAAAACACACCTATTATACCACAGCGGTGTGCATCTTATTCGGATTTTTTTATATTGTTTTTATTCCATAAATCTATCAAGCAATATCGCTTCTATATACTTAGTGCATTACTTCTTCTTTCTGAGGGTATTAATGTTCCTATTGAAATATCTATTGTGAAAAATCATAGGCAACAGTTTGCTGAAAGACTACTATTAAGAAAATACACAGGGCGTGAGGAGGCAGCATATTACATACACACCTCTCTGTGGTTAGAAAAAGATAATCATTCGGAAGAGAAGGTATATTATAATGGGGCAAAGGAGGTTATTCAGTTTTTCATAAAAAATAGAAATAATCCACTTCTTTCGGGCAGAAATGAGTTTGCAGAATTAGATGACTATAGCACATTCAGAACAGGGAAGTTTTTAAATGGCACAAAATTCCTTATACAGTCTTATATTGCAGAGTTTATTTCAAGTGCAGAGGAATATAGAGAATTCATAGAAACTACGTACGAGTTAATTAATAACCAGATGAAAAATACAGAAATGACCCAGGAAGACTATGAAGCTGTTAATGCTGTATTTAAACGTCTTTTTATTATTAAAAACGATCAAACTGAAAATTCAGTTTCTTATATAAACCCTATATGCAATATAACTGACTACATAAGAAAAGTTGATCTCTTTCCGCATATAAATTCTGTCAACCTAGCAGAGTACTCCAAATGTTCAGGGGTTTATACGCTTAATAATCTGCAGGTAAAAGACTCTTCTGTACTCAAGAGAAATCAGATGAATATGGCTATTTTAAATTTAGTTTTATTTTTGCTGTACAACACCGAGAATAGAGACTATTTAATTAGCTGCGACAACCCAAAAAGTTGTTATTGCAATAGTGAATTTATTAATTTTTTCAAAAAGCACGGGCCTATCCTAAATGTTAAAGACCCACAGATGCGCAAAGAGTGGGAAAGAATTCTCTACACACAAACCAGCATTAATATTAGTTATTATGAGAATAGAAATATTTCAAGCGGGCTAATGAATATTCTGCATGTTTTAATAGTGATTATGCAGCCAGATATAGTTAAAAAAAATAGGCTAGCTGGTGATTTGAACCTAAATATGAAGAAAGCATACACAAGTTCAGAAGATCCAGAGATACAACATGAGAATATAAAATCTGTTATACTAGATTTACTTTTTAAACTCACAAATATGTCCAATATATCCATAACCCGAATTAACCTGGAGCATCTTGTTTTTCGCCCACCATACAATAAGTTTGAGCTTATTGGAACTATTAGCCTACTTTTCAATTTCAATATGGCCGTCTGTGCTGTGGAATTAAATATAACTTTAGATACGTTTACTGTTTCCTCTAGACCAGATAGATACTACAAGGGTAAAATAACCCAAATAATCAACTCCGGCCAGAATTACTCTATTAATTTACAAACCCATACGGGCAATCTTGTTTATGAATATATATGCAGCTTGGAAAATAAGTACTTCAAAATGGACTATAACTATGACGACACATATTTATTACATGTTGAATCAAATATACGAAAAGGAACTTTTAACCTTTACGAGCTTCTTGTAGATATGAAGTTCTCGTCATCTGTATATAGAGGGCTGTTTGTGTTTTCTTTTTTATTAAACACCTCTCCAGAGACTCTTTCCAACTCGCATGAATTAGTGCGGTTTACTTCCAATATTATAAAATACAACTTTATTGCTAGAGGGGACAAAAGGTCAATGAAACATATTTTAAATGGATTTTTAGTCAACAAAAATTATGCGCAGTACTATGGGTCTTTTATCATAGGGCCTATAGAATTCTTATGGCCAGAAGATGAAATAACTTATGTTTTAATTAAGTCACTAATTTCCAATATACTTCGTATGGGGTCTATTCAGCATCTCAGTGCATCACTATCTTCTATGTTACAGCTAAGCCTATGTGTAGAACACGTCTACAGTAATTTGGAAAATTCCTATACCGCAAATTATGTATTGCAATTAATCATCAATGCACACATAGAATCACATAGTCGTTATATGCAATCGTTTTTAAGCAGTGTTGATAGCAAAATCTTGGGATATAATAGCAGCTATATAGCACTTGTCCTTCTTTGCTATTCATGCATCTCGCCAACTTGCCCAAAATCCATTATCATAGACTTTTATAACAGCATAAATTCCAAACATCTTATTAATGTTACAAAAACCAGTATACAGCGTATTTTTAATGCCCCTGACATAGGAATAATTGCTTCTCGATTAAAAGGTCTAAAAAATGAAATTAGCCCAAAGATAAAAATGACACTCTTTAGTAAAAATCATGCTATTAAAAAATATATAAAGTATCAAATGGTTATACACATCGTTCAGCCAAATACCACTATGTAACATGTGTTTATTTGGTTGAACTATACTCTAAATAAATAAAAATAGGCTTTTAAAGAATGTATACAGAATATTTATAACTGAAATTTCGGGTTGTGTAATTATTTCAGACTATTTGCAATGTTTTTCCTTTATTTTCTTCTTCTGTGTTTGTATATATCCAGACGTTGTCTCTTTGTGTTTTGAATTGATTTGTAGTAATTTTGTGCTATTACTTATTGCTCTATTTTTATTTATTACTGTGGCAGAATATAAACATGAACTTTCTTTTTTATACAAATTCAATGTGTACACATTTTATTCAAGAACAAGAGCTCTAAAGGATTTTTAATAAAAAGCCGGAAATGAAAATGTACACAAGAATTTCAGGCTATACTACAAAAACGCCTTAATTATAATATAAGCACAGAAGATTGAAATGCTTTAATATCCTAAATGCTATAAAATAACAAAATGTTTAAGATATGTTCAGGCTTAGTTCAAACCACACTTAAATATTATTTAATATGGGATGTGGTTTTGTCTGTGCTATATATATGATATATACAGATCGGTACTTAAAAATTGTAATTATACAGCAATGACTTACTGTGATGGTATTAAATATCAACTAAATTTATGTATAATTGGAAAGGTAAACATAAATTTATATTTTATTCAATTTACTTGGTATACTCTTATTTTTGTGCAATTTATTATTTGACTAACTCAGTAAATAAAAGATGATTTACAGTATAAATAGACTAATTTAGTAGAATTTAGTATATATCTTTATATGTAGTATATTATATTTAGAATATATGTAATTAGGCCAATTTCGGGGTATATTGAATATTTAATTGTCTTTCTTTTTTTCTTTATGTTGACTCTCTCTCTTAAGTGCATAGGAGGTGCTGTGCTATTTGTTGCAGCAGGAAATACTTTCTTTGCTCTCTTTATGGAAATATGTGCGTATTTTATTAGAAGGCTGCGTAACAGGTCACTTCTTAAAGAGCTATCTGGAAAGTGGGCAATTATTACTGGGTGCACAGATGGGATAGGTCTGGGAATAGCCCGAGAAATGGCAAATAATGGAATAAACCTAATTCTAATCAGTCGGACACAGGAAAAATTAGACAAAGTGGAAGAGGAGCTTTCTAAAAAGGTAAAAACCAAAACAGTGCAGATAGACTTTGAGAACGAAATAGACTTTGCAGCATCTCTTGCAGAGGTTAAGGAGTACAGCCCGCACATACTTGTAAATAATGTTGGGGTGGCCGAGTCTGGACCCACTGCATTCATGGAGCACACCTTTAAAAGCATAGACCGGATAATTAAAGTAAACATTACAAATACAGTAAGGCTAACACAGGAGTATATTTCATGGGATAAGTCACCCAAGGATAAAAAATACATTCTAACAACAGGCTCTATGCTGGGATCTATCCCCAGCCCATTCCAGCAGATATATGCAGGAACAAAGGCATTCCTGCAAGTATGGTCTGAGTCAATTTCAACAGAACTTCCTGGATATCATGCAGAAGTATTTATGACTGGGTTAGTGTGCTCCAAGTTATCCGGAGCAAAGAAACCAAATTTATTTGTGCCATCTGCTGATCTGTATGGAAAGTGCTGTGTTCATGCATTTGGTACATGTGCTATAACGTATCCATATTTCCCACATGCTCTTCTGAATCTTTTTGCATGTGCCTTTCCCAGAGGAGTTATTGGCATGGCAATGGCTAGGTTTGGAGTGCACATTCGAAAGATCAAACAAAAATCAGGAAAGAAAAAATAACTGAAATTAAATCAGATAAAATAAAAACCAACCGCATGAAAATGCTTTAAAATTACACTTTATATTATAGAATACATCACAGGCAGGGCCAAATACAATAAAATATATGTGTGATTTACTACTACATTTATAAATATCTTATTATGCATTTTATTAATAAAAAGACCACATATAAAGAGATATAACCCGAAATAAAAAATTAATAAGAGGCCATATATAACCCAAAACAGCCAGATAAAAGTACATTAAAACAATCCTAAATTGACCAGAAACAAAACAAGTTCTATTTCGGGTTATTTAAAATGAGTTAAATTTGAAGTATACACCATGGCATGATACTATAGAGTGTAAATAACAAGCCATTTACATAATTATTTCTAAATAGAGTAGATACATTTAATTATAGTAATACTAATATAATCTGAACATTTATAATTTATAGCAGAAATGGCAGCTTATTAATAATAATCCAAGGCAGTTTGAAAATTTGTACAGTATTATAGTAGCATCACTGATTTCAAAAAGCATGGAGCAAGAGTGTATATAACCCGGAATTAAATTTGTTATAAGATACAATACAGGTGCAATGATTTTTATGATTATAAGGGAAATGGAAATATTTTTGTTTTTAATAGTAGAGAATTGACAGTTCTTGGTGGAAAGTATTAATTTTCTTTCTCTTTTAAAATTAAAATGTCAAAGTTCTTTGCTGGACTGGAGGATGCTCCGCAAAAGAAAGTAAATTCCGCAATTGCTGCACAACTTAATTTCTCAGACGACAGTGAAGAGGACAAGCCAACTATTTCTAACAAAGAAAAGAAAGATGAAGAAGTGGACAAATTATGCAAAGAAACCACTTTTAAAAAGCCAAAGGATGTAGACCAGTTTTTTAAGAAACTGACCAAGTATTCAGCACACTTTACAAAGAAAGGTCTTCCGTCGGTTTTAGTAGACTTTATTGCAGAGGCAGAGAAGAACAAGTCCACACCAGCAATTTTCAAACAAAAAAAGACGAAGTTTTTAGAGAAGTATAACGAAGTAGAGGTGATTCTTAATGTGGTGGAAGAAAAAAAGCACAAGAAAAGCTATATTGAGGAGATAGGAAAAACGTATCTAATTGAGAATCTACAAAAAAGAAAGGAGGCTCTTAAAGAGATGGAAAGCATATCCACACTGTCTGATGTTGAAATGCACCGAATTAATCTATATTTATTGAGTTGCATAATAGAAGAAAGCGTAGAGGAAAACTACGTAGAGATTATAGACAGGCTCAAAAAAGAAAAGAACTTTGTGAGTGCTGAAGAAGAGCAGAGCCTATTAAGAACAAGAATAGGAAAGTACATGCGGAATCTGTTAAAGTATGTGCAAGAATTAGATGCAGATAAAATCAACTGGGAAAATGTATATTACGATCTAATGGAAGTAGCAGAAGGGCTATCTGATGTAACAGATGTTCCTAGGGAAAGCGTTCTTGAGATTGATTATTTCCTAAGAAGTACAGTTGATGATGTATCTAGGCCATACCTTACCAAGGAGTTTATTGACAGGCCGATAGACAGCCATAACTATGAAAAATTCAAAGTGGTAGAGAAGCTAAGAGATCTGCCTATTTTAGAGGCTGTGACGCTATACAAACAGCTGACAGAAAAAGAAAATAGCACAAATGCGTACTTGCCTAAGTGTGCAGAGGAGCTAGGGCACAGAGCATTTATAGAAAGAGACTTTACCAATGCAATGGACCTTTTAGAGTATTCATATTACAACAAGACCCTCTGGTGCTCAGCGAAAACAGAAACCGTGCTTAGAGTGCTTTGCTTGTGTTTTGAGCAGAAGATGAAAGAAAGAGAGTTTTTCTCTGTGTTTAAGAAGAGCCTGCTTCAGATTGGAGATAATCTTCTCCTACTTAAATCGCAAAGTATTAAAATGGAAATAGCAAGAGCATTTGTTTTCTTGCGACTGGGGAGCTATTTAGAATCACACGCAATTATTACAGAAATACTCCCAGGATTTAACTGTGAGACTCTTCTGAGAACCCGTGCAATAGAGCTACTACTAACCCCACAATAAATAAAGAGCCATGATTAAGCAGTATGCAAGAATATAACATTTAGCATCCCAAATTTAACACTCGGAGGTATAAACTCTGTATTTAAACTAAACTGAAATATAACCCAAAATGTCTGTAATAGACATATTTGAATTTTCTAAGCAGCTGCCAATATTTTCTAAGTAACCCGAAAAATTGTGTGTACTTTTATTTCCATGTTTACATATTTTCAGCTACTTCTATGCCCAATCTATTTTTATTCGGGCTATATAATACACAAAAACTCTTCTCTCTAATTTTGGTTATAATGATTACTTTAAATACAATGTGTAAATTATTTTTGCTAATGTTTACTTTTATTGCAATTGGTCTTCTTATTCCTCTGGGCGTGGCCTTATACATTAGAAGAAGCAGAAAGGAGATAGACATAGATATGCTATCGTACAACAACAAGTACTTAAAAGAATATTTAGACATGCCAGCAGATGCCGAACAGCTCGAGCAGTATAAAGTTCTAGCAAAAGCAAGTATTTATCTTGTAGAGAAAGAGGAGGAGATTGAAGAAGAGTCTAAAATCATCCATTCTCTGTTTTACTCTCGAATGATTAGCAGCACAATGTGGGATCACTTAAAAAAGATTAAAGACGAGCTAAGCATAGACAAAATCACAATAGAAGCCGAACTAGGCCGGTTTGCAAAGTTAGACAAATCTAAAATAGACAGCGCAGGAATAGAAAAATATAAAAAGTCGGTTATAGATGCTCCCTGTAAGGAAAGGCTATCAGGATATGTTTCTGAGTCTGACAGGGATAGACTGTATTTAAATTTGACAAAAAAGGCTTCTCTTTAAATAAAGCCAAGATATATTCTATTAAACTATTAGAGGTGTATATAAACTAATTAACATAGATTATTTGTGTGTATAACCCGAATTTAGCATTTTTATAGTTGTATGTTAGGTTATTTGGTGTAATGCAGTGTATTGGGCAGTCTTAGCCATGTAATGAGGTTCTATAAATATTTTCTGTTTTCTATTTTTACATGGCAATTCTTAATATGAAGATACTCTCATTTAAAACGTATGAAAAGGTGGAAAGCATTCCTTTCTCGCCATTTACATGTATTGTAGGGCCTAATGGTGCTGGAAAGAGCAATTTAATAGATGCTCTATTGTTTGTATTTGGTGCAAGCCCGCAGGAAATTAGAGGAAGTATTCCTGCTAGGGACTGCATGCCTCCCACAAGAGTTGAGCTGGCGTTTCGTGATAAAAATGGTGTTATTATAAATTTAAAGAGGGAAATGGCGAATGATTCATCTTCATTCTACATAGACGGTGTGAAGGTGTCTTTTATAGAATATTCTTCTTATTTAGAGAGCCAGAACATATCGACAGTTCACAGAAACTTTCTTATCTCGCAGAATGAAGCACTCATAAAATCGCCAAAGGAGCTTTCAAAATTCATAGAAAAGATATCTGGGTCTTATGCGCACAAAGAGGAATATAAGCTTTTGAAAGAGCAGAAGGAGCAGTTTGCAAAAGAGTATCAGGAGTTAATGGAGAGAAAAAGGGCAGCTGAAGTATCCACAAAGGCGTACGAAGAAGTATCTGAGATGCACGCACGGCACAGATTGCTTATGGCAAGAAAAAGAGTTCTAGCAAGTTCGAAGATAAAGAAAAAGAAGGCACAAATACGCGAAACCCGGCAGGGGCTTGTTGGCCGGCTGTTATCTATAGAAGAAAAGGGAAACAGTACTGAATTAAGGGAACTACATAAGGAAATGGCACATATACAGACACAGCTTATTAAGTGTCGGGCTATAAAAAGCAGCATGCAGCACAGAATAGACTTAAAAGGTGAGGAAGAGGCCGAAATAGTTAAAAGCAATGAAGTACGGGCCCAGGGGATAGTTAAAATAAAGGAGCAAATAGCAGAAGCAGCGGCCCAGATAGAAGATTGTTTATGGCACCTTAAAAACACGGAAGATATAGCATCTGCACACCCAGGATGGAATGAGAAGTATCAAAGAGAAGCGCTCATCCAAACACTTTCTCAGATACAGCGCGTGGAAGACTCAAAAAGCATCTTGCAAATGAAGATACATGTGAATGAGATTAAAAGAGAACTGAAAGAATTAATTCAGAAGGAGAAGGAGCAGAAAGACATGGACCGTCAAGAAGTTATGAGTAATCGTTTAGCCCATCTGAACCAGGCACTTTTGGAGACGTTGAAAGAACTATCCTGCAGAATGTCTCGTAGTAAGGATGTAGAGTATAACTCAAGACTGGGATATCTTATTGGACGAATCAAAGAGAGTATTCCACAGGTGGTGGGCAGGGTCTGTGATTTGGTGGCGTGTACTGAGGAAAGGTATCAAACTGCAATTAATGCTCTAATACACTCAAAAAGAAACATAATTATCATAGAGCAGGAAAAGCATGCACAGCCAATTCTTAATGGACTGGCGCAGTCTGGGGCTGGGAGAGTGACTATTTTGCCATTAAATAGGCTTAATTCATATGGGGGCGCAGGCCGGCCTGATAAAGAAAACATTTCAAACCAACAGACTAGGCTGGATTCACTTCCCGCTGGATACATTCGGTGCCAAGATGTAATTAAAATAACAAAAGACATAAAATATGAGGAAAATGTGCTAATTGATTATATATGCGGAAGGGCATTAATATATTTAGGAGAGGGGTCACCAACTTATGCTGCTGAGAAGGTAATTACTCTGGACGGAATAATTATTTCGCAGGATGGATCAGTTAGAAAGATTGCATCGCGTGGGGATGAAAGCGCAATAAAGGAGCTTGAAGAGAAAAGAGATGCACTTCTGACGGACATTAAGGCAGAGAGCGGAGCACAGAAGTCCGCACAGGCAGAAAAGAGAATTTATGTAAAAAGCGAGCAGGTCATAGAGCTTGAAAAGCGGTGTGAGGAAGCAGAAAGATACTTAAAAGAGACAGAAGCAGAGATAAAAGGCCAAATAGATGAAATAGTAGCCAAATCACAAATACCCTACAAAATAATACAGCATGCCAAGGAGGAGGGTGTAATTGATTCTTCCTCAGCAAATAAGAAAACAGCTCAAATAAAAAAGAAGGAGGAGTCCTGGAGAAATCGACTAAATGACTTGAGGCAGGCACTGAATAAATTGGAGAAGGTGCCTGTTCGTGTGGCAGAAGAAATGGATGAAAGCACAGAAGCTCTTAATAAAGAAATATTAGAGCTGGAGGCCAAGTTATTAGAGGTATCTAAAAGAATAGAGCCATCCTCAGAGATTGAGTTGAAAATGATCAAAGAGCAAATAGTTGTGCTTGATGATGAGATTGAAGAGATAGAACAGTATATGGCAGAAGAAGGCATAACCGAAGAGGCTATTCAGGAGGCGCCAAGCAGCATGGAAGAAGAAGACTTGGAGAAGCTTGAAAGAGAAATTACAAGCGTGTCGTCCTTTTTGTCAAAAAAAGGAGTTGTGGCAGAAACCCATCAGATATATGCACAGCTGGAAAAAGAGACAGAAGAAAAAAAGAATGTGCTGGCAGAGGTAACGAGGCAGTTCCAAAAAGTGCGGAAGGAAAGGGCTGCGCTTTTCCTTAACGTATTTGACAAAATAAACACTCTAATAAACCAGCACTATGCACGGCTCACAGAAAACCCATCTGGCCATGTGCGGGCACATTTGGGGCTAGAGAATTCTTTAGAGCCATACTTAGCAGGTGTGCAGATATTTGTCATGCCTACTGGAAAAACATTTAGAGAAGCTAAATACTTATCAGGCGGAGAGAAAACAATGGTTGCGCTGGCATTGCTGCTTTCTATTAATTCAATATATCCATCTCTTTTTTATGTATTCGACGAGCTGGATGCTGCACTAGACAAAGATAAAATAACGTGCCTTAGAGAGTCGCTGCAGGAAATAAATGCACAGTTTGTGGCAGTTACTCATCGAATTGAGCTATTTGAAACAGCAGATACTCTCATTGGAGTAGCAAGGCCCCCGCAAGGGCACTCTCAAGTATTTTCTCTAAAACTATAATTCATTTGAAATATTTATACATGCGAACTATTCTACTCTTAAACTGTATCTAGGCATGTTTTATGCCAGCATTGCCTTCTATAGTGCTTTATAACCCATAGCGTAGAAGTTTTTTTGGACAATACGTGGTATTTTATTCTATTTAGTAAGGAGTTGCATATACTTTAAATTACTTTAAAAATTTCTTCTGATAAACAACTACCATTAATTTGTGCGTGTTTTTATAGGAGAAGGCGCATACAGTGCTTATTGTCCTTATGAATAAGTAAATTACATTCTATATAAGTTATTCATTTTTGACTTGTTGTTCTAATCTATGGGTATATCCCGAAATTTTTAAATGTGCGCATATACTTCATAGATATATTAGGCTTTAGCGTGGCCACTTGCTATTTATATGTTGCAAGCGGCATGCAGTGTACTTTAATCACTCTATTTAAACTTTCGGGTATTCTGACTACAGTAGAAAAATATTAATAATTGAATTCATTGCAAAAAGAAAAGAGAAATGAACCACAACAGAGACCGACCATATGAAATAGGATTGGTGAATGACGACAACAATCTAACAGATGACCAGGCAAAGGGTCTGTTTAATTTGTTTATTGACACCTTTAGGATAGGGGATGACTACATATACAGGGAAGAACTAGCAAAGGATGAAAGGCTTCTAAGAGTTACTGTGGAGCATATGAGCATGTTTGATTCTCGGTTGTTTGAGGGTGTAATGAGCAGGCCTCTTCACTACCTTGAACTATTCAGAGACGCTATTAATGATCCTGGTAAGAAAGAGCGGTATATTGAAATTGTATCACAGTCAACAGTTACTCCCATAAGAAAGTTAGACTCTGCGCATATTAACAAGATATCAACAATTAGAGGGATAGTTTTATCTGTTTCAAGCGTGTGCTCAAAGCCTCTTGCGCTGTATGCGTTCTGTAAGACATGCTTAAACGCAAAAGTGATCAAGGAGACCCTTCCTAGGAAGTGTGAATCATGCAGCAGCTCAGATAGTTTTGTTGCGTCGCCCGAAAAAAGCATTCTACAGGATGTGCAGTACATAAAGATTCAGGAAGCCTTTGAAGATCTGCCAACGGGAGAGATATCCAGGCATTTAATGGTGACTGCTGCAGATGGTCTTGTAGACCGGGTAATTCCTGGAACATCTGTGACCATAACCGGAGTGTACTCTATTGGAAACACAAAGACCAATATTCCTTTTATAAAGGCAATGGGAATATCAGTGAGCGAGCAGAAGATTGGAATACTTACAGCACAGAAGGCTGTACGAAAGGTCACAAAGAAGTTCACCAGCCTTTCAAGATCTACGATTGTAAACAGCATATCTCCAGAAGTGTTTGGGCACAAGGATGTCAAGCTTGCTTTAGCATGTGCTCTTTTTGGAGGAATACAAAAGAACTTTGAAGATGGAATCCGGGTCAGGGGAGATATTAATGTTCTTCTGCTTGGTGATCCTGGTATTGCAAAAAGTCAGCTGCTGAAGTTCCTTTCTGGTGTGTCCTCCCGTGGGGTCTACACAAGCGGTAAAGGCGCCAGTGCGGCTGGTCTAACAGCAACAGTATGCAAGGACAAGTTTGGAAACTTTTATCTTGAAGGGGGTGCTTTGGTTCTGGCAGATGGTGGCCTGTGCTGCATTGATGAATTTGATAAAATGCAGGAGAAAGACCGTGTTGCTATCCACGAGGCCATGGAGCAGCAGACTATTTCTATTTCAAAGGCAGGAATAGTCACTTCTCTAAACTCTCGGTGTGCTGTAGTGGCGGCTGCCAATCCAATATTTGGAAGGTATGATGAGAATAAGGCTCCTGGAGAGAACATTGACTTTGGAGTAACAATTCTTTCAAGATTTGATCTGATATTTGTTATTAAAGACTCAATGAGCGCAGATAAGAAGATTGCAGAGCATGTAATAAGCCGATTTATCAACAGCAACAAAGAGGAAAAAGTACAAAACAGCATTCCAGAGCACATTTCTATAGAAGAGCTTAAAGACTATGCTGAGTATGCAAAGACCATCAACCCTGTGATAGAGGAGGAAGCAGCTCAGAGGCTGCAGGCATTCTACATTCAGACGCGAAAAACCGCAAGGGCCTCTCGAGATACAGGAAATGGAAGTGTTCCAATCACAGTAAGACAGCTGGAAGCAATTGCTCGAATAAGTGAAGCGCTGGCAAGAATGGAGCTAGAAACTGTTGTGACCACTGAGCATGTAGAGGAAGCAATCCGGCTGTTTACGGAAAGCACCATGAAGGCAGTTGCTATGGGGCATTATGTTGAGGGTATGCCTAGGCAGGAGTGGATTAAAGAGTTCTCACAAGTTGAAACTGCTATAAAATCCTGCCTGCCTATTGGGCTGTCCAAGCCATACAAAATACTAATCAAAGAACTGTGCAAATATCACAGTGAAGGGGTTGTTATGCAATGCCTTGATGGCATGATTCGAAAGGAAAAGCTCTGCGTAGCTAATGGAGGAAAAACAATATTAAGAATGCCTTAGGGTCCTCTCTTCTATATCTAGTCATAAATTTATCATAATAAATGCGTATACTTTATATACAATTGACATGTTTCTTCATCTGAATTTTAGGATTATACTATCCCTAATCCATTTATGCAGATTATAAAGTACTACACTCTCTTTTGATATTTTATATTGATTATTATATATACGTCAATCTGTACCATAATTAAATTTCGGGCTATATATTTTTATAAGTTCTTCTCATACCTTACTTATATTAATAAACCGTTTGAACTAAAAAGATTCCTTAGAATTAGTTAATAGTAGAGTTAGTAATATATGCATATGGTTTATTAAAATTAAATATTATTTATGCCTTACACAAAATAAAACATGTACATAATATGTAAAGAATAAATAATATTTAATTTTAATAAACCATGCACAGTTCACGTGTAATAATAAAAATATATTTTGATTGGTTTATGTATGCACTATATTAATTAAAATAGAAAACTCAAATACAGTTAAGAGAATTATACAGAATAGATAAAAAAGTTATATAGAAGACAATCTACTCTGCTAGCACTATTCTGCTGTCTAATGTATGATCCAGTGTAAAGCAAATATACCACAGAATATCTACCTGAATCCATATGTTCTGATATAAAAGAATTCTTTGAGATACATAATGGTCGATATGAGTTAATTACCTATGAAATGCAGCAAGCGCGGTCCAATATACTGTGGAGTTTTAAAGGTTCAAACATTCGCTATAACAAAGACAAATGTGAACTAAATTATATTCCTGTATAAAAGAATAGTAAATCTGATAGATTAAGAACAATACATCACCATATATTTTCTTTATTTCTTATAGGAAAATGGTTGGTAATAACCAGCCTGAAAAATCCATAATACTAATAGTAGTATAAGAAATGGCTGAATACTTCTTATAAAAATAGATAGCTAAGTTTATTTAGTATTTCTTACAATAAAGAAGTAAAATCTATATATTATTAAGCTCTATTCTATGGCTGTTTTGGCTGTTTGTCTTTGGTTAGATACAAAAACTCATCTGTATGCTTGTCAATTACCTCCTGCCAGTTATTAAATAACTCAGCGTTGTTTTTTGTGCATACTTCTGGATATAATATATTTTGTTTGTACTCATCACACCCCGCATTATCAATAACTCCTCTAGTATCACCGAATTTTTCATTATAGTTGCTAAAATAGCTGTGTGAGAGTAGAAGAAGCTCACCAGGTACTTTTGGAATATTTCTTTTTTCTGTAGAAAATACTAACTCAAGAGCCTTCGGAACATCTAATGGGCCTGCCAGCCTCTGTGCTGCTAAAACTGAAAAACCTATCATTTTTCGGATCTGGTGAATCATAAAACTCTGCCCATGAAGCACAACTTTATTCCACTTTAGCCCCTCTGCAGTATATTCTTCTACTGTTATTTTTTTAATAAACCGGACAGGGCCCTTTTCTTGCGTTAGGATAGTAAAATTATGGAAATTGTGTGTTCCTTCCATCTTTTGTAAGGTCTCTGTGAATATTTTGGTTTTTCTGCTAATGTCTTCAGAAGTATCGCTTTCTGTTACATACGCACTCTGCGGCACAAAGTACTCATATACCCTTGACTCGCAGCGATGTTTTGCATCAAAGTTCTTTGTGGTCTCTACAAGCCTGTGTAGAACAATTCCGTGTGCTGGAAGAGATTCTTTTAATTTATTCTCTAAGTCTTTACAGCTTCTTCCTTCTGAAATTTCTATTCTTAAAGAAAGCACTAGCATTGCTGCGTGCACACCCTTATCTGTCCTAGAGGATCTCTGCAGAGCTACTTTAGAATAATCTTCTGCATTTCGCTCTGATATATAATGTAAGGCGTGTATTTCATCACACACAGTCTTTTCTATTGTTTTCTCCTCTTTGTTTATTTGACTGCCTTTGTAGCCTATTCCGTTATATCCTATAATTAGTGCAACTCTTTTCTTTGCCATTTAAAATATTTTGCATTTGTTCATTTATTATAGTTTATCCATTAAGTCACCAATCCTGTATAGAATAGCTAGTTGCTTTTTTATTTATAATTTCAGAAAACTTAAATTTCAGAGTATTCTGTTATTCTACTTTATACCTGCCACGATTTATTATAACCCAAAACAGCCATAAATGGCTCTATTCTATAGTATTTATATATACGTATGTTATAGATTTACTTATATATAAAATATACATTTTTGATATAAGAATATATTGTGTCAGTCGGCCTGAGTAGAATAAAGGTCTATTATGTACTATAAGTATTATTAAGGTATCGTGTAATGAATTGCATACACACTATATAATAAAATATAAATAAGCTCATCTATGTTAAGTGTAAGTTATAATGGTATAAACAGTTCCTATTTAGATTCGGGTTGTATCTTTAAGTCTGAAGATATTTACAAATTATTAGAAATCGGCCTTTGTTTTCTAATAAAAACCTATTATGTTTTTTGGTTATTGCAGGGAATTTTAAAATATGAATTTACTCATGTAATTCTGAATTTATTTGCTTGTTGGCTTCTCTTTCCTTACTTGCACAACCCCGCCCTCTTCCTTTATTTTAAAAACTTTGTCATCAATATCACAAACCAAAGTGTCATTAACTACCGATCTATTAGCTATAGTATGGGATAGAATTTTCTGTAACTTTGATTCCTTGCAGTCCAAAGAAAGGCCGGATATGTTTTCGTTGAAGTCCCCTGAGAAGTGAAGAGTCAGTGAGTCTTTGCTCCTGCTCACTACATGAATATTGTGTGTGTTGTGGATTTTTATACTATACAGCTTATCCTCAGAAACACATATACCATCTTTAGAAGTATCCTCAACAGGCAGATCGTATTTTTTTTCCAGATTATGATTTCGTGCAATGGGATTCACATAAAGCTTTTCTACCCAGGGCAGTTTCAGCGCATCTTCCATATTACCAATAAACTTTATGCAGTAATCCGAAAGATGGATTACTGGCAGGTTTTTAAAGAAAAGCTGATATAGAGATGGCTCGCACAAAATTATTATGCTTTCTTCTTTTAGTGCCCGAGATATTTTGTGGGCGCTTGCCGCATTAAGTCGAGGTGTGCTAAAAAGTGTTGACGTAATTGATGATTCTTCCATAAACCTATCAGCAAATGCGTCTTTCTTCATTTCATACAGCTGCATTATTTTCTTAAATCCGGGGTGTGCTACGTATACATTCCTAGCTTTAACCAGGCTTAGAATATGCAGAGACATTTCCACAGAATGGTTCAGAATGTCCATTGTAACGACAAACGACTCTTTTTTAAGTGACAAGGCTAGAATCTCTTTTGATAAATCTTGAATGTTTTTTGGTTTGTTATCTAAGAACTGGTTTACAATCAATGATACAGGGGTTTTTGATGGTTTCATTTCATGGGCAAGTGAACTTCCTCCTGGTATACCATATGCATACGCGCATATTTTTTCTTTGTCCTGTGCAACTGCATACATAATCCAGCCAAGGGATAGCCCTGCTGCCTGGGCTGTAATAGATAAGTATGTAAAGTTAATTACCTGGTTGTGCCGTATTATCTTCACCCGCCGTGAAATTTCTTTATACTCTGATATTGACACTATTTTGGTGTGGGGCTGTGGTTGATGTTTTTTTCTTGTGATTGGCCCCAAGGATACATAATACTTTAATCTTTCTTTCATTTGAAGATAAATATAGTCTGTTAAGTAAATAGTTACATCGCTTTCTACGAAAAAAACAGAGAGAGAGTTACTATTCGTAATAAATATACCGGTAATGTCGGGAGGATATTCTTTGATCACTTCTATTTCAATATAGCCTCGGTCGGAAATGCCGCATAGCTCAACATCACTGTCCAGAACTTTTGATGGAGGATCAAAAAGAAGAGAAGTTTCATGGCTTTCCATGAGATACCCATCCTGGGTGGTCCCATTATGAGCAATTGAGAGTCTTTTGACTTTCATATTATGTAAAAAATTTAACTATGCTAATAATGAAGTATTTTCTTGACAGTAGTATTAAAACTGTTAGTAAACAAGAGCTGTCTGATTTTCTAGACCAAGCAGATTATGAGAAAATAGGGGTTCAAGTGGCAAAGAATAACTACGAATCTGGCAAAGAAGTGTGCGACATTGCAAAGCAGGGTGGCATAGAATCACATATTCTAGCAGATTCAGACAGATGCTGTATTGATTGGATAGCCGCCCAGCACGCACAAGTCAACTGCATTATTAAAAGATCCTTTTCCTGCCCCTTATTAAATGTATCGCGGAGTAAAAAGCTAATAGAGAAATATTCTATATTACAGTATGTTCCAGAATGCACTCTTAATCTTGATATTTTGGACGGCGATGTGCCAAAAGATAATTCTGTAGATCTTTCAATGCATGCAGTGTGCTTGGCACTTGATATAAAATATAGTGCACACTATAAGGAGATACTTGAATACTTGGAAAAAGTGCTGCAGACACAAATAACTATGTGGTCATATTCTAAAAGTAATAAGCCCCAATTGGCTCTTGTTCTTTCAGAAGATCAAGGATTTATTGACTACTTTATAGACAATTACAACTACATATTGCTTACAAAGGACATATTAGAAAATAGGCACAAGCTACTAGACAAAGTGTGCGCAGACATACAGACACTTGACGCAAGAAAGACAAGAGCAATAATTTCTAAAATGGCATATATTGAGGTTCTAAAACAAGCAAAGAGGATAGGAATTGTATTTACATCAGGGGATCATATGGATCTGATCAATCTTATATCAAAGTATTTAGATATAAATGGAAAGAAGTTCTACCAATTTTACATTAATGGGCTAAAGCCAAATAAGCTGGGAAACTTTGTGGGGATTGATGTATTTGTGGTGATTCAGTGTCCATTTTCCAGTTTTAAGTTTGAGGAAAACATAATTGCAATGCGGCCGTATGACTTAGTATTAGCATTTTCTGAGGAGTGGAATGGTGAGTACATAACAAATTTAGAAGTGGCAAAAGAAAGAATATCAGAGGAAATAAAGAAAATCACTGCACGCACCAAAACAGTTGAAACCAATGAAACTTCTATAATGCAAATAACCAGCACATTAAATGCCCTCAAGCTGTCTAAGAATGAAATATGCACAAAGGAACAAGCAGAAAAATACTTCCAGACCGGTGTATATCTAAAGAAAATCACTGGAATAACAATAGAAGAGACAGTAAAAGAAACAACCGATGACTTAGTAATGGGATACTCTGGAATACCCACAGAGTACAAGAAGTAAGTGCTGCCATGCCATATCTAGTAAATAAATATAGACAATATTAGATTTATGCTATTATTTCGCTTTGATGCCAGTTATACTCTAATTTCATACGGATGCATTGCTTTGGCGCTGCTATCTCTCTTTTCTTTTTAGTTTTAAAATTGCAAAAGTTAGCTGAAATTATTTTGGGTTATCTATACGCTCTTTAAAGTATAAATAAATTCGGGTTATTCGGGCTATTTTACAAAAATTGTAATATTTATATATATGGTATTCTTTATTTATTAATAGCTAGAATAGTATAATAAATGCCAATTAAAATTATTAGTGGCATTTATTATACATGCTAGACATAGTCACTACATCAGTATTTATCTACTGAGCTTATCTCTGATAGTAGAATTATTAATTTTCTTATATTTAACTCTGTTAAGAGGCTGTGTATTTTAGAATATGTAGAGTGTTCATCTATTCGGGTTATTCTTAAATAGCCCGAAATTACTAGATTTAATACTTTCACAGTTCTTTATACTGGATAGGCCTGCCCAGAATATATACGGGAAGCAGAATATACCTTTGTTTTATCATAATAATAATGCACTACCTGCGCTATTCGGGTTTAGTGGGTATTTAAAGGTATACTGCCGGTTGTGGATAATTTGGGTTATATTTCAATGTGGCCATCGTCCTCAAGATAGAAAAGATCATTCAGTGGCCCACTAATCGCTTTTAGTCTATTGCAGTTATTTAAGTGCTCCACTTCTATACGCACTATTCCCCATATGATTCTTCTGCTCATCTCTAGGAAGCACATTACTAATTTAATCTTGAGTTTGGCTTCAAACTGGTAATCTTGCATTGCCAGGCTTACCAGAGGGCTTGAAACTGCCAAAATTCGCACAATTAGATTAAACAGGCAGGCAAAAATATACACTTCTCTGTGGTATACCTTTGGCCTACTCCACAGCATCCAGTCAACATACACATCCCAGAACATTCCAAAGCCGTTGGAAATTAGTAATGCACCCACGCACACCCAGATATTTATAGTATCAGATAAGATCAGTAAAGTATCACTGGTAAATGAGATCATATATTTTAATGTATTATACAAGTGAGGAAATGGCTGCCGGTTCGTCTTCTCAATGTGTCTTCTAATGCACTGGAATACACGAATCATTATAGGAATATACAAAATACAGCATGTAATCTTGGGCCCTGGGGCCTCATGCAGGCCCATGGTGATTGACAGAAGCAGCGCAGAGCGAATGCTTATAAAATAGTCTGCAATAAAAAAGTGCTTGAAGTGAACTTTTCCTAGAACACTGCATGCCAGCACCTCCGAAACCGTCTGTAATAGGTACATACGAATTTCCTTATAAAAGTGATCTATTGGCATGCAAATGATGCACACTGTTAAAATATATATCAGCCAGCTTGGTATATCTAAGTACCCTGCAACCGAATGCATTAAAAATACAATGGTGCACATAAGAAAGTAGCTGGATATTTTAAACTTTGGCTTAAGGTTTAGCTCAAGAATTAGACTGTAGTTGACCAGGTTTTTACGGCACACATAAAACAGCACTCCTAAAGAAAGGAAAAGTATGTCAAATGTATAAAGAGCTCCATAGTACATGATATTTGTATTATTCTGCAGAGAGAGCCCCATCATAAATAGGCCAGCACTCATCATCGCGCCTGCAGCAAAGCTCTTTCCATCTCCCTGCGCGTCTTCTTCTGTTAAATCTGCTACAAGTCTTTTTGCCTTATCCCTATGCCTATTTGGCGTTATTTCCTTATGCAGGTACCTTGTAAATTCAATGATTTCCTCTACAGTCTGCTGTACAAATGTGGATCTCGTGCGTATTTCCTCCATCATTCGGCCCTGTATGCTTGTTCCATTTTTCTTGTCATACTTCTTTAATATTTTTCTGAACCCTGTTATATTCATACGCTTATACTGCACAATTTTATTCAGAGCAACATAAAATTCTAAAACCTTGTTCTCCCGAACTTTGTGAATTGATTTTTTGGGTAGCCTTTCCTGCCGGCTTCTTTTATGCCGAACACTCACTGACTTGGCCATGGCCAATTTCCAGTTCTCATATACCATTTCATATGCATATGGAAAGTCCTCCTCTGGAAATAATTCTAGCAAATCAGCTAAGCCCCGTAATATTCCTCTTTCCAATATTTTATAGAAGGCCTCTACTTTCTCTACTTCTTTATTAATCTCACTAATGAACGCATCCTCTGTCATATCAATCTTTTCTTTTAGGTCTTCATAATTCAAATACTTAGCTCTCCATTCTTGCACTTGCTTTTCTTTCAAAGTTTTACTAAACTTCATTAAAATCCAGGGGACACTCAAAGAATATTTCATACTTTAGTTTTCTCCTAAATCTTCAATCTTTACAAACTGCTAAAATTTAACAAATATAGACAATTCTCTGTTGTAAATAATCAATTATATGCAGAATTATCTAATATATACCTAAATTGCCAAAATCCACAGAACTTTATATGAAAGAGTATTCTAGACAAAAATATGAATAAAAATATCCCGAAAGAAGCTGTGGTGGTATATACAATTTAAAGGGGATTATTTCATAAATAGCATGCATATGCAGAAGCATGCCTTTCAAATCAACTATGGTTCGCTTCTCTGTTGTTGTTTGTCGTGTAGCCACCAATATAACTAGCTATCTTAATTTGAGCTGTATTTCAAGGCATATATATGCATGAGGTTTGCTTTTAAGCATATTAAAATACTTATATACAGTTTAATTTGTGCTATTTTCTTTCAGTAACAATTTCATATTTTATAACATCAGTATGCTGCTTTATATACCATTAACTATATAAACTATCTTTAATTATCCATATTTATATTTAAATCACTTGCACATTGTGATTTTTTTATGGTTGTTGGGCGCAGAAATCGATTGATTTTCTCTCCATTATATTTTCTCTTGTTTTTTTGTTTCTTTCCTTTATTTTATACTTTATTATTACTCATACTTTATTAATTATATTCTAGTATACATGCCATTATGTGAGAATAATCATCAGAGATATGAATGTTCCTTTTTAGAGTATTAGCACAATGTTTACAATATTTTATATTATTAGATAATAAATAAACCCATTCAGAGATTGAATTAAATTATAAACACTTTCTATTTTTATATTTCTTGTAAATAGTAAAATAATAGATGCATATACAGACATAAATTTACAAATATCTCATTTTCTAGTATATAACCCAAATAATATAATGTGCTAGTATATAACCCGAACTTGATTCTTAATAGTATTATACTGCACACAGATTCTTCCTTTTTCAAATATCAAATATATTTAACACCTCAAATAATTACACCCGCATTATTGCCTATTCATACGCTAGACAAACAAAAAGCACTTAAATGAGGCTATTCTGATATATTCGGGTTATTTCTGGTTATACAATAGACACTAGGTAATAGACTCTGATTGAATAGAATATTAATAGTTGTAGACGGATACATGTAATTTGTTATGTGGCACTAGGGTTATTTAAAGATTAATATGCACTACCACACTTCAATAGCCCAAAATACAATAGAAATAGCTTTAACCACAGGGTAAAACAACAAATCCTCCTATGCACTGAAATAAATCCTAGAACAAAGAAGTTTTTATAAATGCATCACTGCATAGCTATAATTAGAAGATAATTTAATTATTGTATGATGGGTTTAAATTAATTAATTACATATTATGAAAAAATATTCAAACAAAATAAATGGACAGTTTACAAAGCGCAAGCAGCTTTTTAGGAGGAATTAAAAATGTTTCCCTTCACTGGGAAGTGCCTATTTTTAGTGCTTTTATCTATATAGTGTGGGTTGTTAGAAACAACAAGAGAATTAAAGAAAAAAAGGAGAAGAAAGAGATACTTAATCCTCAACTAAGTACATCGGATAAGTCAAAAAAGTCTTCTTCTGTTACGCCAAAAAGCGTACAGTTAAAGACATTTATTTTTGCACATAACATGGGGATGTCTATCTTCAGCATGCTTGTGTTTAAGAAGACATTTGAAGTTATCTACACTGGATTCATAACGCTACCTTTTGAGAAATTTATAGTTGACCCAGGCAATCAGATGGAAAAGAAGTTATCCCCTTGGATCTGGATATTCTACATATCTAAATACTATGAGGTAGTAGATACTCTGATACTGTTTATGAGTAACAAAGAGAGCTCTTTTTTGCAGATGTATCATCATGCAGGGGCAATTGTTGCTTGTTGGCTTGTTTCTCTTTCTGAGTCGTATAGTGGCTGGATATGGGTAGTCCTAAACTCCTTTATTCACAGCACAATGTATTTATATTATGCAATGACCGTAGTAGGAATAAGAGCTCCATTTAAGAGAGCCATTACATTTATGCAGATAGGGCAATTCTTTGTAGGGCTGTTTTTTGGCGCAATCTATATCAGTAGAGAGACGACTTTTAGCAGCGAGCCAACCCTTCGATTCTATCAGTATTCTGCTATTATTTTCAATATTGTATATGTTATTATTCTTATAGGTCTTTTCATTAACTTTGAAAGGCAGACATACAGAAAAATATCTGCTAAGAAAGCACCAGTGACGAATCAGATAGAGTTGACAGAATCTGTACCGGCACCTGTTCTTGCCTCTAAGTCTTCAAGTGCTCTCCTAAGCCCCTCGTAAATGAACCAATTGGCGGGTGTCTTAATTTACCAATAAAAATTCAAATATACATATTTACAAAAGATGAATGCAGTGGGCATGGACAAAAGAGCAGGCTTTTCTATACTGATCGAGTTATTAGGAACTTTCTTGGGTACATCATTTATAGAGGGGCGTACATTATATATTTTTATTGCACTGTCTGTAATAACTTTTTTGCTAATAATCATCATAGGAAGGATGGATCCTGGCACACTTTCCAGAAGAAATTCAAATTATTACAATAGTGTTTTATTTAAAGACTATACATACCGGGTTATACAGGATAACAAAGCCATTGCAGGAAGGTCATTCGAAAAGAAAGGAGTGCAGCTTCATTCAGAGGTATTTTGCAAAACATGCGGGATATTCCGCCCATCGGGGACTTCTCACTGCAGAGAGTGTAATCAGTGCATTGCAGTCATGGATCACCACTGTGTGTGGCTAAGTAATTGCATAGGGGAAGTAAATTATCCGTATTTTATGAATCTGCTGTCAATTGAATGCCTTCGAGGGCTTATTTTAGTTGTCTACAGATGCATGCAGCCATTCCCAGAGTTCACATTTACTCAAAAATCTATTTGTTTTTACATAACACTACTATGGTCGTTCATGTTGACTGCGTTTATCTCTGCGTTATTTGGATACTTTATGTGGCTAAATCTCAAGGGGTATACCTCAAGGGCATACTGCAAACCGAAAAAAGTTCAGTGCAAAGATTAAATTTTTTATGGAGAACAGTGCGTCCGGTATGAATAAAGGAAGTATAAAAGAGCTAGCAGATTCTGACATAGAAGAAAACACAGAGGAGGTGGAAAAGATGAAAATAGTTTCTGGAAAGGGATTCCCCAAAACAGACTTATTCGCATGGACGGAAGGGTATAAAACCGTTGGATTTCAAGGAACTCATCTGCATCAGGCGATAGCAGAGCTTAAAAAGATGCGGGCAGCAAACAGTAAAATATTCTTAGGATACACAAGCAATCTTATATCTTCTGGGCTAAGAGACATAATAGCATATCTTGTTCGAAATAAATTTGTGGATGTTCTGGTGAGTACAGCAGGTGGTGTTGAGGAAGACATAATAAAAACTCTAAAACCCTCCCGGCTGGGCCAGTTTGACATGGATGGTGCAAAACTAAGATCCCAAGGGCTAAACAGAGTAGGAAACATTCTCATACCCAACGAGAACTACTTTGCGTTTGAAGACTGGATGACCGAGTTTCTTAATGATATCATCGAGGGCAGGCTAGAAAACAACCCAGAAAGCACAGAGATCCAGGGTCTTGGAAGTGGATATCGAAGAGTTGACGATATATCAATTATAACGCCGTCAAGATTCATTTATGAGCTGGGGAAGAAAGCAAACTCAGAAGAGTCTGTGTACTACTGGGCATACAAGAATAATATTCCTGTGTACTGCCCAGCTATTACGGATGGATCGATTGGCGATATTATAACATACTTCAACCAGCGAAGAAGACTAGTAATTGACAGTGTTGAGGACATTGCGAGAATAAATGGAGAGGGGCTATTTTGTGAAAGCACCGGGGCTCTTATTCTTGGAGCAGGCGTGATAAAGCACCATATTCTTAACGCGAATCTATTTAGAAATGGTCTAGACCACTGTGTGCTAGTTAATACGGCACAAGAGTTCGATGGAAGTGATGCTGGTGCGCGGGTAGAAGAGTCGGTGTCCTGGGGAAAGATCAAGAAGCACACCACCTCAGTAAAAGTGCACGCAGATGCCACTCTGATTCTTCCTATTCTAGTAAGTGCAGTGTGGCCAGACGGGATTTAATATCATAATGAGACGTATTTAGCTAGAGAAGATGTGCATATTAATATGTAATTTGAGCACTAGTGCATAAAACCTGAAATATTCAAGAGTATTCTTTGTAATAAACAACATATTTGGTCTAATTTTGCGGTATTATTGTATTCTTTCATCGTTTAGGCAATTCCAACAACTTAAGCATATACTATCAGATTCTTATTGCCCCTACCTACTAAAAATAAAACTATTTATGCTTTCTAGTTTAAATGTATACATCCCAATATAAAGCATTGTAAATTACTTATAGCCTAAAATTCAATGAACATTCTATTCGCAGAAGTAGACAGAAAGGATCAGAGAAAGCCCCATACTACCAAAATTCGGGTTATATTACCAGTAAACAAAATAGAGTTGAGAATAGCATGAAATATAATTATAAAGAAAGACCTTTATTATAATAGGCTAGCTTATTAAAAAGCAGGCGTAGATATGAAAAGTACTAATTGTATGATTTATTGTCTATTCTATTAATTTGTTTAGACATATCTCTACAAAGGAGCAAACATATGGCATTTTGTGGTGTGCAAGGATGTTTAAGTCTAACACCCCAAGATATCCTATTTTATTTCCTTTATAAAGTACTTGGCAAGATCGCCCTTTAACAAATGGCGCGCTGTCATTGTTTCTATACTCTACAGTAAATCCTTGTCTTTTCATAACCACATCAAATGACTCTTGGAGCAATTCAAGGCTGCTAGTTCTTCCACATATTCCCATGCACAGGCGCTTGCTATTTTTTACTCCCACATCACTGTCGGTGAACTCGCCCACATCAGATACCTCAAAAACCTTTATTGGCAGCTGGTAGTGCTGGTTTGATATAAGACACTTTAGAACAGAGGGAATTAGGTGCTGCCGAAGAACCTCACACTCCATGCTCTTTGGATTTTTCACCTTAATATGTCTGTCTACACCAAATCCGAAATAGTCTTCCATGGATAAAAGGGCCATTGTGAATAGCTCGGTGTAGTCCACTCTTGCACACTCTTCTCTCAGGCTCTGTGCCAGCTTATTTATAGGAAGCTCTTTTCCAATTGTATAGTTGTTTCCTAGAGTTCGTGCAAAGTTATTATAGCCATGCGCAATTGCAATGTCTTCTATAATGTCACACTGGTGTAGAATGTCTGGCCGGAGTTTAGTAGGAATTACATCTATGCTCCAGCCTGACTCTGTTTGGCTGCTGTTTACTTCTACCTGGTGCATCATTCGTTTCATATAGGTCTGGACTGTATCTAGTGTTAGATCTAGTGTGAGCTCCTTCTTAATTATTTCTGGTGTAATTCTAATCTTCTTTGTTTCTTCTTGATACTCACTTCCGTTATCTATAAGTATCTCCTCAATCTCTGTTTTGTCCTCAGAGAAATGGTGCAGAAGAAGGTCCATTGCCGTGGACACTCTTCCCAAGTCGGTTCCTGTGATTTCAATGAAAATATTCTTTGTTTTCTCCGTTATTTTAGATAGCTCACTGTTTATAAGAGGAGGAAGTGACAGAATATTTTTCTTACTGTCAAGCACCACTGGAACCATCCCATTCTTTCGCGCCAGATTCAAGTAGTCCTTCAGCTTGCTGTCTGCTTTATAAAGGTCGTCCAGCTCTTTTCTTGTGTACTCTCTGCTCTGAGAAAGTGGTGTAAACTTAATCTCATCCTCATGCATCTCTGTGTATGTATATGGCCGGGTGGTTTTGTCGTAGTCATGTGTTCCAATGGCCATTAGACGCCGGTTTTGCCCCAAGCCCTGGTGCAGCTTGTCCTGGAAGTTTATTAGATCAGAGTATCCACCATTCTCCAAATTAACGCCCTTTAGAATTGCCATTTTAATATATGGCCTAGCTTCTGGTCTAACTCCATCTACAGACTCAACAGTCTTCTTACTCTCAAGGACCTTTCCAGGAACACAGTCAATATATGATCTAAGCCCATATATCAGCCCTTTTAAACACAGCAGATCGTATCTGTTAGCCGGTATGTCTATTTTATACTGCACCTCATTGTCTTCAACTGAAATTTCATCCAATTCTAGCCCAAAGTCAAAAAGAACATCGGTCATTTCATCATCGCTGTATGATTTTCCTATTCCCGCTAGTAGTGCATTCTTGCTTACTGAAATAGAGGCCATTCCGTATGAAAAATAATAAAAATAAATAACGCTGCAGCAGATACGTGAAATACTCAGAATGAATAAATATTTTTATTTTTTCGAAGAAGTATGCAGCAAGAGACTGGAATAATTAATTATGTCCACGGAAACAAGAACAATCTTCTAAAGGATGAACATTACAGGCTTATGAAAGTTGCCAATAATTTAGACGATTTAAAAATAAAACTGCAAAACACAATATACGGGAAGTACTTGCTAGAAGCCAAGATGTCGCTGGCTGCGTTTAAGTCTGCGATGTACAAATGCATAGATGAGCAGATTCAGATCACGCAATCATTTGCCACAAAACAGTCTGAAGTTCTAATTAACTTCTACAAAGAAAAGTATCAGCTAGACAACTTTTTATATCTGTGGGCATGCAAGAAAGAGAGTCCAAAGCTATTAGAGACGGAGCTAAACACTCACCCACTCGGCGGGTATCCAGGACTGAATTTTATCAAGGTTACACAAACAGCAAAAGACACTTGGAAGTACTGCTTAGAGAACACATCACTTAGCAAATACGTTGAAGGCCTTACTTATGAGCTGTTAAACAAGGACATACAATATGTTAAAAGTATTCTACAGAAGAGGTATTTAGAGCTGGTATATGGCTATTGTATAAAAAACCGCTTGTGTCTGGAGGAGTTAATTGTTTTTGAAGGAGATAAGGTCATTATAGAGATACTCTATGCCCTTATAAACACAAACATACCAAGCACAGAGAAGTTGAATCTTTTCCCGTCTTGCAACAGTTTTACCCAGGTGCACAAAGAACTCTTAATAAACTGCAAGAGCATAAGTGAGTTGGAGGGCATTCTTAGCACCCATAGTAAATACAGAAACATTGTTGGAAATGAAACAGGAATAGAAGATGCATTGCTTAGAGAGGAAATAAGACTATGCAACAAGTCTTTCTATATATATGATGATTACAGTGTTATATATACACAGCTGGTACTCCAGGAAATAGAAGTTAGAAATCTAGTATTCCTGGCAGACTGTGTGATACAGGGGCACGACCATAGAGATGAGATCGTAAATGTAACAGAGAACTAAAGAATTAAATAAAGATACAAATTATTCAAGTACTGTCTAATAGCAACATCCTGAAATCGTAGTTTAGAATGTATGCAAGCCAATTTAAGTATTTTAATTGTTGGGATATTCCCATTTAAAATGAATCTAGTTATATTTGAGCTAAACTACAATATGTTTTTATTGAATGCTTCTGGTTATTGCCATATAGGCATCTTGTCTATCTCAAGAGTTTTTTCTATTCTTTCATTTGGCAAGCTGTTAAAAGGGAATCTAGCTAAATACCAGCATTTTAATAAAATTCCTGTTTTATCGAATGCTTTAAAATACAGAACTAGAAATATTATAGCTAGTCCCAAAATTTAAATAGAAATTAAAATTAAATTTCATGTTTTACCCTGAGACTGACATCTTGGTCATGTGGCGACTTTTCAACAAGATTTCGCTCTCCATCTCTGTTGTAAATATTCTGTACTTAATTGATAGAGAATGGGATGTGCTTAACTATATTGAATATTTATCTGTTTTGGCTGTAGTTTTTGTTTTTGTTTTAGAGCGAACCTCTATTTATCGGCATCACTCAAATAGAATGCTTTGCATATATCTTATGCATATTCTGTTTATCTCTCCGCTTTTCCATCATATATTCTACAAAATGCAGAGTATGATCTATTTCGGGCTTATTATGAGCGCGTGCTCCTTTCTACTTTCATTTCATTCCTTTATTAGCAGATTCACTAGTACTTTTTCTGCCCTTGCTCTTTCTTCTGAAATAGGCCGCATAGAGTGTGCAAGTGGATTCACAATTATTTTTATGCTGCTACAGCATGGAATACGCAAGATACATCTTGCAGATAGACATGTATACATACTTCGAGCGGTTTCTCTTTCTATGAATATTCTTCTAGGCAATACATCAGTGTTCCTTTCGCCCTGCAAGATATCGCTCTGGGAATTGTTCTGTACAATAATTGCGCCGGGAGTGGTGATTGTTCTGTACCAAGACAAGTGCAAAGTGCTTGCGCAAAGGAACAACAGACGTACCCCTCGAAAAAGAAAGCCACTGTTCCTTCAAGATGAGAAGTATAGCAGCATGAATGAAACATAAAACAGTTTTTGTACGAATAGAGAGCATTTCTACGATCTCGAGTATAATTTGTCAATATATGTATGTATTAGAGTGCAAAGGAATAGGAATTCATGTTTATCTCTGAGTAAAGCCTGAATTTTATGGCAGGCAAGTGCACAATGCTTTGTGTATTCTAATTCACTCGTTTTAGGGATATATTTAATAATTTCGTTTATTTTTTTTATGTTTGGTTTAGGAGCTATTCTGTATACATTTACCATGCTTGGAAATAGTGTGTGCATACTGAATGAGGAAAGATTTCTAGACAATCTGGGGATAACCCGAAAAAGTGAGAATGCAGTGGTGCGACAGTTATCTGAACTTATAAGAACAATCAAAACTCTTAGCTTTATCCCACTTATTGTTATAAATATTCTATTCATTATATATTGGTTGATATTGGGATAGAAGCTAATTTCTGTGCAAGTGAAGAAGAGGCATGTGTGTAATCACATGCAGCAATGTCTATTTGTGCGGGCATATTGTTTTCCTGGAATTTTAAATTATAAAAGAATTAGCAGCATTGTGTATATAATAACATGATATAGAGATAAATCTAGAGTTTATTTTGTTGGGTTTTTGGTTCTTGGTAGATATTTGCTTTCGGGTGTGCCTATTGTTATTTGGCATGCATTTTATAATCCAACTCGAATATTTAAGTTTAAGCAGCACGGGAAAATTTTTAATAATGCGGTTGGCAGATGTATACGATACAAAGAGATTCATAGCCATCTCAGAAGGAAATGCAGAGAGCGATGTGTCAGTAAAGTATAGAGCGATTGCTCTGAACTTCTTTAAAAAGCTGAAAGAGCTCCCTACTAAATACGATCTACACAATGCCACGCAGTATGTACTTCCCAAGGAGATACTTGCGCATATGCCAGAATACTCAAAGGAAACAATTTTTCCTAGAGCGCGAGTTCTTCCTGAAGAGTCTGTTAAGACTAAGTGGGAAATGTTTGCAGCAAGAAAAGGAATTGTAAGAAGCAAAAACAAAACAGGAGGAAGAGTATATGATGAGGTCACACGAGAATATGCGCCTGCGTTTGGCAGGGGGAGTAAGAACGACCTAGACAGAAACTGGTTAATAGAAGTAAAAGACCATGAAGACCCTATGATCGATAGACATTCTCTACTGAAAGAGAACAAAAAGAAGAATAAGCGCGCCCAAAAGATAAAGGAGTATAGAAATTTAAAGCGAACAGATCGTATTAAGTGCTATGAAAGAAGAGACAGAGACAACGAGCTAATGTAATTGGGGTATATTTTGATGGTGGGCATATCTGCATCTAATCATCAGTAATTTTCTATCACTTTCGAGGTTTATTATTTATCTCAGCCAAAAAATAGAATAAAATGAATAAGGCCAAAGATATCGTAGGAAAAGACGATTCTGGGCCTAAACAGAGTAAAAGGCTTTCTCTATTAGACAGTGAGGAGAGAAGTTTATCTGAAGAGGACAATCCTGTAGAATCTATTATGGCAATAAATATTGGGATGCAAATGCTCCGTATTGACATATTAAGAGATCATGGCACAGCGAAAATTAAACTGCACTTTCATCCACGAGAAACCGGCGATGTGTGCACGCAAATATGTAAAGAACTCCTCCAATGCACACTAAACAGCAAATACCAGGGAAAGCGCAAGAACGTGAAGAAGTTTAACTTTTCATGTGCACAGTGCGGCACATCAACCACTCCGCTCTGGCGCAGGCACGGCCACCGCATGGTGTGCAATGCATGCGGCCTTTATTTCCGCACACACGGGGGCCTATCACGCCCAAAGCGACTCTTTAAGACTGCGTCTAAAGATAGTAAAAAATGCGACCAGAATGAACCAATTAACAAACAAAATGCTAATAAATGAAATCCTTTTTAAAATTTCACTTTCATGAATGAGAAAAAGATAAGAGGCACTGTAGATCAGAACAAGCTAAGGCATAAAATAGAAATGAGATATAAAGCACCCGAGAAAGTAAAATATGAATCTCCTGCACCTCCTATAAACCGAAGCATTGAGATTAAAAAAGTTCTTATTCGGCATTATATGGACACCATGCAGTCAAAAAGGATTAACTTAGATGAATCGCATAAAGTATGTGGATTCTGCCACACTAAAGAAACAAGTCTTTGGCGGCGCATTGGGGACATAATAGTGTGCAATGCATGCGGGCTGTACTACAGAATACATGGAAAAATACGGAATAAAAACTTGACAAGGGGGAGAAAAACAAAGCAGAGTGCAGAGAAAAATAAGGAGAATGAATATACAGAGAATGACTCGGTTGAAGAGTAGGCTTAATCCTATTTAAAGCTCATTGTAATTTGTCTCTTATAGAGTATGGCTGTTTTGGAAGAATCTTGACAAATAATGCTACATAATCTGAAAGCTCAAAAATTTTTTAGAATGGGAGACATGCAACTCGGGCACAGTTCAGCACTAGAGCAGGCTATCATAAGTAAAAACAAAGACTTCTTATATACATTTTTAGAGCTACAAGATGAAACAAAGGAAAAGATGGTCAGAGGTCTGCCAGACCGGTGCGTTATTTTGCTATTAGAGGTGCTAACTGAATTATTCGAAAACAAAGAGATGCGGTATGAAGTTATTTTAACCATTAGGCAGACTCTTTCCTGGAGAAGAAATACGTTTAAAGCCTCTGCAGTTGATGTAGTCTCTAAGGAGGGTGGGCAGGAAGTCTCTGAGCATGCTGAGCGTATGAACGCGCTTAAGAGAGTATTGATATCAATCAATAAGGAAAAAGTAGATCTAAATAAAGTGTATGAGCTGAAGGGAAGAATGTGCTATATCAGAGATTCACTTGATGAGAGAGTGGAGGAAAAGGAGAATGTTCCCGTCTGTAGAGAGCAGTAAAGCAGAGAATAAACTAGATTATTATATTCCTGATTATAATTAAGAATTATATTATGTTTTTATGAAATCAAGAAAACACTTGTTGATGCCTGCTCTGCTCCTGTGCCTGGTAGCTCTGTGCTGGGTGGATGGCTCTGCATGCGCCCCACAGAATGGCGTATTAAGCTCTAGTGCAGGGCTTGGTGGCCTGTATACCGACAAGATTGCGCATATTGATGAGAACTCATCAGAAGAAGATGAAAAAGAAGATGCGTCCTTTGAAATCATTCAGAATATTCCAGAGAATATAGTGCTGTCTTTTTTGTTTCTGTGCTGTGGAATCATTGGATACTATATAGGAGTATATCTCGAGAGACTGTTCATGTATGCTGATTATATAAAGAAAAAAATCAGCTGGTATTGTCGAGGTGCATTCCTTACTCGCCAAGAAGCACCAGCAGCACTTTAGTTATACGGTGAGAATATAAAACAATACATGCGGTTAAACCATGCACAAATATGTACTTTTGTTTTTGTTTTCTATTTGGTAGAAATACTTACATTCTCTGGGCTTTAAGCCAGGCATGCATATATTTAATCTTCTTGGATATATTTTATTCTGGCTTCTTTATTAAAAGAAAATAAATTCCCAATTTGGCTTGAAATAACTTAGTTATATCTATTTTATATGCGAGAAAGAATATGCATGGATATTCGTTGCTTGAGTTAAACAAACACACTGGCAATTGTTTTATATAGATTAGTTGATTTTTATCTAAGATATAGATACTATATTTAGAAGAATTGTCATTCTACAATATTTAAGGTTTATTGGCTAGTCTTATGTATATTATTCTTGTTGTCTATTCATGTGGTATATTTAAATTTTATTTAATATGCATATAATAATATACTATATAATATACATTTAGAAATATTTTCGAGATTATGTAGTAATTCATGTTTTATGGAAATTCTACTATGTTTGAGCTACATTAGAAATTTTTAAACACCAAAGCATGCATGCATTTATGTATAATGAAGACTTTTATTCTATCTCACTTATATTCTCTTCTTGACAAGCAAGTTCTTTAGTTCTTCAAGAACAAAAGACCAGGTCTGTTTGGATGCATTTACAATGCAATTCTTTTTCATCTTTGCATACTTTCTGTTGTTTACAATGGATGCTGCTTTTCGAAGGAGTTTAACTAAGTGCTTCTGACTTGGGCTATACCATGTTGGGCATTTTTTAATTGGCATGTCAAACATAGTAGTGTATGTGCGGAACCTCTTAACAGGAAGCCCAGTAACTGGGACAGTTTTACAGCGAATGAAGAAAGATCCTCTGGGAGTGCAAAATTCTGTGGCTGGCTTAGCATTAGTAACAATGGGAACAGCTCCAAGAGCAGCTCCATCTAGAATATTCATTCCAAAGCCTTCTCCTCTGAAGGGCGCAAGATTATAATGTGCATTTGCAAGAAGCCCTCTTATTTTCTTATCTGTTGTATACCCTTCAGTATATATGATTTTTGGTCCTTTTCGCATCTGATTTGTACGAATGAGTGATTTTAAGTGGTTTGACACTGAGCTGTCGCCATATGCACAGTGAATGCGAAGAACCACTTTATCGGTTCCTTTAAATGCCTTTATGTATGCTTTGATTCCTATGTCCATACCCTTTCTTTTAAGAAATCCACTGATCATTACAAATCTAGCATAGTCTTCTGGTACCTTATAGAGAGATTGCACAGAAACAGAGTGCTGCCCCTTTTCTATCTTTTGCATATTTAGCTGCGATTTGTAGGCAACGCCATGTGGTATGGTATATATGTTTTCTTCTGGAATATTTCCTCGCTTATGCACTTCTCGCACGAACTCTGAAGGTACAAGAATTTTAGTATTCTTTGAGTCTTTTAAGGGGTCAATCCACTGCTGTGGAATGTCGCTGAACTCCCATGGGAAGTGTGTATATATTTTAGAGTATCCCTGTTTAACAGACGATGTGTCTGGAGGAAATCTATTTCGGATTTCTACCCCTGGGCGGGTAAACGTGGCTTCTGGGTTAATTGCTTTTGCTTTAGTTATCTGCCCACTTTCTAATAAATAGATCTGTGCAATGAAATAATTAATTTCCTGTTCTTTTGCTAGCTCCCATGGATTGTATGCATCTCCCCTAACAAGTAAGCTCTGATACACTGCCAAGTTTAGCAAAAATCTATTTGACACCATACCAACACCAGAAGACCTCCAATATCCTGTTATCAAAACTCGTTTCAATGGAGAGTGCCCAGATTCATGCACTGGCTCAAAAAGCTCTACTGGGTGTCTTCTTGGCCTATTGTATAAATATCCTTTGTGTTTTCTTTTATACGTAAGGCCAGGATGATCTATGCTGAATTTGTTTAATGTATCGCTATTAAACCTCCACCTTGCAGAATTTGTCATGGATAAGCCTATGGGCTTAATCGCACAGCTAGGCCCCTTTAAGGTCACACTAAATCTTCTTCTATCTATCACAGCCTTAATTCCTCCCACCTTAACAACTAGCTTTTTATTGTGTACACTGAATATGTCTGTGTCTGTAATGCTTAACGCAACATCACTAGAGGATATTCGTGCATACGCCTCATGCATTTTTCTGTCGTATGGCCCTCTTTTGCAGTGCCCTGCACGATATGTCTCTGGCTCCTCACTAACTGCCCGAATGTACATCTGATGTATGGTATTTTTATATATATCCACGTTAATATGGATATTTGCGCCTGCATATAGAACATACAGCCCATTTGGAAGATTAAAGCTTTTCTTTTGAAGAGAGAGCGTTTTCTTCTGTTTGGGGGCTTTATTCACATTAGAAAAAAGCACAGTTACTTTTTTCTCTGGAACTCCCACAAGATTTATTAGTATGTCTTTGTCTTGCGTTGTTTGAACAATTACAGCGTTTGAAAGCATGCACAGCCCACGCAGTGTAACTATTCTGCAAATGTAATCATTTTTATTATTCCTTACTAATTTAGCTGGATTTTTAATGTATGTTATAAAATGTGCAGATAGCTTTTCTCTCTGCATTCTTTCTATTGCCTTATACAGCTTTTCATTCAGTGCTGTGGCTCTTATCAAAAATATCTTCTTTCCCTTAAATTGATGGTTCGTAAATATGTCCTGCGACGAATTCAATAGCTTTTTGCTGCACTCAACCCCAAGTTTGCTAGAGGATAGCCCATTCTTTTTTTTAACTTTTGTTTTATTGTTCACTATATCTTCTTTACAAGAAATATGCTGGATTATACAGCTTCCAATGAACAACAATGATAAAATCACATGTTTGCTAATTCTCATCTCTAAACAAATAAAATCATAATTAATATATAGTGTATATTAATTAGATATTCTATGTGCAGAAAAATATTCTTTCATATACAGGCCTATAGATTGCTTTTCAAATATAGACCAGAAACTACTCTCTAAATAAAATAAACACACTTTGCTTCTGTTATTATGCGACTGTGGGAAGATTGTCCTGCAAGTCTACAAAGAAACTACCATATCATGCGCCAGATCAAAGATAAGCAGCCTGAAACTAAATATCAGAAATTCGGATATTTATCTCCTGTATTCAAGTATCTCAAAAACAATTTTAATACCCCGATATGACCCGAAAGCATCAAAAATAGTAGAGAACATAAAGTCTGCATTTGTATAAGCAAAAATTGGTAGAGCTATGCAAATAATTAGAAAAAACCACCTAAATTACTTTATTCTAAGTTAACCATAATATATCCAGCTTTGTAACTAGAAATAGTATACATTATTTGTTAGATGAGACAGTTTGGCACAGGAGAAATATAGTGTAAAGCATTATTATGAACTGGTTATTATGCCAGCATGGAAGTGTTTTGAGTGTGTTTGGTGTATCTTGAGCTATATCTAGCCATTGAATAGAAGAGCTGTCTTTTCTATGCTATTTCTGGATATTTTACATATAATATATACTACCATGCGCTACACTCTACTTAATCTTTGTAATAGCAGCGCCTATTTTCTGAATACACAGGCAGTAATGCTCAAATAGAGTATTACAACGCGCAGTCCCTTGATTTATTAGACTGCATGCTTAAAGATAAGAATAATAACACACAAATCTCACTAGTGTGTACAAGCATTCATCTAGAAAGCCACAATCAACTCCATAATAGCATAATAGAAACTTTGTAATAAGATGCTTACTCTCTACCAGCCTGCCAAGGAAGATTCTTCTTGCATTTAATTAACTTATTCACTGCTTGAATCACTCTCTACTCTTTGTTCTTCTACATATGCCTCTCTTACTATATTGCTGAGCCCGCGAAGAGATTTCTGATCCAAGGCGTCTAGATTTACTTCAAGCGATTCCATTTCATCTAGCATAACATGTGGAATGTTCTCCTGGATATAAACAATCAGCGGGCGTAATTTTGATGGGGCCAGAGACTCAATTCTTCGTTTTAATTTTAGCTTCTCTTCATACCCATACTCTATGGTTTCTGTCCCCGCCTTCTCTTCCAGCTTTCTAAGCTCTGTTTCATACTGTGTAATTAGCCCTCGGAGTACTGCTATTCTGCTTGCTGAATCCTCTGGCTTCTTCTTTTTCTGTTCAAATATTTGCTTAAATTGCGTGTTTATCTTTGTAGCACACACGTATACATCTGTTCCCTCTGCATTAAATGAATAGCAGTTGCTTATCATTGCGTCAAAATCGTTCATAAACTCATCTACCCCTGCATACTGATGTGTTGTTAGTTTTGTTCGCATAGTTCCCAAATCCATTGGATATGTTATTAGAGTGTAGTAGTTTGGAACAAGTGTCTCATCCACTGGCTCTAAAAATGGCCAGTTAATTCTTCGATACTTTGCTTTCACTATTTCATTAAGCGCGTCTAAACACTTTGTGTACTCCTCATCTGTCATTACTGACCGGATCTTTCTCTTTTTTCTCTCTCGTTTCTTTCTTCCTCAGCTTTTCTTTTTTTGTCGAGTGCTCCCTTCTGCAGCAATTGCTTAAAATACTTCTCCAAGGCTTGGCCCATCTTAGACACCGCAGTGTCCGGCTGGTTGTATGTGTAGCAGTTCTGCAGCATTAGCTCGATATCCGCCTTTATGTCCTCTGTGCTTTTGTATATTCCTGTTTCCAGATTCTTTGAGATCGTGGATAAGTCCATTGGCTGCTTTATTTTCTCATAGTAGTCTGGGATGTTTAGCACCTGTGGATCCACTGGATATAAGAATGGGCCTGCATGCGGACTTTTCTTCAATTTCAACAGCAACTCCTTACACAGCCCTAAATCATCTGCTGAAAGCTCTCTCTCCTTCTCGCTGCCTTCTGCGTGCACCATTTTTTCCTTCATTTTTTCACTTTTTTCACTTTTTTCCTGCATGCAGTATTTCAGAGCATAGCTCTAAAAATAATTTTATTTGTACTTCTACTGCCTACTCTGTATATTTTTCTTTATCTACAATAAAATTCAATGAATAGAACAATTCACTATGCAAATAATGAAATACCTCTTCAGAGCCTTTAATTGTTTTGGAACATTTCTGGTTTTTTATATGAACAGCTCTCTTATAACATATATTGTGTATTTATTATTTTCTTATGCCATATCTTCGGGCTATGTAATCCTATATGTGCTTTTGGCAATATTTCTGGTTGTTATGACCAATACTGTATAAAATATAACTACAAACAACCTAAACTCACAATATTTTGTTTAAACGCCTTTTGCATTTATTTTTATATATCTATGTACATATATTTGTATCTTATATAATTTCTTGGCCTTATATTTAGTAATTTTATGTTATATGTGCTGTTATTTTCGGGTTATATAATGTATTTCTATGTAATAAATTGTATGTATAGTGTGCTATATTTCTTGCTGTATACTTTGTGGTGCTTACACTGTTTATGCTTGTTTTTAGTTATTTTCTTATTATTATAAATAATATATCCGTATATAAATGATTATACACTGTGAAGAGTTTCTAAAAATATATTTACAAAAATTATGTTTAATAATAATAAGAAAGTACAAAAACTATTCATATGGCTACTACAAGAAAAGAATATTCAAATATAAATAATGCACAGTGCATAAACAGTATTATATTATACATAGAAAATACTTAATTAGTTTATTTTGATTTATAGCACAATAATTATAATAATTTCTATATTATAATAAGATTAGTATTTAAATAACATATATAGGAAACATATAGGAAATAAAAGCATATATTTAACAAATTAATAATTCTAAACATATAATACATTAAATAGGCTAGATACTATATATATTACTAAGCAGATTATCTTTAAGTAAATTATCTTTAAATTTGTGTTTATAAATATTCTTAAATCTGTGCTCTATGTCTATTCGTAAGTTCTTGCGTCTATTTTATGATTTTATTCGTGTATTACGTTGAATATTGCACATGTTTTCATTTAAATTCACTTTTTATATTATTTTAATTCTTAAAGAATTTATTCAAATCTATTTTAGAAGAAGAGTAATCTTTTTCTGATGAGAGATGTTCCAGAAACTTCTATGATATTTGGAGATTCTAATTAATCAAATTTTTTATAAGTATAATATTACACAGTGCATTGTATTAGTTCAAATTAGCAATAATTTAAAGCAATAAAAAGAACAGTTCTAACATTTAAGCTACACATTTTCTATTCTTAGAACATTGTTGGTTTCGGCACGTATTACATATCTTCTGGCTTTATTTTAAGAATAGTTTTAAAGAATTATTATAATAGAATTGTTTATCAGAAATAATTAGAAATGGATTACATCATATTGTGGAATAGTGATATTTAAAAATATATATGTATAAATATACTGCAGGGGGTGGGTATTATGAGAAGAAATATAAAGAAAATAACTATAGCAACAGCAATTATAACAAAAGCCCGTGTGGCATATGCATCCCCAATAAATGCCATTGCACCCGCTATAAATGGTGGTATGAGCAGTGCACCCCAACTATTGGGCGACACTAGAACTACTTCAGTGTTAAGTATGGCACAAGATATAGCTGAGCAAGAGGAAAATATCCGATATGTAGAGAATGCGTTAAGTAAAGCAAATAAAATATATGGAGAAAGCACGGAACAAATACCAGACAATGCATATACTGCCGAGAGAGATATTGAAGATGATTGGGATGATTTTCAATATAATGTGGATCGATTAGAATTAAACCATAACAGTTTTAATAATTTAATTAATAGATATATTGAAGAATACAAAAAGCAAACAGGCAGTGAAATTTATAAAGATTTCCGACTATGGAGAACAAAGTCAAGGCAGCCATATATAAATATTTACCAATTAATTGACAATAAAGAACTTTCTAAGTATGTGTCTGACAGCCCGAAGAAAGATAAGGAAGAAACCCACAAGCTGTTAGACTTCCCCATCCTTAGCCCAAACATTGGAAGGTATTATAAACCAGTCATAGAGGATCTAGAGAAAATAATTAAATTATCCTCTCCTTCCATGGCAGATAAAACAATAGCAAGCGTACTGTCCAGAAATACAGAAATAGATCCTACTACTATGGCCAAGTGCTTTTTATCATTTACACAGTCTCCTGATGTATATAGAAGGTTTGATTTTAAAGAAATGCTTTCATACAAAACCAATGATGAGTATATAAGTAATAGGTGGACACTGGGCACAGAAGAAGGAATGAAGGATTTTATAAAAGCAGTGCATCACGATAGAAGAGAAATAGGTGGGTTCGCTGGAGTCAATTTTGTGCAAATATCACAGACTTTAAAGGCACAAAAAGAATTTAAAACTATCATGGAAGAGTTCAAATCGAATAATAATAATAGCAACAAAAAGATAGATGATAGTACCCCAGTAAACAGGCTTTCTTCGGATACAGTAAATACAATACAGCAAGTAATTGGATGGAGATTAACAAACACTGGATTTATCATGCAAATAGAAGATTTAATTGGCTTAATAGAGGAAATGATAAAAACTAATAGCAATTATACGAGAAATGCAAAAATCTATATAAAAAACTATAGAGATGAATACATTACAAGCGATGGGAATTACTTTGATGCCATGAACGCTTTTATTGCAGATACAAAAGAAAAAATCCAAACAGTTAAGGAGCTAAACTTTAATGCTGACCATCTCTTAGTAATTAATAAGGCGGTAAGCTATTTAGCAAAGCATTCTCTAGCTTTATTACATCGGATAAACATGGATTCATTCATGTCCGAAAATAAGCTGAATGAATACAAATCATTAAATAGTATACCTTACAATATTAAACAAACATTAATACAAAGCGCTAAAGAATCCTGGAATTCTGCAAATTTAATCATAAAATACATAAATGTAACAGAAGAAGAAAGAAATCAATCTAGTAGAGAATATAAAAATAATTTAATCAAGAAATTAGCTGCACTTTCGCAAACTAGGCCAATACTACCAACGCATGCAACAGAGAATATTCCAATAGAAGTAAGTTCTACAAGAATACCAACAACTACGGCGCAGCCAACGCATGCAACAGAGAATATTTCAATAGAAGTAAGTTCTACAAGAGCACCAACAGCCACTGGAACTAGCACAGATGATACCACTACTATCGGCATTGACACCATGGAGTGTATACCCACTGACGATGATGTATCTTACAACAGTGCATCTTCATTTTTATCCTCTGCAACTTCAATGTTGGCCTATAAGTGTGCACTAATTGTGGGCTTTGCCACACAGTTTGCAAGACGAGCTCTTCCATTTGACCGTTATTAATAAAACTATAGTTTAATTTTTAGGTGCATTTAGTTAAATCTTAATAATTTTGAATTATTATATTGAAAGTCTCAACATAAAAATATTCAACCATAAATAGCCAAAGACTGCAAAATATAAAATTACAGAGTCTTAAATATAATTTATATTGTAAAAACCCGATATAACCCGAATTTTAAATCTAAACCATTAATTGTACAAAATTATGGGAATATTTTTGGCAATAGGGCCGTATTCCTTATAAATAAGTTGAAATTTATGGCTACTATCCCATTTCTATAACTATTCTTATATAAATGATTCGTTATTTACATTATTTCATACATGGAGCTTCTTATATTTATATTAATTTATTTCTTTTTATTATGCATGAAGAAGTAAACTACTCCACAACAACTTTCTCTAGTAAAGGAATACTATCACACTGTGAGAGAGCACTGGCAGCGGGTAAAAACGGTGCATTATCTGTTGGTATACGTGGTACAAATGGAATAGTATTGGCATCCATTAAGAAAGTGCCTTCTACTTTGGTTGAGATAGAGTCTATTCAGAAGGTGTTTATGGTGTGTGATACAATTATATGCACGTACTCTGGGCTAAGTGGTGATTTTCGGTTAGCGCTAGAAATGGGAAGAAAGATAGCTTCGGACTATTACCGTATATATGGCAGGTATCCTTATATTGATACATTTATGAAGGAGTTCTCTAAGGTTCTTCAAGAGAAAACACAGAGAGAGAGAAGGCCGATTGGATGTATTTGCTTATTTGCTGGGTATACGCAGAACAATAAATATATTCAGGATGCAATGGCATCTATCCAGGAAAATGAGCTGAATGAGGACACTTTGGTCTGTGATGTATCTGGTGGCGATGGTATAGGAAACACTGTTCCGCTGCTCTACCAAATAGATCCATCTGGTTCTGTATCTAGTGGATTCTCCTTTGCTGTTGGGAAGATGTACAAAGAATCCTCAGACTTCCTAAAGAAAAGGTGTTCAGTTGATGTGGAGGTACATGATGCAGTGGTGATTAGTGCTTTGGCCCTACAGGAATACAGTGAAGTGAGTGTGTCGGCAAAGGAAATAAGTATTTCTGTGGTGACTCGGGAGGGAGTCCAAGAGTATACACAGGAGGAAGTCCAGAATATTTTACACTCAATATAGGAAATAAATACTTTCGGATTATTTTACAGGTTAAGCAGAAGACTCTTTTATATCTAGCATGGAAACAACTTTATCAGAAAAAACTAGTACTTTATGCTCTATTTACAACTTAATAAACTCTAATTTGTCAATTATTTATATTTTATGGGGTATATTATATGGGTATATAATTCGAAATTTTTTTATGATTATGGACAACGGTAAAGTAAATGAATGGACAACATTTCAGAATATATCTATTAGAAATTCAAAGGCTGCATGGAAAAGCTATTTGAGATGGAAGGATGGTGAATTCAGCGCAATCATTCCACTCATCAAAAATATATTGCTATATATATTGGTTCCCAGTATAATTCTTTTTTCTATTGAATTTAGCTTGCCTGTATTTTTCACTGCACTATTTAGATCAAATTTGCAGCTACAAGTGATATTTAGCAATTATGTGACACTGGGCGTGTGGTGCGCTGCTCTTATGGGCCTATTGCTCCCATCAACCACATATATATACAATAAATTAGATGCATGGTGGGGCAAGCCTACTGATCTAAGCACTCGTATCAAGAAGGAGCTCAGTATTATGTTATTTTATATGTCGATTCCTCTAGTATTTTTTACTAAAGGAATGTTGATTTTTCTGAGCTATAAACTTTCTATTATTGGAGGATACGCGCATTATTGGTTTATATTTAAAACTATAGCAGGGGCAATTTTATTTGGATTCTTAGGATTGGAGGCAGTCAGCATATTCAAGTCCAGAGAAAACTTTAAACACTTGCCAAAAGAGAAAGATCTAAACTCATGGGGTGACTACATAATCAATTATCTGTACTGCATAGTTATTATGTTAATGGCCTCTACTGCAGCTATTCAACTGATGTATTTTTTATGCGCAAATGTTATAGAATTATTACATGTGTAATATGCTCGAAAATTCTCTTTATGGCAGTTGGGCATTAAAAGCAATAGCTATCACACATAATGAAAATAGATCAGTGCATTAGTTTAACATTTAAATAAAGAATGCTTGAAATTTGTTTAAATAAGACAGTATAACTTCCAATTGAATACTTGGCGACTGTTGGACATTCACTTTTTATAACTAACAAGATAAAATTCAATTAAACCAATTATGAATATCTCCTACTTGTGGTATTTTTAGTATAGGATGTAACATATACATGGCTTATTGCTAAATATTATTGATTTCTATCACATGATGAACCATGCCTAATGCGGTGCCTGTGAAGTCGTATAGAGCTGCTGTATATGGAAATTAAATCTATATAAACGAGAATAGTAAAAAATTGAATGTGTCTTAATTATGTACAAGAGGATAGCCAACTACTATAATTATTTATTCTTTAAATAGCTCGAGACTGTTTATAAATAATTTTTGTAGAGCATAAATAATATTTATTAGAATAAATAATGACTAGTTTATAATTTTTATTTTAGTTATTATTTAATGATGATGTAATATTACAGGCATTATTAAATAATCCTTCCATAACGCCATTGCCTTCATGATAATACTGCCCCAATAAATATCCTACAATTCCAGATATAACAGTTATAAACATACTAAAATATTTGGAGTATTGACTATAATTATGTTCAGCATCACTGTACCGCCTCTCAAAGCAACTAGCAATATAACCAAATATACTTGAAAATATCAATACATTACTTCTAAGCATAACATCTAATAAAGGCATACCACTAAACATCACGGCAAAATATCCTACTATTATTACTACTGCACTTAGTGTATAATAAAATATTCTAATATTATTGGTAATATTATAATTAGGACCAACTACTGCATATTTATAATTTCTACTATGTGATAATAATATGCCCAATATACTCAATACACCAAATATTCCATATAATATAGTTATTACTGAGTGATTTGGTATATCAACAGGAAGTAGCAAAGTAATAAAAAACATTCCTATTATTGATGAAATAAGAGCAGCATTAAAATAATAAAATATTGATTCTGATTGGGGTGACTCTCTACCGTTTGATAGAATAGAACTCTTTACACCAGCAATACTGCTAATTATACATGGTATAATGAATAACAACAGCCCATCAATAGAAAGAGAGTGCATGCATAAATTATATAATACCATGCCTACACCAGACAGAATAGATTGAATGCTCAAAGAAGATTTTTCTTGTTCAATTTTTTGTTTATATTTTATATATTCTCTTTGTGTGTTTGTTTTTGTTTTACTAGCTAGTATTTCTGATATTGATAATATAACTATTATAGTATATAAAAGAACATATTTTGTTTGATAGACTGATCTATTATTAATGATCATAGAGTGATAAAAATAATTAATTTATATAATTTACCTCCTTAATAATATACCAATCAATGAGGAATAAAATACCCAATTAGAATATAATGTAATGAGTTGGTTTTTTAGAAAAAGTCATTAAGATACTTTGACTTTTATTGAATTTTGTATACGTATTTATAGACCGTATGATCAATTTATAATGATATGTTGTGTCAACAAATATTTCTGATTTGATTTGTGCTGTCATGTTTATGTGAACATTCTGATGATTCATGTATTATGCTACTAATATTAGTCTTGGCATACAACATACTGTACACACCATTGCTAGTAGTTTATGATCATATCGTTTTTCATTCTGGAAATAAACAAGATATTTTTATTACCCTATTCGTTTTTTTCTAATTTCATCTAATTAACCATCTTTTATATTGATATTTTAATTTAGAGAACTCTTTCAATTAATTGGTTATTGTTCTCCTCTTAACGGACTAATCAAATACTGTTCTCCGTTATATTGATTGATCGATCAATTATATCTAATTAATTGGTCATTATTGTATTTAGTATATTACTCGATTGTTTATTCTCAGTATAGCAGTATTTATAATAATTGATTCTTTTACTAAGTTAAATATACTACTACACTTTAATTATGTACTTTCTTTTCTCTTATATAATTCATTCTCTTTTTATTTTTTTATTCTATGAGAAAGTAAAATAAATAATATTCTGTACACTAATAATATTTAACTTTAATAAATATATAAAATAGTAAAAATAACACAAATATACTATATAATAAGACATACCATACAAACGCATGAATATGGAGCGAGTGCATGATACTTAATAAACATCCATTTTAGGCCCCTCAAACCATATATTAATAAACTGATTTCATTCAAAGAATACAGATATAACACATACTAACAATTAATCAGATATATCATGTATTAATGATTAATCATATACATGAACATACCATATAAATACACGGGCCGGCATACTATGAACATAGGGTACAGTCCAAACATACCACATATACTAATAATTATTACTATGTATAGCTAATACAATATATGCTTATTTTAGGTTATTTATATAATTTCTCACAGTGCTTCCTGTGGTTTATTATTTAAATTACATTTTTTTATTTTCTGGGTTTATTTTTTTATAAATTTAAACAGAAATGAAAATTTATTAAATTTTATTAGATTTATTTATAATAATATTTGGGTTAATTTGGATTTTCTTTTTCTAGCTGTTTTTCTATTACTTTTATGATTTTATTAATACTTGGTCTGTCTTCTGGCTTATACCGTATCATTTCTTGTATTATATTATATATTTCTGTGTTAATATGCGGCAAGTTCGATTCTATACTTTCAGTGTTCTCTTTAATATTTGTATTTATACCAGCCACATGCGTACTATGCAGATTGTGCAGATTAGAGGAAGAGTTTTCATCATTAAAAATTTTGTTGGTATTTTTGATTTCTGTTGAATTTTCCTTATTATTCTCTGATAACTTGTCTGTATTAATTATTTCATTTTCTGTTAAGGTTCTATCTTTGTTCTTTTCCTTAATAGGGAATATTTCTAAAAGTATTTCCAAAAAGAGTATTCCTGTGCTATATATATCACTATTATATGTACATGTATTATTTAATAGTTCTGGTGCCATGTAAAGTCTGTCTCCATCTGATTCTATTTCTGTTTTATCATAAATGTATCTGGAAATACTGAAATCTCCTATTTTTATGACTAATTCTGTGTTAGTATCTGAAATGAAGATATTCTCTGGCTTTATGTCTAAATGAATAATATTACTGGTGTGAATTGCCTTTAGGCCGGAGAGTATCTGAAGTAAAATCAGATACTTTACTATATTTGGTAGGTTTTTTTTCTGTTGTATAATACATTTTAATGTCCATTTATAGTAATGTATCTTTAAGAAAAGAAGAGAGTTCTCTTCCCAGCTGTGAGAAAGTTCCACAATGTGCTTGTTGTTTTTCAAGCGAAGAAGGATTTTTAGTTCTTTTAGTCTGAACAGTCTTTCCTTTTTTGTGTTCCCCAATTTGGATATTTTTATACTATAACATGGTATATTTGCTATATTAGGAAATATCACCGGGTTTGGCAGTGTTATAGTAACTGGTGTGGGTATAGATATGTGAGAAGGAGGTAATAGAGTAAGAGTAATAAATGCCTGGTTTGGAAGCATTAAACTTTCCTTATTAGGAAAAGCAGTTAGAATGGGAAGATTCAGAATTTCTCGGTTAAGTAAGCTAGACCAGGTGGGTGTGTCCGCCGGCTGTAAAACATCCTTATTAGGAAAACTAGACAGAGTAGGCCAAGCAAGCGTATTGTTGCTATTATTATGCAAGAAGATTTCCTTATTTAAAAGACTTGACGCATGGCCAAGCGAGCTGTTAGTACTGCATTCAGTAGAAAAGGCAGAGAGCCACCCAGCATTTATAATTTCTCTATTAAGCAAATTCGACCAAGTTGGAACATTTACTGGTCTAGCAATCTCTTTACTAGGAAAACTAAACAGAGTAGGCTGTCCCAGCACGTGCTCAACCTTCTCATTCGGAGAAGGTGTCAGACTAAGCCCTTTCAAAATATCTTCACTATGGTATTTTGCCACTAATTCCGATTTTTCTTGGTTCTCTTGTTTTTCCTGCTCTGTCCGCACTACTTCTTCTCTACCACAGTCCTCCTGCCCAACTTGATCATTTCTGTTGTTTATAGAAGACTCCTTGTTAATAGAAAATGATTCTTCTCTGTTGGGTAATGCAATCTCCTTTTTTTCGTATATTCCGCTTATTTCCTCATTTGACATTCTTATACTGTCTAGTGTCATTTCTTCTTCTGGCAATATTTCTTGGCTGGGTAGTTTTTCAATATTTTTACAGTTCTCACACGGGATTTCCTTCACTAGAAATACTTCAGAGTAATCCCCTGAATATAATGTAGAAATAACCTGAAAATGTGTTAGAAAATAATTCTCACAACAAATATCACCTGAATCAATTAAATTCTGTGCTGCTTTTGATAAGGGTTTCCCTTTTCTGCCCCCTCTCTTCCTTCTAAACCAGTCTTTCTCTTCTAAATCCTCCTTTTCCAGCATATTACTACACAAAGTATTACTATCTTTTGTGGTATTACTGCGTGTAGTACTATTACCGTACATAGAAATATTCTTATTCCGGTACTTTTTTATTTTCAAGTTAAACGGGGTTTCTACATTAGGAATGTACTTAAATGGATTCTTCTTCCCGGGTGTCTTAGGCGTATTATAAGGTGTTCCATCCTGCATATAAGAACCAGATGTATCCGGACTAATTTCTGTAGTAGGCATATTAATTACTCTAGAATTACACTGTACACTATTATTACTCTGTACTGTATCTGATTCATTATACTTATTAATACTCCTGTTTATATCTGTAGTAGAACAACTACTCTCTAATGCACACTCTTCTGATTTAATTTCAGAGTCAGAGTTCGATCCCCATTTTAATACACTTTCTTTAATATTTATATTCGTACCAGGTAAGTCCTCCTCCCAAATATCACTTATTTCATTTATTTCTTTAATATCCTGTGACCCAGTATTATTAGAAGACAAGTTCGACTCCCAAAAACTTCTGTTATTTTTTATATTTATAATATTTATATTTTCAGTATCATTATATTCTGTGCTTGCACTGTCATCCTCTTTCTCTTTAATAATCCCAATATCTCTTTCCAGGTTCGATCCCCAATATTCCCCTTTATCTTTAATATTTTCAGGTGAGTTCGATTCTTGCCCTTTCTTTATTCTTTTAATATTCATTTCTTGTTCCTTCTCTGTTCCATTCTGCATATAATAAAATAAATAAAAATATTTACAAGATAAGACTATTTAGTTATTGTGTAACAAGTAGTATTTGATTTAATTAAGGAATATATACGGAAGACAGTGCATATATATTACTACACTGTATAAAAATTCATGAAATAGTTAGTCACTGTTTATATCTGGATTTACTGTATTTTAGTGACAATACTTATTCATCAGTGTGTAATAATTATTGTATATCTAAATAGGAGGTGTTGTAGGAATATAGCCAAGCCTGTATGGATCATCATTATCCCTGTGGTGGCCATTGCTTTGTGTCTGTGCATGTAATTGATCCTGTATAAATTGATTATTAGATGGCTGTGCAGATGAATTGTTCATAAATTGTGGCACTTCTCTGATATTTCCGTTATTTATATTTCCAAATTGGGTAATTCCCGGCATATTCTGTGTATTTCCAAATTGGGACATTTCCGTTATATTTCCGTTATTTATATTCTCAAATTGACCACCTTGCAGCGTATTTACACCCCCAAACTGTCCACTAGGCACCATCCCCGGATTATTCCCAAACTGTCCACTAAGTGGCGTGTACATGTTCCCAAATTGAGGAGTCTGTGGATAATTATTTCCGTTATTTCCTAATTGGGCATTTCCCATATAAGGAGTATTTGTATTTCCTAATTGGGTATTTCCCATATATCCCTGCATACCCCCAAACTGACCACTTCCCATATAAGGAGTACTGCTATTGCTAAACTGACCACTTCCCATATAAGGAGTGCCCGTACTGTGCTGTGCTGGAGTACTTCCCATATACGGCATATTTCCATTTCCGTATGCATAATTATTTCCCATTTGGTTATATCTACTATTACCATAAGAAGTATTTCCTATTCGGGCATATCCATGTCCATATACGGCATTTTCAGGTATTTTTGTGTTTTTTTCATTTTCTGGGAGCACGTGCTTATTCCTGCACGCCAGCCCGAATTTACATCTGCCTTGCTTGAAATATTCACACTCCATGGAAAAACAAAAAACAGAAAATAAATAGCATGTGTATATATAAGTATAATTTATAAACACTCAAATTAATGTGCGAGCTTAGCTCAGTTGGGAGAGCGTTAGACTGAAGATCTAAAGGTCCTTGGTTCGAGCCCGAGAGTTCGCATTTTTATTTTTATCACGGCATTTGAAAATAATTCACTCCATAGTAAAACAGCCGTATTTACGGACTCATCCGTATCCATTACTTTTTATGCATTGTGCACTATATTATTGTCCATTTTCGTGTTCTATCCTGTGGATATTCTAAGATAATATTTTACACAGTGCATAAAAAGTACTGTAAAATTCTCCGGGCACTGTGCTGTAATACTACACCCGTGGACTCACAGCGCACTTCTTCCGTGGATTACGTGCCAAACACACTGCCAATCATAAAATCACGCATGGCGCACTGCATTACAGCGGGATATCCCACTTCCCACTCTAATGCGCACACCCATTACTTTTAACACATTGCATAATAAATTCTACTGCATCCGCACCAGCCAGTAATAACCCGAAATAACCCAAAATAAATAATCCGAGCAGCTTTATTTATAGCACCATCGATGCCTTTCTGATGTACTCCATGAGGGGCCCCTTCTTCTTAAGTTCCATTGCACCAATTCCCATGGGGAGGAGTGATCCTTCCTCCTTGAGCCTGTTGAACTCTTCAGTGGTGTATGGAGTGAATCCGTACTTGTCAGTGACGACTATCTCCTGCTTACCAGCGAACTTGTGCATTGCTCTTCTAAGACCTTCTCTTACCTTCTCCTCAGTGCCTTCTTTACTCCTTACGGAAATAAGGACCTGCCCAATGTTGACTCTGGCAGTTCTTCCATTTGGCTTTCCAAAGGACCCTCTCATTCCCGTCTGTAATCTATCGGCACCAGCACAGCTCAACATTTTATTAATTCTTACGACGTGGTGTGTGTGCACCTTCAATCTAAAGTGGAATGCGTCCTTCTCCAAATGGGTGGACAAGTACTTGTTCAGTGCAATTCTGGATGCCTCTAAGGCTTCTGCTGATATTTGCTCTCTCTCAAGGGACACTAAATTCGTGCATATTGGCAGTTCAAGGACAGTTGCCTTTCTCTTACCAGTATCATATTTTGATACTTTTGAGTCTGGGACTCCACGGCAGAATCTTGATTTTGGGTATGGCTTGTTCTTTATGTATCTGTAGCATCTTCCGGGTCTTCTTCCCATTACAGGGGAGTAAAATTTAGAAAATAAATAGAAAATAAAAGAAAAGTATAAATCCACAGGAAATTCAAGAAATCCAAGAAAATCCAGTGGGAGTGGGTATAAAATAAGAACAAACAAGTATTTCGGGTTATATCGGGTTATATCCATTATTATATTTATATTTAAAATTATATGTGTATATGGCTATACTCTATTGGATACAATTATGTATTATATGTATATAAAACTATAATTAAAATATTTATGTATTCGGGTTATATCGGGGTATACGTTATATCTGGATTATATCTGGTTATATCTTATATTTACATGGGAATTTATACTTTTATATTATGGATTATCTTATTTACTGTAATAAACACATTGAATTTCTGGTGTATAATTGGGATACGTTGAAATTAGTCTTATTATACGTTTATTATGATGTATTAGTGCGTATTCTTATGTATATGGTATATATTCACTGATTTATTCATGATTAATAAATATTCAAAATCAAAAGGTGTTCATTTATAATTTTAATCAAAAATGAAAAGTACGGGTTTATTATAAACATAATAATGATAATTTTATGGTATTTTCAGGGTTAATGCCTTTATACTCATTAATAAGTAGAATATTAAGAATATTTATGGAATAAGATATATGTAAGTGTACTGGTGTGTTTTATAGTGTACATTCTGGTTATTGAATATTTTTGGTTTAACGGTTTTTATAGTAAATTTATTAATATGAAAAATAACTGAAATATTTAAAGTATTTCCTTATAATAATTATTAACAAGAGACTTCTGCTTGATTGTTCTCTGTGCATTCGGGTTAGGCCTTGTTTAGCTGATATTTATGTATTTATTGATCTTTGGATTTTTCTATTTCCTGTATAATAGGCCTCTGCCTTACATTTTCTGTGTGAGTTATTTTTTCACCCACTGCCTCAACATAGAAAAGATTCTTTTTCTTCTGTTTTACAATCTCTCTCTCTATTTCTGTGGTATTCTCTGATGCATCCTTCTCCCACAGGAAATCTTCTGTTAGAATGCTTATGTTCCACACGAACTCTCTTAGAGAGTTCTTGGTTGCTTTTGTTCTTCTGTGTATGCTGCATAGAGTAGTCCCGTCTAATGCCTCTTTTGCTTTAACTGCCTCTTCCTCTGTGGCATACTCTACTAACGCATAATTGTCCCTTCTCGTGGGCATGGTTATCTTTTTTATCTTTCCGTATCGCTCAAAGGCCATTTCTATCAGATTTCGTTTGATCTGTCTGAACGTTATATTATGGACTTTCAGCACACCGCGCATAAAATATTTTGGAAAATATTTTACTAAGTACTTTACAGAATATCCTCGTCTAAATCTGCGTCCTCTGCATTTGAGTAGATTATGTCGATCATTGAATCCTCGTCTGTCTTCTCTTCTTCCTCTGAGAAGAACTGTGGAGACGGCGCTTCTGTTGTTCTGATTTCAAATATTTTTATTACAGACTTTATGAGGGCGTTCATTCTTTCGCTCTTTTCACAGTCCGTGTTCAGAATATTGGTCTGCTCCCGTCGGATTTGGCAGACTGTAGTCTGTATCCTGTTAAGAACATGTGAAACAACAATATCCAAGGCAGAAGACTCTGTTGCTGTGAATCCTATGGCAAACAGTTGCAGGGAAACAATTCGGGTGAGTATGGCTACTACCTCAGGTCGGCCTATTTCTATATCCGGTATGACTTCCATTTGATCGTTTGCATATACCCCATTCATATAGTGTACACAATGAGACTGTGAAAGCTTCTCACCCAGTTTATACGCAGACGTATTTTTATCGTATCTCTCGTGCCCTCTGCTGTGTATATTCCCCAGAGTGTATTCTGTTGGCGGCGGTGCACTAAGTACATCTTCCTCTGTGATGGGAAAACTATTGTAAAAGTGTGTGTACTCTGGCAGATAGAGGAATGATGGCTTTTCCTTTAGATCCTCTAGTACCCAAGAAGCACCACCATCTCTTTGGAGGTTCTCTTTCTGCATTAGCCGGATAATTTCACTTTCTTTTCTCCAGTACTCATGCATTCCCTTTGGTGTTCTTTTCTGTGTGAACTCTGCTGGATTTTGAAGAATTGCTGCCCGAGTGGCCACCATTTCCTTCCTCCACTTCTCTGAGTGGTGAAAGTGCGAGAGAACTTCTGGGCTCTCTTCAATTTCAATCTCTCGCTCTGAAAATAAATCCTGCAGAAGAACCAGTGACTTCTCCTTCATTTTCTGTGCGTACATTGCATATACATTCCCGTGTGTGTTGTTGAACCGGAAGCAGTTCTCCCAAATAAGGTCTAAATCACTGGTAAACCCGGCTATGTCAGAATACTCCTGAAGAAAAAGCTTCTTCCCCATTTTCCCCAAGTCCATCGGTGTTTGTATCATGTTGTAGTACTCTGGGGCCTCTCTCTTACTTACTTTGTTCAAAAAGGGGACAGAGAACGGGGTGTACGCCCGTAGCTTAGAAAGAACCTTCTCCATTTTTGAATACATCCTCTCTTGCTTATCTGAAAGATCTTTCCACTTGCTTTTTGTGTTCATTCTGTTGATTATTCTTTCTAGTTCCATTTTGTTCTCCGTAGAAAGTGAGAGCATGTTCACCAAATAGTGAGATCCAGAGGGTTTCTTCTCCTTCTTTTCCTCTTCTTTCTTGTAGGTATACCCATCGTACTCCACTGTGAAGTATTGCTGCATAAAAGAAAAATATACGTAATTCTCTTTATTAATTCGTGCTTGGCTTTGGAAGGAGGTCGTGCTCCGCTTTTAATTTAATTCTTTGCTCTGAAAATTTGTCATCTGGTGAGAATCTGGCAGGGTGTGCTGGCAGGATATCTGACTTTACCTCTGAATCGTATAGCTTGTAGGTTTTCACTCCATCCACTAATTTATAGCCAATATAACTCATAAAAATTTAATTTAAACGGAAAAGTTTTATTGCTTTCCACCCGAAAATAGCCCAAATTGAAATATAATTATGCAGTGCCTCTTTGCTAAAGAATATTCCTGTGCTGTGAACTGTGCGAGTGTGCAGTAATACTGTTTTATGTTGCTACACAGTTTAAAGCCCATTATGTGCAAATAAAGCAGTTCCAGTATGTGTTATACGTGAATATAAATGTGTATATTCGGTGGATTTCTGCCTATTTGATTTTTGTCTGTATGACAGAATTTCTATTCTTTTCTATTCCTGCTCTAAATTATATTATAAACACTTTTTGAATATTTTATTTTTTGGGTTTTTGAGGTGTTCCAAGCGTAGTCTTAGAATAATACGTGTAAATCCTTTCTTTGAATTGAATTAAAAATACCTTCTCTTCTTATACTTTAATTAAAAATCCATATTTTATTGATCATTTCCCTATTTAGCTGAAGACTCTACCAAATTACTCTCTTTGGCTTCTATAAGTCTGATGTCATTAACTCCCAGCATATTGCTTAGGTGGGATGCTCCATTATTTCCAGAAATTAAACCTGCTTTGCCTTCTCTTTTCTTGCTCCCTAATTTCTTTTTTGTGGGATTTTTACTGTCTTTTGCATTTGCAAGTTTTGATGAGCTGGCGGATCCTCCTACTACTGAAGCACTCTTGCCTCTCTTACCTGGTTTTTTGCTAGGCTTAGGCTTTTTGGAATTATTCAGGTTATCATCTGTGGATGTTGAGCTTTCTTTGCCTGTGTCATCTTTGCTAACTGCATTTGTGTGTTTATTCATTGTAGTTGATCCAATCAATGTTGCATTTTTACTTGTTCCAACTACCGTCTTTAATATAAATACGGATAGACCAATAACTAAAGCAAGTAATACTATAAGCCCTATAATGCATGCTATTTTCATTGTTTTGCTCATTTTTGACAGTTGTTCTGAAAAACTGCCGTTACCTGTGGATTCCTGTGGTGTACCTTTGCCTGCATCTGTGTTCTCTGCCATGTTTTAATATACTTCAGTAAACTCCTTCTACATATATATTTCACTGTGACACACCTGTATCATCATGAAACTCTTCTATTTTAAGAAGACGGCAAAGAATAGGATGGTTTTATTCTTTACAAATAGTTTTTTGTATTGTTTCATGCCAAATGATCCCGACTGTTCAGAGCCTACTTTTAGCACCTAATACGGAAATAATCGATGCCCTGGAGACCAGACTTAAATCACTGTCCATCACACACTCTGAGACAGATAAAACAATCCTGCAACTACAAGCCAGAGAAATAAAAAGAGAGAATACTTTTCTGGAGAATAGAAGCACTTTAGAAAGTATATTTGCAGTAATTGATGCAGGAGAGAATCTTGATCAGTTGAAGAATTCGATTGTTCCTATTTTAGAATCTGCCCCTTCTTCTATAAACAGCGTAGAGGTCTTTCGCTTTATTCTTAAGCATGGGATGCGCTCTGAAACTATAAATATATAGAACAAAATGAACCAAAGAAGTGCCCTGTTAAAGAACTAGTCAGCACGCAGTACATAAGCAAATAAACCCAATAATACATAATTATTCCTAAATTACTCTTAAAATATCATGTTTATCGCATGAAGTTCTAAATTTTAATTATTTTATTATGAGAGTCGCATAGGAGATGACTACTAAAAGTATAATAATATATTTTTATGTGTACACGTTTTATTTGGTGTAATACAAGAATATCTCTATTTACTTACACCCAAGAATAAATTATATATTTTTATGTATACAGTGCAAAGGTTTAAAATGGCCTTATTTGAGACAGAATGTATTCATAATGACTAAGAATTAACATGTCTTTGGATTAAAGTATATTTTATAATAAACCCAGGAAATAACTAAAATATACAGTGCAAACAGGCAGTGTATTACGTACTAAATGTATAATATACAGAGAATGGGATTTAAATTCGGGTTATATCATTTTACTGGATATAATTTATTTATACTAGTTTATTAAAACATGGTAAGGAACAAATAGGATTTTGTGTATATATTTTTCTTTGAGGAGCTACTATGTCTCATTTATGAGATTCAAACGGTATAGATCTATCGTAAGTCAGTAAATTCATAATATCGTAATGAATGCCATATTTACATCCATTATAATTATTATTTCTTACTGATATAATTCCGTGTGGACTATTTTTAATTTGTTCAAGCGTACTATTCATAATAGCACTAGAAATATCCTTCAGAATGAATTTTGGGTTATAGTTCTTTAGAAATAGTGGTTTTTCACTTATAGGATCAATTATTTTCTCCTGTTTATTTAGATTAATCAAGTACTTGTTTAGTCTTTCTAAAAGGTCTTTCATTGTAAGGCAGAATACAGCACTTGTCTTATAATCTTCTTTGTCACAGTTAGTCTTATATATGCAATATCCATACATTGCCATGTTCATAGAAGGATTTTTATTTTGTAGCATGCCAATGAACGAAGCAATAGCAGGCTGTTTAATAGCTCCCAAGTGAGTTCTTTCATCCTTTATTTTACTGTCAAATTTATATGTTGTATACTCATACACACTGCTATAATTTCTCACATTCCAAGTTATAATAGCATTGCCATAATTCCTATTGATTCCCTGTTGAATGTTCATACAGTAGCACTGGAAGTCTTCATAGAAATCTGTTGAATTTCGTATAAAAAAGTCACTGTAGTAGTGTTTAATAGCGTAGTTTAGATCACTTTCTTTCATGTGCCTGTTTATCAACAGTAGGTTAGAATTCTTTTCCTGTACGTCTGAAATAGGGAGTTCACTGTCAAAAGAGACTATATAAGTCTGTATATACGTAATTGGTTGCAAGTTTTTAAAATCATGTAGGTTAAATACCTTGCGATTAATAGTACTTCTGTTGTATGGGCCTAATGAAAATGCCGAAACCATAAATATGGGAAGAAACAGAGGAATTCGCGGCTTGTCAATATTTTCATCATTAACTTCATTTCTTACTTCAGGTGAATAGACAAATTGGGCAAAGCAAAATTTAGTTTCATATATTCTTTCCTTAATGTAGTAGAATACAACATTACAGTCCTCTTTCTCTATCATTTCCACTGTTTTGTTCAGTTCTGATCTTTTAGTTATTAACGACCAGGTTTTACTATTTCTTTTGTATTTGAAGGGATATATGTCTCCAAACTTTGAGTATAAAGGACTTACTCCTATGTTAAACATCAGCTTTAGGTAAACTACTATGTAGTGAATCGCATATGGTTGGTGCTTTTTAATTTCACCATTTTCTTGCTTGTGTATGTAGTATGGAAGATGGATCATTTCAATAGTATGATTTACATTATCTACAAATTGCACGTGATAATGATCTTTTACGCTTAGTAGTGCATTATCTTCCGTAAAAGCAAACCCCTCCATGGTGTGTGTTGTTTTAACAATACGGTCATAATCGCTATTTTCTATTTCATTTATTTCTACTAATGTAGTAGAGAATTTAAGATATTTTTGTTTGGTCATGGCATAGAACCCCAGTACTTTGCTATATGTTCGCCGACTGTACATACTATTTATATGCAGCAGAGGAGTTCTATTCCTAATCCTATACTGATCGCAGCGGTCTAATTTATATGTGACTCCAAAATATTCATAAAACAGATCTACTATAGAGTATATTAGACTATAAACTTCGATTACAGTGAACTCTTCTATTGTTCTGCTGTTGTTCTCAAGTGTTTTAATTTTTTTGACTTCTTTATATAACTGCTCTGCCATTGCTTCTTCTTTCTGTGCTATGCATATGAGGTATATTATAATATGTTTTACTCCTAATAGCCTGTGCCTAGCATTATTATCATTAAGTGGAAAGCTTTTATAGGTTTCTAATTCAAACTCCTGGAAAAACCTGCTAACAACTGCCACTGGTATTTTGTAAAAGTCTTCATATATTTCTGGTATGTAGAAAATGGTATTTAACTTTTTTTAAGTTTTATGTCCTTATCTGCTCCTTCAGTGACTATTTGTCTGTCTATACCACTGCAGCAGCAGTATATATTTATTTCTTTATTAATCCATATATCCCCAAGGGTTTCTTTTTTTTTCTATAGCTTTTATTGTGAGTTTCTTGGCAGTAATATACAGTCTGCCCATAGTTGTTGATGTAATAAGTCAAATCACTCAGAAATCTATTATAGCAAAATGGGTTGGGCATATTAATAATATATGGATTTGATTTTTCTATATTATTAAAAAAGCGCTTTGTTAAAGAAAAGTCTATGCCTACATTTTTAACCATCGTCCAAATATCTGTTGTTGTATCTTTCTTCCACTCTTCAATTACTTGTTTTGATTTTTCAAATACATTTCTTATCAATAAATCTTTATTAGAACGCAGAAAATCTATATTCTCATTGTTTTCTATGTAGCTAGTATAATTTCGTATAACACACAGGTGGTCATTTATATACATACGCATTTTACGATTTATAATAGATTTTTTACTGCTAGAAAGTGTATTAGTAGGATTATGATCAATATCAGTATGTATTGCTGGTAGGCCGTATACTTCTGCGGCTGAATCATTTACACCACTATATGTAGTATCTGCATTAGAATGGTCTGCATCTGTATACTCCATTGTTTGGTCATTATTATCAGAAAGTTTCTTATTATTAACACTATTATGTGTTTCAGAGGAATTAGATAGATCTAATGACAAATTTGCTTCTATCTCTGATTGATTGTTCATGAGAGGTAATTTACCATTATCATTGCTATGCATGCTCTTCTGGGGTGTTAACTCATTTGTATCGGCGCTATCTGTTGAATGTAAACTATTATTTCTAGGTCGCTGTTCTAGACTATATGGTGAACAAGCATGCCTACTCTTGTAGCTTGCCTTGAATCCCCCACATATAATTGTATCTATACATATACAGATCAGCCCAGTTATAATACTCACCTTCTTTAACTGTCTCATGGTAATTTTTAATTTTTGCATAAGATAAATTATTTGTATGGCATAAATAATAAAATTAGAGATATTCTATCAGAAATATTCAATTGGCATTGACGTACTCATGAGGAATACCGCCCTGCCACGCAGTCCAGATAAAGAAGAAAATGAAATAAGAGAGATCTTTATTGTATTTATGAAGCAGTCCAATCCAGCACGTGCTTAGAGTATTAATGGCACATCTGTGCTAGACTTTGTGTTTGGGTTATCCATCGATGCATCTCTGAATCTCCCCATAAATTATAGGATGCAGGTTAAATAGTCCTAATTTGATCTACTAATCTGCAATTTTGGCCTTTGTTTTGGCAGGATCATTGCACAAGCTGACACACGGACAGATTTCCTTGATGGTTTATGTCTTTGTGACCGTGTCATCATAAGTTTAGTAATATTTGTTGTTCTAATAAGAATGGAATAAATTCATATTTTATTATATTTATGTGTGTAGACAGATTTCAGATTATACTGAATATTCCTATTAAAATATAAAATGTATTTATTTTCTTATTAGAATATTTATTAGAGTACAATTTAAATTTTAAAAATAGTAGAAAATAAAGAATATATGCATATTATACAGCAGAAAGAATAACATATAACAAGAATATAATATAAACAAAAGAGGGTGTAATAAAGGAGACTATTTCTGTAAATGTGAATATGTGGGTTGTATATTTATATTTTCCATGTGACTGTGCCAATGGCTATTCCTGGTGAAATAGAATGAAGTATGGTTAAAGAACTAAAACTAGTTTTATATTCCATGAGTTCAGTTTCTTATGGGTAGAGAGACCGAAGAGATGTGAAATGAATGCCGAGAAGCAGTATTGAGGATGGCAGAACAGGGCGGATATTATTCTGTGTCTAATTTATCTTGTATTAAAGACTTTACTGATTGAATTAGAAGGACAAGTTACACGAACTAATGTGCAGTGTTTATAGGATAGACTACTCCACCTGTATTCAGGGCGTATGAAGAGACCGAGTTTGCACTTAAAGGCAGCTGGCTCGGTTTTCTGGTATTTTTAGAAACTTGGTATATGGAGAAGGAGACAAAAGCAAAGTACACGAATATCTTAGGCATAAGTGCTATATATTAGATAGCCAATTAGGAATTAAAAGTATGTGGGAGAAACAGACTCACAAAAAGAGAAGAAAAAGTGGAAAAGATGCAAAGGATGAGAGAGAGTTAAATGTACAAATCTTTATTGGTTTGGTTTGTTAATTAATATACACAACAGAGACAGTCCATTTAGAGGAGATTAAATGGTGGGACTTATTCACTGCTTTATTCAGCTGTAGTAGTATGTTTATTGCATATTACACAGCAGAGAGTATACCTATAATCAGAAAGACCGTTTATGTGTTCATGATTAGTTATTCTAGTATTTAGGCAGTGAATGAGTGCATGAACTTAAGCTACTGGGGCTATATACAGACAAGCTGTGTATAGAGGAAAACTATGAGATTCACACTACCACCGACGAATTCTTCATATTTTCGTATTTCTCTCTTCTATTTATACCTTTGAAAAATATATAGACCAATAAGACCAGAGTCCATTTCCATGTAAATTTGTACATAAGGGCAATTATGAAATGTAATTAAAATGAAAGAAGAAATATAAAAGGCGGGCTAGAAGGGTCTAAAACAATAATTAGAGAATTATACTGAATAGAGAGATATTAAAAGGTTTAGAGCAATAATTAATGGATAGGATTTGAATTTCATACTATAATTAAAATGCAATAAGCCATTCTGTATTATTGAAATTTAGACACAGAATATTTTAAACAATGATTTGCCTTTCATATTTATAAGATATATACCTTTAAATAGAACTATAGATACATCAAGTACTTTTTATAATTTATGAATATTTTACTATGTAATGTATAAAGAAATAAACTGAATAGTTATAGTATGTAGTGTACTTTAATAGACGTGAATTCTAGGAAGTTTCTGGGTATTTATGTAAATTCGGGTTATTCGGGTTATTAAGTATAAAAAACAATATGTATAGCAGAATATAACTTAATTTTATAGATAATTTTAGGGCTTCTATAATTTAAGAAGATATTTGAATCTCTGCAATATGAATCGAGGGTATAAAACCAATGGGTCAGTTTTATCTTCAGACATAATACTAATATTATTGGATATTTTAAGAATTAGCCGATTAAAGTCTTCTTGATAATAGGATATTCCCCAGACCAAAAAACTAGAAAGTGCTACTGCAATTAAGAATGCCCAAAGCTTAACACTTTTGATTGTTTTTACAACCGTACTAACTACATCATCTTTAACTTTTTTTAATTTCGGGCTTAGTATATTTTTATTTGGTTTCCATAATAAAAATATATTGGGTCGGTTTAGTATATAGGATCTATTAAGACATTTATCTTTAGCAATTGAGGTCTTAATATTAGTAATTTGAATAGTATTCAAATCTGCTTGAATAGGTTTTATATATTCAGGCATTACGTTATTTAACAATATCAGAATATTGTCATCACTTAGATCACTAAGGTCTAAGATATGTTGTTTCATGTATTCTTTAGAAATATTCTTACTACATCTCTTAAGATTAACCAGCCACTCTTCAATTGTATTTCTGTAAGGGTAGAATTCATCAAAGACAGGAGAGTAATCTAAAAGGAAAAAAAAGAATCCAGTGAATATTTGAGAAAATGAAGAGTGCGTGATACTTTTCTTTTCATCTTTAACAAAGACAGACTCTTGCATGTCACGGATTACTTTAAATCGGTTTTTATGCTTTGCACTTAAAAACAACTGGAGTGAGTAAATATCATCAGGTGAGATATCTAACTTATCTAAATTTGAAACAATTTCATTATAATTAATTCTGTATGAAAGACCTCCTCCGTGCTGTGTTAGTATTTCTATGACTCTTTCAATTCGAGTGATTTTCTTATCTTTAGCATGTGCAAATAATTTGGCATCCGCATCAGAAATATTCAGTTTTGCTGGTACTGGTGGATTATGTGATTTAAGTGCATTAATTAAGTCATCTATAATATAAGCCAAAACTGTTTCATACTTTGACAGCATAAACAAATGATTATTGCCCATTAAATTATAAAAAGCCTCTTTGCTATTTATACATGGCAATTCATTAGCTACAGCCTCAAGTGCATCTAAAATTGCCTCAGTGGTTCTAATTGCTCTGTTGACTTCTCCTATAATTACCTCTATATCGCATATTTGAATTTTTTCTATGTACTGAGACAATATAACCCGAAATGTCGTATATTTCAAATTCTTAAATGCATGATATTTATCATGTAATACATATTCCTGTCTGTATATATCCAGTACCATATTTATAAGTGTAAATGACTTAAACATTGGCAAGTTAAAATATCTACTAATCTCATCCATTGACATATTAATGGTTTCTCTCAATTTCTCTTCTATATTTATCATTTATCCAAATATTTAAAATTATTTTTATACAAAAGAATAGAATATTTATGGATACTTGTAAATCAGGCAATAAATATCTTAAATAGAGTACTTTATGTGATATTTAGGTATTTAGGCGTATTTTACTATAGATATCCCAATTTCGGGTTATATTCGGGTTATGCTGAATATGGCGTAGTAGAAGACAATACAATTTCGGGTTATTTCATATTTATAGTTTTTATTTATGCATTAGTATGATTCATGGTGTGCTAATAGTGAATTCATGTGGTGGGCTAATCTATGATGAAATTATTCCATCTGCCTTTTCAGGGGATCTTAATATTGACCGGGTAATTGCCATGGCCAGTACAATTTATACTGCGATGGAGATTCTTTCTTCTCATGGGATAACGCAGAGGGCAGGCAAGTATACAAAAATGTATTTGAGATATGAAAAGGCTTCATTAACTGCCATGAAAACGCAGACTGACATGATATTTGTGATTATACATGATACGGCAGACACTGCTGCATCCATTTTAAAATACGTTGAGAATGCGCATGTTTCTTTTGTGAATTCCATTTTACACAATCCAGAGTATTATGTAGACGACAGAATAAGCATAAAATTTTTACATCTTGAAAATGCCAGACGTAACTAGAAGCAAGCACTTCAGAGCAGAGGACAATTCAAAAAATACTCGCACTATGAGAAAATCAGCGAGTGCAGAGGGAGCAGAAAAAGAAGCAAATTCTAATCATGCCCAAAAAAGAGTTAAGAAAGAAAATTCTTCAACCACAGAGAACATTCATCCCAACGGAACAGATTCTGAAAGTATTCCTTCTTCTGGGAAGGTTTCTCCACTATCTTCTCTTCTTACTAAGGAAGACTTAGCAGACACAGAAAAGGCCGAGGACGGTTCAGATAAGCTCAATCCCAAGCATGCATTTATGGCAGCGGTGAGTGCAGCACTAGCCAATCCCACAGAGAAAACTCTTGGGGATGTCACGCGGCACAGGAAGATTCTTCAAAAAAAGAAAGAAATGCGTGCTACGCGGCTTCTGATTCTTGCGCTAGCAAAGGTATTTTTCAATCTTTTACCGTCGTACAATATAAGGACACAGGACCACAAGTACAATGCATCCTCTAAGATCACCAGTTATGAGTATGCGCTGATGAAAGAGTGGGCAGAGTATTTAAAGCTTATTACACGGTCAAAGACAGAAGAGTCATATGAAGCAGCCGCAATTCTACTTCCCCAGGCGATTCTGTTCAATAAGAGTATGAAGCTGATTGGGAAGGTCATTAAAGGCACACGGCTTAAGTCCAAAATAGGCAAAAAGTGTCATTTAACTCTTGTGCAGATATTCAGCTGTGACAGAGGAAATCGTACAGTGAAGGTTTTAGAGGTAATGGATCAAATAGCAGAGAATCTTCCCAAGCCAACGATTCGAGCACTTTTCTACATTCCGGACAGTCTTCTGACAAAACCAGAGCGAACGCACAAGTACTCCACAAGCGAAATGCGAAAGCTTTCTGTGGAGGAGAAGGCAATTAAAAAAGAGGCGCAGTTACACTTTCTACCAGAAGAGATAAAAGCGTGGAAGGGCATAAGTGAGAGGCTTCTTAGGATATATCTTCTGATTCTTTCATCCAAGCCCATTCAGAAGCACTATTACGCCCTTACACAGATTCAGCGACTGTCTATTCCTGGTCATTTAAAGGAGGGTGTATTCACTCTACTCACAGAAAAGGCCGCAGAGTTAAAGGCCGAAATGACTCCAAAGAATGCAGCGATTCTGTGTCTGTGCTATATTACGATGCACAAGATATATGGAGATGCAGAGTATTCTTTCCATGTGGAGGAGATGGAGAAGATTCCAGTTGATGTGATTGTGCAGATGAGTGACAGCGAGGCATCTATTTTATATGCAGCGATTATGAAGCTGGAGAAGCATTCAGGCCGGCCACGTCTGATAAAGATGCTTCTTGCACGGGGGATGCACCGGGTGGACAAGAACCTTGCCGCTGTGGTTCGGCACTTAATGCCTCGAGAGGGTGCTGCACGGGTAGAGAAAGAGTCCGAGAATGGTTTCTGGGAAATGCCCATTTTAGTTGGAAAGAGAAGGGGCTAAATCTTCAATTTTAGAAATATTTAACCGGTGAAACCACTTAATTATATATTCTTCATCAGGCACAGCATAAAATATCATAAATAAATAAATCAATAGATTTAACGGTTATTTTAATAAAAATCAATTTTATTACCCGAACGGGAAATTTCAAAAATCATCAAAAATTTTCAGCAGGTGACAGTACATGTTATATATGCTATATTATCCAATAAGTAATTTCATATATAGTTATATATGCTATATTGTGTAATAAGTAATGACATATATAGTTATATATGCTATATTGCCCAATAAGTAATGACATATATAGTTATATATGCTATATTGCCCAATAAGTAATGACATATATAGTTATATATGCTATATTGCCCAATAAGTAATGACAGTACATGTTATTTATGCTATATTGTCCAATAAGTAATGAAAGTACATGTTATATATGCCATAGTATGTAATAAGTCTTATATTTAACATATTATGCAATAAGTCTTATTTATACTACATTGTGTATTATGTTCTGATTTACATTCTGTATACACTATTAGTATATTTTGTATATAACTTATTACACATATATCTATATTATTTGCTTATTATTAGTGTATATTACACTGGGTTTTTACTCTATTACTTTCTCTACATTGTATCATAATATTAGAATACGTCTAGAAATGTCTTTATTTATGAATAGCTATTACACAGATTCTTTAGGCTTCATCTCTTCGATTATCTCTGAGTATGCTGTGTCTATTGGTCCCTGAACAGATTTTACTATTTCCCCTGGCTGTGCAGATTTCTCCTCATTAGTAGCTATTTCTTCTGATGCTTTATGCAGTAATTCATGGTTAATTTCTATTTCTTCTGATGCTTTATGCAGTAATTCATGGTTAATTTCTATTTCTTTTGATGGTGTGTGTAGTAATTCATGGTTAATTTCTATTTCTTTTGATGGTGTGTGTAGTAATTCATGGTTAATTTCTGTATTCTCTCTCTGGTAGAGGCTTAAGAAATGGTCTGCACTGTCAAAGTATCTCTTCTGTGTGGCCATCTGCCTCCTCTGCAGATATTTTATTCCAGGCAGTGGCTGAGTGTCAATTTTTTCATTTTCTGGTGTTATGGGTGCTGGATCTTTCTTCTCATTCTTCTTTATGTCACTTTTTACAAGTTTCATCTTCTCTTTTATTCCTTTTAATTTCTTAAACATAGTCCCCCCTTAGAGTCAGAATATATAAGACATAGGGGGGAAATTTCTGTGTATAAGTTCATAATATATAGTACATTTTATAATAAGTAATGGCACATTATAAAATATTTATTATACATTGTGTAATAAGTTGTGTGTAATAAGTTAAGTTATATAGTACATTGTGTAATAAGTTGTGTGTAATAAGTTAAGTTATATAGTACATTGTGTTATAAGTTATACAACATAGTACATTATGTTATAAGTTGTGTGTAATAAGTTATACATTATTTATTATTTATTATACGTTATGTCATAAGTTATACATTATTTATTATTTATTATACGTTATGTCATAAGTTATACATTATTTATAGTACATTGTGTAATAAGTTGTGTATTATACATTATGTAATAAGTTATACATTATTTATTATTTATTATACGTTATGTTATAAGTTATACATTATTTATTATACGTTATGTCATAAGTTATACATTATTTATAGTACATTGTGTAATAATTTTTATGTGGTATGACACTCTGTGCAGTTTAGGTGCCAATACGTACAGGAAAGAGGTCTGCGGGTATTTAAGGAGTGAGAAAAGGAAGGAATGGAAGTTCATCTCTGATGACTCTGCTGAAATCAGTGATTTATGCAGTAAATTACAGCAGGAGCTGTCACTCCCCGTGGAGAGCGGTGCCCCTTCCACTCCGATAATAAAAATAGCAGAAGAAATAAAACTATTCGCTGGTGAAGAAGTTCTTTATGCAGGGATTGACCAAGTAATTATAGAGCCAAGACATATGACAGAGTGTACAGAAAGTAATACCACCATTAATAGTATAAATACAACGGACAATCCATTAAAATATATTACGGGGTGTACAGGAAGTAATAAAGAAAGTTCTGTTATAATAAATAGTGAAAGTGATGCAGGAGATAATACACAATCAGTAATAAGTAATAAAGGGTTTATTTTTTTATATCCGATAGGGATAAAGAAAAGGACTTGCCGGTTATGCCGGGTTAGTTTAGGTGTCCACAAGCGGGTTAGGGATATTCTTATACCGAGTGACATAAGCATTCTATGCAGCAAGTGCTATCAGGATATCCACTGGCACCAAGGGGGCAGGCGGTATGAGCACTTTACATACGAAATGAAAGAGGACTAGAATATATGACACAATGTGTAATAAGAAGTAGTGAATGTAACTAGAATATATGACACAATGTGTAATAAGAAACAACTCACTATAATTCTATAACTTATGGCACATTGTCATTGTGCAATAAGTTTTGGACTCACTATACCCCTATAATATAATACACAATGTGTAATAAGTTGTAATAAGAAACAACATATCACACTTCTATAACTTATGATACATTGTGTAATAAGAAACAACTCATCACACTTCTATAACTTATGGCACACCATGTAATAAGTTGTGATAACTTATAATACATTGTGTAATAATACACTATACCTCTATAATATATAATACATCATGTAATAAGAAATAACTCATCACACTCCTATAACTTATAACTTATAACACATTGTGTAATAATACACTATACCTCTATAACTTATGATACATTGTGTAATAATTCATCACACTCCTATACCTCTATAACTTATGATACATTGTGTAATAACTCATCATACTCCTATACCTCTATAACTTATGATACATTGTGTAATAACTTATGATACATCATGTAATAAGTTGTAATAACTCATCACACTTCTATAATATATAATACATTGTGTAATAAATTTTGGTTTATTTAATTTTCAGTTATGCTGTTTGTGACCTTCTCTGTGTAGATATCAGATACAGTGCATGGACACTTGCAGGGAAGTACATCAACAAGCACAGTAGTAAGTTTATGATTAAGTCAATACCACAGCCAGATACAAGGAACACGGACACTGGCGGTAAGAATATGGCTAATAATATCTCTAATAACGTGGTGCAGGACATTTGATACAAAAATTTATAATTAGTGCATATTTATAATCAAGATTTATTATACAATGTATCAGAAGAAGTAATTTATTAGACAATGTATCAGAAGAGATGAATTGGGTCTAAGACTAAGTAAGTATAGTGTAGAAAGTATTAGGACTAAGTGAGTATTGTGTAAAAAGTAATGTGTATATATTATGTAATAAAATTATAGGATTATGGACACTTTAGGGAGTATTAAAGGGTCTAGAATATTCTACACTATGTGTAAAAAGTTCTGGAACTTTATACTTATTGTTTTAATAATTACGCGCAATAAATTAAAAATATTTAATAACCCGACATAACCCGAAATCATTATTTATAACACATAATTTCAAAAATAATTTAATCTTTGCATTTTTTATTACCCATGGAGTTAAAAATAATTAATAAAGAATGGGTCTATAATATATTATACAATAACCATAAAGTAATAACAGGCGTACGAATATTTTTACTTATACTGTGCTTTATAAATAAAATATTCGCGCTCAACCACGATGAAATAGAAGAAATCCATGAATTACAGTTTACGAACCAGCCAGAATCGGAAGATAGTGTGGTAATTAACTTAGAAGGGTCATTAAATGTAGCCAGGTGGTATATAGATGATACAACAAATAATATAACGAATAAGAAATGGTTAAACACAGATAACAAAGTAATTATGCACACCAAAGATGATATAACCCGAATGTGTTATATAACGGAAAGCACACAGGGCATACCACAGAACCAGAGTGAGATAGATAAGTATATGAAAGGATATTATCGTGTATTATATACACTGTTTAATTGGAGTTTAATACGCCCAGAGGATAAATCAAAGAGTAAAAGTAAAGAGGATGAGATAGCCAGTTCAAGCAGTAAGTATATTTATAGAACATTAGCGCACTTATTTCTTATGACAGAAGGGTTATACTTACCCATAGAAGTGAGTGATTCAGAATATGATGATATGGTATTTATGCTATCAGATAGTAATAATAAGTATACTCATATACGGTGCATAGCTAGTTATATAGGGCATAAAAGGAACAGTAAGCATATGGATAGTTCAAGTACATACAATATGATGTACAATTGTTATTGTAATATGAGTGAGGCAGATAAGTCAGAGAATGAGAGGAGGATAATTGAATTTTTTATAGAGTATTCAGACAGATCAGTTATACAGAAGGCCTTTAAATTTACAGAGCCCACTACAAGAGAAGAATTTATAACAGGAGAATTCATGAACACCCCTGGGTTTCTTATACAGAATTATGTATACATAACCATGTGCTCTGTGCTAGAAATTAAATTATTCATAGAAGAAGTACATGCCCTTCTAATGGAATGTATTAAAGGGGTATCTAAGGACAAAGCAAAGCATAAAGAAACTGCAACTAAAATATTCAAGAAATTATTCATACCAAAGAAAGAACAGAAAAGGGCAGGTTCTGTGTTAATTAATGAAAGGGGCTTATACGACCTAGTAAAGACAATGAATATAACTTATGAGCGGATCGTGTCAAACAGCAGTATTATTACTGAAAACACAAAGCTTAAAAATATTTTTATAGAAATCCAGGCGAAAGTAAATTTTATTAATGCAGCATCTCTATGGGGGCTAATGTTCAACGACTATTTATTATTTTTAATCGAGATATACAGACACCAATTTTCATTCCCAGATTTATCCAGATTTGGGCTTAGTCCACATCCAAGTAATGGGATTAAGTATATTAGTGTTATAGCCGAAGAGTATTATAATGACATATCTGGGCTAGTTTTATTTAAGTATGTACTGCTTCTAAATAAAAATTATAAAAGTTTGATTAGTGCACTGCTTGCTATAGCTATTCATAAGAATGAGTCTGCGGACAGTCGTATACTAAAATTTATAGAAATTTTAGTTTTATTCAGTAATAAGGAGAATAGCTCAACATGTATCACGAATCAGGATAATTTAAATGGGAAGTTTCCAATTGATGTATATTATCTACCGGTTCAGTGCATTGCAATGGAATTTATTAAGAAGAAGAGATTACTGTCTAATATACCGCATAGGCCTATAATACACATTAAACCAGTTGCCCACCTAGATAATGGGCAGTATTCATATGAAATTCAGGTGATTAGCGACATAATAGAGTATTTAATTTACAAAAAGAGCACTGATGGTCTTTGTTATTTTATAAGTCTATGCATGTCTAATTTTGGTAATTCCTGGCTTAATTTAGTAAAGAAATCCGAAAATGGCACAAATGTAAGCAGAAGTTCAAGAAAATCTGGAGATACTTATGATTTAGCCATGCACTTTACTGCTGGTGGCACTGAAGTAGTGCAATTAACTCGCATTTATGATAAGTTAGTTAAAAACAAGAGTGACTCCGACACCCTGCAATTTAACCCTAATAATGTATCGAGCTTTTTAACATATATATTATGTCGTGCTTTTGAAGATATAAGTACGTATGAGAATGTTATTGAAAAAATATATGAAATATGGATACGTACCATGCTTAATGAAGAATTAAAGCCAGTAATTCAGAATATATCCCCAAACTGTCCTACACTAAAAATTATTCTTAGTTTATTAGAAACAAAAATTACTAAACTGAGTAAAAATATAGAGAAGAATGCGGAATACATTGACAGATTGTCTAAAATGCAGGAGGATATTCAAGCTATTATTTGTAATATTAAAGAATGTAGCTATGGAATATATAAAAATCAAAATATTTGGAACATGTATGTGGAGAATCCAGGTTGGATTTGGAATGGCATGGATGAGGATGAGAAGAAGCGTATTTTTGATTCTAACAATGACTGGGATGAAATCAATGATGATATAGATGGGAACGGTGATATTATAGGTGGCAATTGCAGCAATGAGAACCCCATCGGAAGAGACCATTTAAATGCAAACATTGATCAAACATACAATAGTGATTCAAGTAGTTATTTTGCCAGTAGTATTAGTTCATTAAGTGATTTAAGCGATCATTCTGATTATTGCAGTACTATCTGCAGTAGCAGGAGGAATAGTAATAGTAATAGCGTTAGTACTAGTGAGTGTGAGGAGTGTGAGGAGTGTGAGGAGTATGATGATGATAGCAAAAATAGCGAGGATGATATTCAACATGATTTAAACATTGTTAATAAAATCAGTGACAATGACGACAGTAGAATCAACTGCAGCTGCTTCTACTGCATTAGGGATAGTAGGGATAGTAGTGATAGTAGTGATAGTAGTGATAGTAAAAAAAACGATAATATTAAATGCAATCCCACTCCTTGTGGTAATAATAGTATTGGTAACAGCAAGGATAATAATAGTAATCACGATGTTGTTATTACTAGCATCAATATAAATCAGAATAAAAGCAATAATAGCCGTGACGATTACAGTGACAGCGGCAATGGCCATAATGCTATCGGTGATGTTGAAGATGACAATAAAACAACTTGTAGTGCTAATAACAGCAATAATGATAGAAGTGATAGTTCCCGTGATATCAGTGACATTTACACTGACACTGACACTGACAGCGGCAGCAGCAGCAGCAGCAGCGGCGACCATAATCCTATCGGTGACGGTAGAGATGACAATAAAACAACTTGTAGTGCTAATGATCATGCTAATAACAGCAATAATGATAGAAGTGATAGCTACAGCAGCAGTAATAGCAATTAAGAAATATAAGGCCTGTAGTGATTTTCAAAATATATATAATGTTTATGAAAATATAACATTTAACAATAAAATTACTAATAATTAGATTCTCTACAGCAGATTATAATCTGAAATTATAATTATTCTACTTTATTTTTAGTGTGTGTGAATATGCGAAAGAGTGTTTTAAACTGTATATGACTCTATGGGTGAATAAGAAAAGCATGGCATACGCCTGAATTTTCCAGAATATGAAAAATAAAGACACAGTAAGAAAAATACGTAAAGACAAATATTCAAGGAATACAAAATTCCAAGTAGAAGTATCAGATATGGTTTATTTGAACATGTAAAATATGCAGGAAGAAAATAAATCCATAAATTAAATTTTCTTTTGCATGGCATTGCGCAGGGGTGGTTTCAATGACATTTGGGAAACCAAGAGAAGCCGTAAAATTAATTAGAATATCTGCTGGGCAGAAAGGGGAGTAGTTCCCGTTATTTTTAAATATCTTAAACGGACAGATTTTTAGGTTATTCTATTTTTGTCTTCTTTGCTGCTATGAAATCCTCTGTGCCTGGGATGTACTGCATCTTCAACTTTCCTTCAGTAAATAAAGACTCCATGCCGTAGCATGCCTCGGTCTTTCTTTTTTTGCTAATAACACTTCTCTGCAGGAAAGGCGTCCTTGCATCGCCTTCACTTTCTATGCTGTAGTTCTTTACATAGTCGATCCAATCTGCTGATGTACTGTGCGGCTGTGTTATCTTGGAAGCCTTCAAACCACATAAATCCTCGCTGTACTGGACAGATATCTTTACTATGTTTATACCACGAACAAGCAGCTCTGACGCATTTGACTTTGGAATAGTGGTTCTGTTCTCTAGACGAGAAAGCATTTCAATTGATCCTTTGTTCTCCATCATAGTATCCAGCATGGACTCTACGCCCTGGAAGACTCCAAGTATTCCCACAAGGGATGCGCCTGGTATGCCCAGATTGCTGAGCATTTTCTCTTCAAATTCACTGCTTTCCATATCCTCAAGAATGTATGTTCTAATAGTTAAAAGAATCTCGTCCTGTGAAATAGGCTCAGATGGCTCCTGTGCTTGCAGGCCAAGGTCTGTAGCTATCTTGTTGTTACGAGGCTTGATCCTTTTTCCATTTACTGCATCATATATTCGGTTGCAGATTGTTGAAATGCCCTTTAGTGCACAGTATATCTCAGGAGTTCCCAAAAACACGCCGTCTCGCAGGGAAATGTCTTTAAGTGTGCGCAGAGTCTTTGCCCGGTCGCTCTCGCTTTCACCCTCCATCCCTGTAATAAGAATGTCAAACACTTCAGAGCACACAGGCATAGAAGTAAGAGAGAAAGAGACCTCTGCCAGTGAGTCTAGGTCCTTTGTGAACTGTTTCAGAAGAGTGGTCTTTCTTTCGCTGCTGCGCGTTTTATACCCCTTTGCATCAAGCGCCTTGATGTAGTTCTTATCTACTGCTGCCCTCCACACTTCCATGCTTGCTGTGCGTGATTTAATCCACTGGGCCTCAATCGATCGAAGCTGCTTCAGAATAACAGGAATCGCCCGAATTGGATGGGCAATGATTCCCAGGATTATGTCATCGCATGAGGAGCCGTATACCGAACTAATCAGATCTTTATCAAGCGCTGATAGCTTAAGAGGAGGAATCGGACATTTGTTGTGCTCTTTTGATACATTTGCATCTTCAATAACAATCGCCTCATGCTCCATCAACTTCAAAATAAAAGACGACACCCTCTCTAAAAGCACATCACACTCGTACCTTTCATCCTCTATGCGGAATAGAGCCTCTTCGTGGCTGTTTTTCTTTGCAAAAATAAACGTAGAGCTCTCGCTAGAAAAAGTCGGACACGCCACATATCCAGTGTTAAGAACAGATGCATCGTCTGAGCTCTGTCCAGTGTGCATGGAGTGCCGATACTTCTCTGGAAGAACTCTGTACGATCCAACCTTCTTGTACGTTTCCAGATTGCTCTGCACGTGCGGCGGTGCATTTATTTCTCTGTGCCCAATGTAGTAGCGGAATAAACTGAAAAGTGTGGAAGACCCCCGCAGGAATGGTTCCACTATTAAAAGAAGTGCATTCGTGTTAAGAAGCCCCTGGTTAAACATGTTAAGCGCCTTCACAAACTCCTTATACACGCCCTTTCTGCTGAGAATATTTCGAATGTCATGCAACATGGTCAGAGAATCTGCTGGAGGGGGTGGCCTCTGCCCTGGTCTAAGCGCGGCTCTCTTCTCCTGCGGCGGCAGAAACACCATAAACTCAGAAATAAGAATTGGGTCATCCTTCAGCAGTACCTTAATGCTTGCAAGTATTTCTGAAATTGGCTTTTGTTCTCTGCTGTTCTTGTACGACTGGACAATTCGAAGAAATTCAAACCAGGCAGACGGATTGTTTTCCAAGTGCTTTCTTACCTTGTTAAGATAATTAACAACTCTTCCCATGTTATCGTGCTCCCCTCGGGTCTGCTGCGGCTTTATACCTATTCCCAGCCCTTCTAAGTCTCTCCGAGGATCATACTGCATATGCTGCCCCTGCGGCATTGCCTGCGATGGGTGCTGCTTATACTCTCTGGATCCCTGCGAAGGTGCATACTTTGGTGCCCCCTCTTCCCTCGGGCGCTCTCCTCTCTCCTCTGGCTTTCTATCCCCGTGCATTTTCACCTCGCCAGACGGCAGAATTTCATACTTCTTTGGCAGGAACTGGTTGAATCCCTGGATAAGCTTCTGGTTCCCATTGAATATAGAAAGCATTATTTCTATCACAGTCTTTGCATTTATGTGCCGGTCCTTGTAGTCCTTCATAGTCTTTAGGAATTTGCTGTACACCTCCTTGTTGTTTTTGTACTCTTCCTTCACTACATCCAGATACCGCATTGCATCCTTTATCTGCACCTTATTATTCCCTCCTGCCTCTGGCATGAGTATTGCTGCTGGTCCGTGCGCTGAGTGAGGTGCACTTGGTCCATGAGGGGGATGTCCTGGTCCCTGTGGATGGCCTGGCTGCATATGCCTCGGCTGCGGCGGATGCTGCATCATAGGGGGCTTTTTGTCTGTCGGCATCCTTGGGGGATGTATTTCTCCCATATATGGATGCTGCCGAGATGGCGGATAATATCTAGTTTGCGCATGCGGGGGCTGCCGGCCTGGAGGATAACCCAGAGGAGCCTTTCCATATGGATTGTATGGAACATACCCATTTGAGGGGTGCACTCTGTATCGCCCCCCCTGGCCTGACATGTGCATATGCGGCGGCCTTTCTCCTGGCCTTTCTCCTTGCCTGTCTCCAGTCCGATCCTGCTTCTCTCCAGACGCATCCCGATCTCTCTCCCGCTCTCTATCCGGCTGCCTATACCCATACATCATCATATTTGGTGGCGTAATATTGGGTATGTGCGATGGATCCGCAACTGGTGCTATTCTCGGCTGTTTGCTCTGCATATGTGGCGAGCTCTGTGTGGGGGTGTTCTTCTGTGTAGAAGCATCCGGTTGGTCTGTTGCTTTCAAGTTAATTGGTGGTAGGACTGTTCGCATGTTTTTAATTACATCGGTTTTCTTTTGATCTTCCATACAGGGGTTAAAATATAAACAAAGGAATAAAATATTTACTAATTCAATCTTTATCATTAAACCAATAAATGACACTGTAAATAAATAAACAATCAATAAAACAATAGACAAATAATAACAAAATGATGTCAGATCGATCCAATTGCACAGCAATACGAATATGCGCTTTAAAATAGAATAACCTATAGAGACATTTCCAGAAAAAATAAAAATGAACTATTAAAAAGCCAATTTAGCAATGCGCGATGCGCTTTCTCTAGAGTATAGGTGTATTGCATGGGCATGCGAGAGGAGTAGAACTACAAAATCATAATAGAGCACAATGCACTGCGCGCGACTGTTTATAAGAAAGAATCTACTTGGGTTGTTTATTTACTGGTAGAGTTAGATTCTGAAGGCTTCTTCTTGGCTTTCAAAATGGCTTTGTCCGTTTCTTCTTCTATTTGGTTTATTAAGTTGATATTCTTATTCAGAAGAATATTTATTTTATTTGGTATTCCTAAGTCTAAGAGAGAGACAAGCTCGTTAAATTCAATAATTAGAGATGAAATGTCTCCGATTGACGAGTAGTTTGGCCTCTTCTCTGTACCATTGGAACTGTCTGCTGACTGTAACTTCTGCTTTAGCTTATCTATCTCGGCCTCAAAGTATTCCAAAACCTTTTCGATTTCATTCTGTCTTTTTAGCTCCTCTTCAACCTCTTTGCTTACTTTTATGTATTTTCCTCTGCTGTGCAGGATAACCTCTTCTACCTCGTAGACCTTCTTGGAAATTTCTTTGAACTCTGAGACATTCTCGTTTAGTTCTGAAATGAGCTCCTCTAGAATTGACTCTACTTTCTTTTGTAAGTAGTGGTATGGTTCCTCTGTCATCTGTTGCATGCTAGAAACCCAAAAAATTTCCTGCTATTTATTCTTGCAAAAAGCAGAATATTTCATTTTAGAATTTACAAGTACTTCACACTGCAGCAAGCCGTATATTTACGATTGTTTAGGGCATCTTATATTCATGTGTTCTTTCTACATACTTATTCTATGCATAATATATCATGTAATTATTTAATTTTCGGAATATTTTCGAGTATTAGAATATTGTAAAATTGCTATTAAAATAATACAGAATGTGTTAATAGCAAGAAGTAATATGTGTGCAGTTCTCTGATGAATCAAATAATTAGAAGAAATGTATATGTCATAAATATATACAGAATGCTCTAAAATAAGATCACAATGTGTATATAAATGGAGTGTTTAAAAAATAAAATAGCCTATTATTTCTTTAAAGAATAGACAAATCACTTTTCTTATTCTTTTTAACATTTTGGGCTATACCCAAATTTAATATTAACAAACACCCACACTAAATGAAATAATTAATAAAAAAATATGCTTTGTGCTGAAAGACACGAAATAATTAAAGCTATTTCAGAATAATTCCTAGTTAAATATATGATATGTTTCAACAAGTACTATCTTTAAGTTTAAAGGGAAAATCCATAAAACATCCCAAAACCACAGAATGTTCTCAGATTTTATTCCTAATGGATTTCCTTATACACTAAAACATACTTCTAATAACCATTTCTGGTTATAACCCGAAATTATACCACATGCCATTTTATGTGATAGTGCTATTTAAGCATAATAATTTCTTGTTTACTATAAATTCTTGAATACTTTCTATTTATATATTACTTAGTAGTGTATTATACATAAATATTTCATAGAATATTCTATCAAACCTTTCAATTACGAGATATTATATACTATATCTAATAGTTCTCTTTAAACTTATTATTTCTGTGAAATACCCCGTTTCTGCTGAAATCACTATAATTTTACATATGCATCAGTAAGATATTTGTTTAATTTTTGTCTAAATCCACAAAAGGGAATAATCTAATAGTTCTCCCTGAAGTCTCTGAAATTATTTTTTATTCTAAGTATTGATTTCTATCATACAATGAACCATATAAAATGTGGGAGTGTCATTCGGGTTATGCAAAGTCACATAGAGCTGTGATATATGAAGATGCAAATCTACATAAGACAATAATAATAAAAATTCGAATGTATCTTTATTCTATGTAGTATAAAATCAATTCCAAGCACATAAACAAACCCTATGCATGCTCTAAAACTGGCTTTGTTTAAATATATTAATTCTATCTTCAGTAATAAATAAAATATTATTATTCTTTATGTGTATATTAGTTATATTCTGTGTTGCATAAATATTATTATAAATAAGCTGAACTAGAATAAATTTTTATTAACAGCTCTATTAGAAGTAATTATGAGTAGTACTGCTATTATTTATTATTGAAAAGCAAAAGAAATACTAAACTTAGAATAATATTGATAGAAATACTATGTAAATGAATGCATTTGATCATTTGATTTCGGGTTATATTAAGCTTTGTTATCAATAGATAATAATATCTAATTTATGCATGTAAATATCATGAATTGGATGACAAATATATGTATATGCTAGTGTTGTTGCTATTGTATAAATAGACTGATTATTTTCAGGATGTTCTGATTTTTAAAATAGAGAGGTATACTTAAGTCTTATCTAAATATAACCCGAAACTGCGTTCTTCTTTATACGTTTTGTCTTACTATTTCAATAATCCTTCTTATATCTATTTCTAGTCACATAGAAATGTCTTATATTAAATTAATCTAGCTAAAACAAAATATATAAAGTTTAATTTGTGTAATATAAGTATGATTTATTAACATAAAATATTATTTATGCCTTACAATTTGTAAAGTATGAAGATGACAAAAATAACAATAATTAAAAGAAAGATGATGCTGCTACTTGTTTCGTATATATTGATGTACATTCTGCCAAAGGAATTTGACACTTTTATTTGTGCTTCTAATGAGGAGGTTACATCTTCGTGTAGTAATATGAACAATAAGATAAATAATAACTATTCTTCTGGCCAAAGTTACCTAAATATGCAACCAAGTGGATTTATAAATAATTCAAACGAATGCTTAGCATATGAGGAACAGTCACATAATCCATATAATGCACAAGATGGTTCTTTAAACAATGCTAATATGTTAACTAATAATTTGGAGAAAATACCAATTGAATTTCAATTTAATCCATACTATGTAGAAAATTTATATGCTAGTGACAGTTACAGGCCAAATTATGAACCGCCGCATAATCCATATGCTGTTTCAAATAGTTTGTTAAACAGCAACAGTACATTAACAGAGGGCTTTCCAGGATTGTCAAATTCAAATACATTTAATCCATATCCTATAGAGAATTACTATGATAATAATCAGTACACATTAAATAATGTGCAAACATACAATTCTTATAATATTCAAAACAGTTATTTAAATAATATAATATCTAATGAGAATCCGATGGACCCCGAAATATCACATAGCCAAGTTTTTACGGGTATAAATTATCTCCCGAGTGAATGTATGCCATTTGAATCAAATAGTACTCCGCTTGCTTGTAATAATATAGAGCCAGATTCTTCAAATCCATTGCCATCTCTACAGCCTCTAAACAGTAGCGTCCAAAAAATGGAAAGCGTGGCCCAGAATTTAGAAAGTACTCAAGTAAGCACATCCACAAATAGAAAAAGAATATACATTAGTAGTAGCGATAGTGCCAGCAATAGTAGTAGTAATAGTGTTGATGACAATAATACTAATGGTGATAGTAGTAGTGATAATACTAGTGATAGTAGTAGTTATAATACTAGTGATAGTGTTGATAATTCTTCGAAAATATTATTTATAACATCATCTATTAAAAATTTAGATAGCTATAAACACCTTGTAACAAAATTGCATAATTACAAACTGAAGAATTTAAAGAGTGACCGGAACCAAGAAAGTGTCTTTATGCCATTATATAGCCAGTGCTCTATAAAGTATAAATCAAATATTTATCCAGTACTTAAAAAATCTATAAAAAATAATATTAAAAAATACAAAAATGTATGGATGGCTCTGTATAAAAGTAAAAGAAAAATCATACACAAAAAATTGAAGTTCATTTATTATCTAACTGGTTTTTATCTTAAAAAAAAGAGTATATATTCAAATATTGCGATCTGTCATACTATTCTGGGCTTTTTTCAGACTTAAATCAAATGCATAATTCTTGTTATAGTATTTCTAAAAGATTTATACCAAAGAATAATTTAATTGTGAAATCCTATAGAAATATAACCAAGCTTAGTTACATATATGCTAAAAGAGACATAAACCTTCTATGGCACGCAGAAAGCATGCTGGTGTCGTACAACAACCAGATTTTATGGAGCTCATTTATTTGTGCGAGAGAAGTTGAAAAGGACTGGAATCTAAGGAGGCAACTGCTATTAATTCTATGCCTTCCCGAAATATATGAAGATCTTTTCTATATGAAGTATGAGGAAATTGATTTGCTGAGGAAAAGAATCCTGGCAGGCTCTCTTTTCAAAAAATATAAAAGACTAAGTGATCAATTTTGTATTATAGAATACTTATATGGAAAAGTTCACAATAACAGTAAGATTATGCATGATTCATACCAAAGAATACTACAGATTAAAATTAGTCCTTCTTTACATATGCATACTGACATTAGTATGTATCAACTTGTATATAAGCTATTTGCTTATTTCTACAAATATTCTTTCTACTTATATAAAACCCATAATAATGACCATATAAATAATCCTTCTTTTTTAGAGCATAATAACAGTAATTATTTACACATGAAAAATTATACAAAAATACATTCAGATGGTAAAAATGCATATCAAGGAAAAGGGGTTGTTTTAGAAACCAGAATTAAAATTTATAGTATTACATTTAAATACAATAATACAGAGAATAATAATAGGGCATTGGATAATATAACAGAAAAAAAGGTATCTTATCATTATAATTGGAAAAACCGCATAGTGATATCTTATACACAGCACTATCATGTTCAGCTTGTAGATAACAGTACGCATTGCATGCATGTTATACATCTTCCATTTTTTGTAACTACAGAGAATGGCACTACAGCGTATCACTATATACACACAATTGAGGAAATTGCAAAATATATAATAGACACATTCTATGCTACAGCTATAAATGACAGTAAAAAACCGTGCTATAATGTATATCCATTTAAATACAGCAGAAA